CACACACACACACACACACACACACACACACACACACACACACACACTCACAACCACTAAACCATCTCTCCTGCTCTTAAAACATCTTTTATTTCATAGCATACATGGCTCTTGTTGAAGATGAAAGAATATTCAAAATAAATACTAGTAATGACATTACTAAAAAATCCAATGTCCATCACCAAGTCTTCACTAAATCAGCCACTCATCTCTTTCTCTAAGAACATTTAAACTTTATTCCATTATCAATAAAATTTTACCTAGGTGGCCAAGCATGGCGGCACACGTACGCACGCACACACAGTTTTAAATGCAGTTAAGCACACACACAAGCACAATACAACAAGTTTGGTAATCTTCCTCTTTGAGGTCTAAATCACAGATAACTGATAGAAGGCAATGGGACACAGACTTCCTCAATGATGAGAGAGTTGGAAGGTAAACAAGGCCTGAACACACACCACATTAATAGAGGTCATAAGCAATAGGTGGAACTGGATTAAAACAAGGTCAGACATCAGGCCCATTGCTCACAGGTAAGGCCTCTCTGCCTTACTTGTCTGCCATCCCTGCTCACTGGGAAGGTGCAGACCCAGTTCTTACACTTTACCCCATACCTCAGAATGCAGGTACTGATGGAAGATTAAAAAAATACAGCCTGCCTCTCCACTCTTCATTTCCCTTAAAACCCAGTTCTGACCCATGAAAGGGTCAGATATATAGTTTTTAAGGTACCTTCAGATCCGAGTTTTAAAGCAGACACACTTGTTTTTTGTGTTCTCTGAGATAGGGTCTTAGCATGCAGCCCATGCTTGCCTAGGACTCCCAGAAATCTGCCTGCCTCTGTTGGGATTAAAGGCCTATACTACCTTGCTGGGCTTTAGACAACATTAGTGGGTTTTTTGTTCTTGTTTTTTTTTTTTTTTTTTAAGACAGGCTCTGCAGACCAGGCTGGCGCGGCCTCACAGAGATCCCCTGCTCCTGCATCCCATGTGCTGGGATTAAAGGTGTGCCAGCACAGCTGCCCATCAGCAACACTAGTTTTAATAACTAAAAGCAAGCAGAACGCTAAGAAATTTGTATAAGGTTCCATGAAGGGGTCAACAATGAAACATCAGTCATTGAACAGGGAAAGAAATATTAGACGCTCTGATTAGAAAACAGATTGGATGGGCACAGTGGCTCATGCCTGAATCCCAGCACTTGGGGAGACCAGCCTAGTCCAGAGTCCAGGACAGCCAAGGCAACAGAGAAACAACAACAAAATAACACAAAACAAAACCGCCCTAGAAGATTGAGCCAGGCACGGTGGCTCGTGCCTTAATCCCAGCACTAGGGAGGCAGGAGCAGGCGGATCTTTGAGAGTCAAGGCCAGCCAGGTGCACAGGGAGACACTACCTCAAAGGAAAAAAAAAGAATAATGGTTTATCATCGGAGAGAAACATCACAATATTCAGTGACTGATTTGTGTTGTCCTGAGCGATTATTCAGGAGACAGTAGTAAGGCACAGAGCTCTTCCATGCACAAGGAATAAGTAGGTAAGACGAAGGTCACCTTATCACATTGTCTGAAGTCAGCAGCACCACGTGCGGATCCAGCATCTCACTTGGATACCATGCAGCATGCTTCAGAGTCAGCGAGGTAGAACTGGTGAAAAATCTCTCAGCAATGGGAGTGGTACTAAAATAAAGAACAATTTTCAAAAGCATCTGTGTGCAGAACTGAGGTGAAATGTGTCCTAATCTGCTGTAACACTGTCCCTTTCCTGTTCCTAGAACATCTTGAGAGCATCAAAAGCACTTATCCAAGGACTCAAACTGGAACTGTTTTCTACACAAGTGTATATTTTACACATTTTAGCTTGCTGGTTCTGACAGGGTCATGCTATGTAGCCCTGGCCAAGGCCTGGCCCTCACAATGTAGGCAAGGCTGGCCTTGAGCTCAGAGCAATCCCCTAGGCTTGGGATTACATTTGTGCATTATCAGACTCAGTTTGTACAGTTAGAAATGTGTTGATATTGCCTCGTTTGGTCCTTTTACTAATGAAGGGAGTAAGGAAACTGTAAGGGCATATACTATGAGTATTCTGAAAATTAAGAAATGGTGATCCAGTACCATAAGAAATTTAAGTAGACACCCCTAAGTTATAGAGGTAAGGTCTGGGTTTCTACCGTTTATTCTTTTCAGGAGACTTTTTAGATTCCCGCTTTCCTGGATTATTATTTATTCATGTATAGTTCTATGTGCGGTGTATAAAAAATAAAACTGAACGCTGGGTGTACACACGTTCGTAGCCCCAGCACCCTCAGCCTGCAGTCACAGGCTCGCTCTGGTGCTGGAGGAAGCAGGGAACTGTTACAGGCAGGCTCTATACACCAGGTATGCAGACTCAGACAGCGGGTTTGTTTTGACACTTTCAAGCAGCATGGGCCTTAATTTAGATGCTTTGCCTTTTTTCTGTGATTGAATGCCTGGCAGTTTGACCAGCCGCTGTGCCTTTTATGGCATGAGTGGCTCATGACACGTTTATGATGTCATGGTACACACTGCAATGGCCAGAACATAGCCTGACATATAAATGGTGTCTTGGAGCGCAAGTAATAATCAAAGACAAACCCTTAATGCGCACATTTTGGTTCATTTTGCACATATTATTTTTTTTTGGCAAGGTTTCTCACTGTAGCCTTGGCTACCTGGACTCTTTGTAGACCAGGCTGGCCTTGAACTCAGAGATCCACCTGCCTCTGCCTCTGACTGCTGGGATTACAGGCGTGCATCCTGGCTTGTGCATAGTTCTTAAGCTCATGAACCTAACTGCAAAATTACAGCTATTTTAGTAAAAATAAGGGACTGATACTGTTGTTGTTTTTTAAAACTACAAATAGTAATGCAGTATTCTTCAAAAGTAACAACAGGGGCTGGGAAGGTGGCCCAGTGGTTTAGTGTTCCTGCTGCTTTTGAGGGGACCCAGGGATTGGCTCCTAGCACCCTCAAGGCAGCTCACAACCATCTGTAACTCCAGTTCTAGGAGATTTGATACTCTTCTTGCCATCCAGGCACAAAAGCAGTGCACTTACATACACATGAGGAAGGAATTCTTCAAACCATAGCACCACAGGAAGCCAGTCTACAGGCCCATGTGAAGATGTTCCAATGGCAGTACACTAGACACAGTTCCACAACCTCTGGTCTTAGCAACTTACTCAGATAAACACTAAATGGAAACACAACTTACCTACAATTCACAGTTGCTCTTCCGCCTTCAAATTCGGAATCTTTCCCCCACCTCTGAGGTAATTCTAATGCCGTAAGTCCTTTCATTCCTATAAGTGCTACATGATGTTGCGTCGGGCTTAACAAGACTTGGTGAATTTCAAAGATGGGTGGATTTATGCAAAGTAATCTCTAAAAATTAAAGCAATTTAGTAAAAACACTTAATTTTAATGGATGTATATTTGGGAGTTACTTGAAACCATAATCATGCTCAACTTTCTATAGTTATAAAATAACAGCATTTTGGATTAGTACAATTACTTATGTCATTAACTGATTATTCTCCAAGAAATTCTCTCTGGGTGCTTGACAGATGACTTAGTTCCTTAAAAGCACTTGCTCTTCTTGCAGAGAACCCGAGTTTGGTTCCTAGCACCCACACTCTGGGCTCTCACTGTCTGTAACTACAGTTCCAGGGAAGCAGACACCTTCTGGCTTTCTGGAGCACCTGTATTCACACACACTTTAATAACAAGCACTGGCTGCTCTTCCAGGACCTGGGTTCAATTCCCAGCACCCACACGGTGGTTCTGTAACCTCTGGCCTCTGAGTATCAGGCACACAGATGGTACATGCACACATATGGAGGAAAACATGCATACACACAAAATTGAAAAAAAAAAAAAAAACCAACAAACCAACAACTTAATCTTTAAAAAATGAGAACAATTACCCCTCATTTTGTGGCCATGGAACAAGGGCATGTTTTCTGTAGTTCCACAGTACACTCTGGATAATCCCATAGATCTTAAACATTCTAAATGTTCTTTTAAAACTTGCCCCTGACATAACCTAGTAGGCACTACTTGAGATTTGTCTTTCTTCTGTGTTCTTGGCATCAAGTAGGCTCTTGATACCTAGTGAATATGTAAACTCAGATGTATTACAAGATAACCATTTTATAAACAGTATTGTAGGGTGAAGAACAGCTTCAGGCAGGTGTGATGGCACACCTTTATTCCCAGTGCTGGGGAGGGGAGGATGACAGAGATGGCTCTGATGGAATTTTAGGCTACCCAAGGCTATAAAGTGATATCTTAGATTAGCTTCAAGAGATTTGCAGCAAACAGTACTGCTTCACTTATGTGGACTCAATATAAAAAGAGTGGTATTTTAAGGGAGTTCCAATAATTTGCCATAGCATCACATATACTCAAAAAGTTCACTTTTACACTGGTACTTCCTATTTCTTTTCTCATGACCATTTCAGATTTCTATTTTCTCTTTACTCCGCAAAGAATGATGAGATTGTCAAAATATTATTTATCTTGGTATGAGAATCACACTAAGCCAAAATCCTTTTAAATAAAGCTTTTTAAAAATACAATGAGATTTCTAATTGTTTTTATATCTGTAGGTCCATGGGCTTTAAATGCCTGTTGTAGAGCTGGGCAGTGGTGGCAGGCACACAGCTTTAATCCCAGCTCTGACCAGGATCCTGATTTCTGTGAGTGAGGCCAGTCTGGTCTACAGAGTGAGTTCCACAACAGCCAGGGCTGTTAACCCTGTTTTGAGAAACAAAACCCAAACCAAACCAAACCAAAAAGTCACCAAATATTACAGAGCTCTTGCGTGCTCTAGGTTTATGTCAAGGGCTGGACATAAAAATAAATCAATAAAGTAGGGGCTGGAAAGATGGCTCAGCATCTGTTCTTCCAGAGGTCCTGAGTTCGATTTCCAGCAACCATTCGGTGGCTCACAGCCATCTATACTGGAATCTGATGCCCTCTTCTGCATTGCAGGTGCACATGCAGTCAGAGCTCTTATACATAAAATAAATAATTAAAACCTGTAAATAGAAATAAAGTGGACCTAGTCTCTGTTTTGGTATTTACAAATGAGAAGATAAGCAAGTTTTACAGTAACTACTACTGCACTGAATGCTACACAGCAATGAGGATGCTAGTAACTGAACACAGCGTGCTGGATTAAGATCAGGGGTTTGTGGCCAGTCTGTAGCAGAGGGCTGTCACAGGCATCACAGAGGTGCCCTGTCTCAGACCTGTAATCTCAACACTCAAGAGATTGGGGCAGGAATTCCAGGCTAGCCTGTGTTACACAATGTCTCCAGACCAGTCTTGAGCTACACACGGGGACCAAGTCTTTAAAAAATCAGAAGAAAATTAATAATTAATTGGCTGAAATAATGATGAATTTCTGATATTTATTCTTAAGAAACACTTGGAGCAGGCAGATGCGTAAATGTTGACCTAGTTTCTCAACACCTATGGCTGCACCTTGCATCAAATCACTTAACAAGAACTGATCTAGGGCACACTGCAGACCTCAGACGTTAGAACGAATGCTGCATTTCCTTCTCTCTCTTTTGAGCCAGGGTTTCTCAATGAAGTCCTGGAACTATGTAGACCAGACTGGCCTCAGATTCAAAGACTTCTTCCTGCCTCTGGAGAGCTGGTGTTAAGGACCTGTGCCAACAGTCCTGGTTTTTTAAAAAAGTCTTTAAGAGAAAACCAGTTTTCTACAAATGAAGGCTTTAGTAAAGCCACGTCTGGTCATAGCAAATCTAGAACACACTGGGAGTATATCCACCTCCTCATGCCATTTATTTGCTCATCAAAAACCAAAAAGGTGTGAGGACCCGGCTCGGAGAACTCCTGCGCTTCCCCTGGGGAAGGAAGGGGTGTGTTCCCTTCCCTCACGGGGTGCTAACGGTGTGTGTGTTAGCGCCCAGCACCGCAGCAAAGAGAGCAGGCCCTCTGAGGTTTAGTGAGCGCCCGAAGGGGCAAAAGGCAAAGGAAAAACGGGCTCTCTTGTTCCCGTCGGGCAAGCGATCTGGGCCTTTTAAATCTGCCTTAAAGCTCCAAGAGGCCAAAGGAGGCATCACGGCTTTGGCCGCGGTCCTCTGGCCCCAGTCCTGCCGTCCTCTTCAGGGCGCTGGCCACCCGCCTCCCCCGGGCACTCGCCCCCAGCAGCACGCGTGTCCCTGCGTGCCCGGCGGCGGCCCGTCCTGGGAGCGGGCGCTCCCGAGCGGCGCCGGCTCGCTCGCACGGCCGCGGCGGAGGGGAAGCGAGGCCGGGCGGGACGCGGCACGCCGCCGGGACCCACCTGGTACTGGGAGAGAGGGGGCTCCGCGCCGCCGCCGCCGCTGGGGCCGCGAAGGCGAACCACCACGAAGGCGCTGCCTTCCGCGTCCCACAGGAACAGCTCGCCGCCGAGGCCGAAGACCAGGTTTCTCGTCAGCAAACGCGGCGGCAGCGGCGGGCGCGAGGGCGAGGCCGCTGGCTTCTCCGCTTCGGCTGGCCTCTGGCTCTGCAGGCCCTCGCGGAGCCGCGAGAACACGACGTGGTTAGGCAGCCAGCTCTGCCACAGCTCCCCTTCGCCCGCGGACCCCTCCGCAGCCGCCATCTTGGACCAACAGCGGCTCGGCTCGGGGGCGGGGAGAGACGCAGCCCGCCGCTGCGTGTGGCCAATCCACGGCCAGCACGCCACGGCCTCAGCCTATCAGCGCGCAGGGACCCTGAGAGGAGGCGGTGGCTCGCTGGGCAGGCATCGCTGGAGGAAAGCCGATCTACGGAGCGGCGGGGCGCAGATGAGAACGTCGAGGGTTTCCGGACGGCTTTGGGGCTACGGGAGGGCCAGTGCGGAGGGTTGAGAGTGACCTCTGCTGTCCACCGGACACCGCTCTCTGGCTAAACCCAGGGCTCTCTCTCAAGCCTCACCTCCCTCAGCCCAGGTGGTGTTTACTTTCAGCTCTCACTGCTTCATCGTGCTTGCATTCCCGAAATCTGTCTCTGGGAGGGAGGGTATAGCTGCTAGAGGCAGTTCCCAGAAAGCCTCGGGCCTGATGGGCAGTCAGGCCCCAGAAACTAGAGTTTCCAGAATCCTTCGCGCGCGGCCGAGGGGCGGGCACTTGGGCCCCTCCGCGGCTAAGGGATGGCGGAGCCCTCCGAGTCTCCTCATCGCTTCTTGTACAAGCAGGTGGGCTCGCCGCCTTGGAAAGAAACTTTCAGGCAGGTGAGTGTGAAGTTTGGGTAGCAATGACTTCCCTTCTCTGTCCCAAGGACCGCTGTCCTCTCCGCCCTCGCTTCAGCACTGGTCGTGAGCTCCGAGCGCCTGGCTAGCGAGGCGGATCTTGAACTCAAGTCTCCGGGCCGGAGTAGGTGCCATCCTCGCCCAAGATTGGAGTTTGTTTCATATTTTAAGCGTCACGACAGCGCTAGCTGCTGCTTGTTACAACACCACCACCTAACGTTGGGTTACGGAGGGAAGCACTGGATATGCGCGTGTCCTGTGAGACGGAAGTTATTTCTCTTCTAACGAGCGACAGGAACATCAGTTACTGTGAGGAGAGTTGAGCTTAAGCTCTGGCTTCTTCTGAACTCAAGTAGTTCCTTGTAAGAAATAGCTTATCTCGCTGCTCAGCAGCCTCTAAGGAGTGGGTGTATGCTGGACTACTGCGTGTGGGTAGCCGGCTGAGTACTGACTGACCGTGTGGGTCAGTGCTGAATACTGACGTCTGGCAGCAGCAAGTTCAGTCATGGGAGGCTGTTCTGTACAGTGCAGAGCGCTTGGACGCAGCATCCTCTCTACAGACTAACTGGCCTCAGTCAATAGCAGTTCTGCAGGCAGAGTTTTGACAACCACTTGGGGAACAAACACCATCTTGAGTTGGGGGTGGGGAGATGGCTCAGTGTTAAGAGCACTTGCAGGGGACCTGGTGGCTATAACTCCAGTTCCAAGGGGTCCATTGCCATCTTCTGGCCGTGGTGAGCGCTTGCACTCACACGGTGCACATAAATTCAAAGACACGTGAAAAAGTCATGAGGGTTGGGAAGTGCTTTTGTAAAGAAGACCATTACTGTAGCCATATGTATAGATGCAGGAGTCTGGAAGCCATAGGAATGTCTGAAGTCAGCCTGTGGACACCGTTACCGTACATCCACCAGCCTGCCTGCAAAATAAAAATAAGATATGAAATGTAGGAATTTAGAGATATGTGAACAAAACTACCTATTTGTGTGTGGATAAGGACTGGAGAATATGGAAATTTTGCAGCTAGAATTCTTTTTATGTTTTCTTTTTTTGGTGGAATTTACCTTTTCCTTCTTTTACTCCACTGCTCCCACCTTCCCCCAGGGATGTCTCGAGCGAATGAGAAACAGCCGGCACAGGCTCCTGAGCAGGTACCGTCAGGCTGCGTGTGGCACACCGGGAAGAGCCTCAGACAGTCTTCTAGTCCGGGAAGTGATGGAGGAAGAGTGGGATTCTCTGCGGTCTGGAGAGCGGTGTCCGGAGGCCTTGCTTCAGGTCAGGCAAGGAGCCTGCAGGGGCTCCATAAGAGCTTTTGGCGACCTCTATGTACCTGTTTCTCCAGGTCCTTTCAACCTACCCACTTTCCAGCTGCCATTCGGCTTAGGCTTTTCAAGTTTTGAGTAGATTATTTTATTGATGTCTCTGCAATACTAGACTGAAGCCACGGCACAACCTTGTAATGTATTCGCTTAGGAAACTGAAAGGAAAGAAAATTTCATTCTTGCTATCCCCATTGGAAATTTTGATCCACTAGGAATGGGCTAGGGACCTCTCTTTAAAAAGGATGTCTCTACATTCTGATTCTAGTCTAACAGAGTTTGCAGTTGTGTGTCAATAGAAAACCATTTACAGTGTATCAGGAAAGGTTATGGGTTGGCACCAGGATTTGGGAATTCTAAGTTTAGTTTTACTGACTCCCAGCTTTACTGTTTCTTTGAGTCTTAGTTTTTACATTTGCATGAAATAAAGAAGATAGCACAAGCATTATGAGAACTGTAACAAAACCTGAAACTGTTTGAAACCATCAAATCACCATACAATAATGATTCATTTTCAGTAGCACCATGTGTCCTACAGTAAGACAAATGGTTAGCTTAACTTCGCCACAGTTGGTGCTCACAATAGCCCTCTCAGGTGGGCCTCATTCCAGCTTTACCGAAGCTAAAACAGCTTTTCAAAGACCAGACTTTTTCCCATGGTCAGGCGTAGAAGGACATTAACTGTTGCCCCATTTTCTCTCCCTTACATTTGGTGCTGTTGTACTTTGGTCGTTTGTTGTTGGTTTAGCTTGGCACTTTACTGAACTGTCAGCAAATTCTGCATGTGGACTAGGCCAATTTTGTGGGTAAATCTGGGGGTCTTGGGACATGGTGGCTAACAGTTCTTCATATGGGCGATGAAGGACTGTCTGCTCTGTGTCTTGCTCAGGCATTTCATTGCACGCGAGGCAAGCACTGCCCCGCTGAGCCACACTGACCCTCCACTCTGTCTTGTAGTTGGGATTGCCTTTGGACCTGGCTGTGCTGCAGGAGATCGGACAGGAGCTGCGTGAGGAAGGTAATTCCAGGGTGTAGTCTTCTCTGCTACAGCACTCCTCTAAGACTGGCCTCTCCTTGACGCTATAAATTGTTTGGATGCTAGGAATTAAACCCAGGGCCTTAGGCACGGAGTTTGTATCCCCAGACCTAGGATTACTAGTTATCTTTTAAAAAAAATTATTATGTATACAGGGTTCTGCCTGCATGTACATGTGTAGATCAGAGGAGGGCACAGATCTCACTATAGATGGCTGTGAGCCACCATGTGGTGCTGGGAATTGAACTCAGGACGTTTAGAAGAACAGCCAGTGCTCTTAACTTCTGAGCTTTGAGACAGTATTTCTCTGTGTAGCCCTGGCTCTCCTGAACTTGCTCTGAGTCAAACTCAGAGATCCACCTGCCTCTGCCTCTGAGTGCTGGGATTAAAGGCGTGTGCCACCAGCACCACTTCGTAGGATTCTCTCTTTCTTTCTTTCTTTCTCTCTCTCTCTCTCTCTCTCTCTCTCTCTTCCTCTCTCTCACTTTCTTTCGTTCAGGATTATTTCTTAATTCCTGTCCTTTTACTACCATCATTCCTTAAGTATCCTGAAGCCCCTGTTGGACTTGAATTCTTGGCTGTCTTCCCAGTAGTAAGAGATTCTGTGTTTGTAGATTCTGTGCAGGAACTTCTCATTCCATGTTCCTCCATTCTGATTACTGTGAAAGATGGGATTAGACAGAATAGAGAGCGTATCATCACACAGGTCATATAGCTAGTCAGAGGTAGTGTTGGGAAACAGGTTATTTGATCCTGCCTCTTGCTATGTTAAGCTGTGCCCTGTGGTTTGTGCCTGTGGTACATACAAGCTACTTGTGATTTCATAGGGTGGGCTTTCAGGAAGATGCTTGAGCTCTGTAGTTTCAGGGTAGCCATGGTAGCACGTCGAAACCTGCCTCTTGAAAAAAATCTTTATGGTGAACTTGTCACTTTCCTTTCATGGCAGGTCTGTACATGTGTACCCAAGGGCTCTCTCTCTCCTCCATTCTTTGATGCCCTGAAAAACTGTGAGCATCTGCTTCTGGGGTTCTCTTAGCACTGTGTAGAGTACATGGGCTTGCACCTTATGGCTTGCATCTTCCTTATTCCACATAGCCTTATCTTGAGTAGCTTTCACATTTACCTGTAAAGTAGAAATAATGGACCTGCCCTATGGGTACAGGATAACCCTGGGCCTTTTGCCTTGCAGAAAAGGCCATCATAAGCGAGTATGAGAAGAGCTTACAATTTGATGAACGTTGTCTCAACAGCATGTTGGCAGAGTGGGAAGCAAATGCCCTCATCTGTCCTGTGTGTATAAAGTAAGAACTTTCAAAATCTGTTTAGCATTATTGGGTCTCATCCCTCGATCCCTCCGCCCCTGGTTTATTGGCTGAAAGGGTTAGGGAGCCAGGGCTTGTTACCACAATGACCTGGGAATCCTAATTCTATCTCTAGGTACAACCTGAGAGTAACGAGTAGTGTGGTCACGTGTCCATGTGGCCTGCACATCCCACTTCATGTAAGTGTCCAGACTCCCCACATACACGTGTGTTAAAGACCCTCTAGTGGAGGTTGGAGGCAGTCGTGCATTCTGGCCACTGCCAGGATGCCCAGCAGCAATAATTCTCAAGGAGAGGGTTATTTTGGCTTATGGTTTCAGAGGGAGAGTCCACCAGGGCAGGGAGGCATAGCCGAGTGGCTCCTGGGGGTGAAATCCAGGGCTCAGCATCTTGGTGAACAGGAAATAAGACCTGTTCCTACCAGCCTGTGTTCACCAAATAGGCCTCAAGTGTTTTGCCCACAGGTATATCTGTGCACCATGTGTGTAGAGCCCTGGAGGTGAGGAGAGGTGCCAGATCCTGTGTAACTGGAGTTAGAGCTGGTTGTGAGCTGCCATGTGGATACTGTGAGCCAAGGTCCTCTGGAAGAGGAGCAAGTGCTCTAAACCACTGAGCCATCTCTGCAGATCCCCTTTCTTGTTTGAGGCAGAGTCTAGTAGTAGCCCAGGCTGCCCTCAGACTCACTTGCAGCTCAACTTCTGATCCTTGTGGCCTCACCTTCCAGGAGCTGGGTACAGGTTTGTCACTCCCGCCTGGGCTGGGAGTGGAACACAGGGCTGCTTGCTTGCTAGGCAGGCTCTCTGCCACCGAGCCACACCCCAGCCCCCAGCCCGATAAAGCTGCAGAGTCAAGCTGTCTTAGTTGACTGTGGGAGGATCCGGCTTTCAGCCTGCTGGAATACAGCATTTAAGATTATTTGTGGTTGGACTTTCTTAGTCTCCAGAGTTGACAGAGCAGAGGCTTCGTGTCTGCTTGGAGGATAACGTGAATGAGCACAGTGCACACTGTCCCCACACTCCTGAGTTTTCTGTCACTGGTGGGACAGAAGAGAAGCCCAGTCTCCTGATGAGCTGCCAGGTGAGCCTCCCAGGGCCCAGCCACTTGCCAGAGGACGTCAGCAGTTGGCTCTGTTCCCCTCTTGGTAGAAATAAGTAAATGTTTAAAATATTGTTTTTTGAGGTGTTTACTTCAGAGAAAGTATCAGCTGGGCATGGTGGCCCTTACCTGTAATCCCAGCCCTGGGGAGGTAGGAAGAGCTTAAAGCTAGCCAGAGGACACCATGAGGACCCGTCTCAAAAGCAGGCAAGGCGGCTCCACCGCTAAGAGCACTTGCTGCCAATCCTGATACTGAGCTCAACCTTGACTTGGACCTCACGTGTGGATGTGGAGAACTGATTCCTGCAAGTTGTCTTTTGTCTTCCACAACATACAGTGGGCTTGCACATAGACAGACTAGAATTAAAACGTATGGAATGACTAACTTCAGTCAGAAGGGAGGAGCAGCCTTAGAATCTTGCCAGCACTGGTCTGGAAGCTGCAGACGGCGGCTGCGCTGCTTTGGTTAGATCAAGTGTGTGTGACCCCACGCACCAGGTGTGCTTGTGAATGCCGATGTCAGGACAGGAATGCAGCGGAGCAGCACCGGGTGTGTCTGGAGCACACTTTCACAAAGAGCTAAGACTGGCCAAATGGCAACTCAGGTGTGAGGGGCAGGGCCACCCAGGAGCCTCAAGTTTGCTGTGGGCAGCAGCTTTAGTGACACGTTACAGCTTTCAGGTCCCAAGCAGGGGGAACTGTGGCGCAAACCTGCTACAGTGTGCCAAATACTCAGTGATAACCTGACCCCGCACTTCAAATTGACTAGTATATTCAGGCTCCCACTGTACTTCACTCCATGTTTCCCTTAACACTGCTGGAGTTACCTGTGTCTGAGGGCGAGGATTATTTTTCTCCCACGGCTTCGTTTTGCCCCCACTGTATATGTCTTCTTTCTCCAGTGAGTTGGTGCACAAGCAGATGCTTAATGTGTTTTTTCAAGTGAATTAAAGTGGAGAGTTGAAGAGACACAGTGACCTCAGCCTCTGCCTTCTCAGAGAGCAAGTGCAGCACCGAGGTGGCTCAGTGAGAAGGCAATAGCCTCCCAAGCACGAGGACCTGAGTTTAGATCCCAGAACCCACATACAAAACCACGTAGGCACGGCGGCTACCTATAATCCCCCCGTCCACGGGGTCAGAGGCAGGGAGAGGCTTTAGACAAGCTGCCGAAGACTAGCCCACCAAGGAACTCTAGGTTCAGCTAAAGACCCTGTCAATAAGGTGGAGAACAGTTGAGGGAGACATCCCCCCCCCCACAGACACACCCACAAGGGGGTGGGAGAGAGGCACACCAGCCATACGGAACTTCAAATGGTGGGAAAGCAAGCGTTAAATTCTCTTTTCTGTTGTTTTGGAAACAAGGTCTACATACTCCTGGCTGGCCTCAAAACTCCAAGATGTACGTGTATGTGGCTGTCTCTGCCTCTGCGGGGGGGGTATGTGTGTGCACCCCATCTTTTAAAAGTCAGCTCCAAGAAGCTGGAGAGACTGCTCAGCGGTCAATGAACACTGGCTGCTGTGCAGAGGTCTCGAGTTCAGGTCCAACACATAGTGGCTCACCACCATTTTTGGTAGTATCTGATGCCATCCTCTTGTCATGCAGGCATACATGCAAATAGGTGTTCATTTCAGTTTCACACCAAGCACTGGAGAGGATGGGAAGGGCAGTTGAAGAGCAGGTAAGCAGGCAGGGCAAGGCAAGGCAAACTCTTGTTCGCTACCTGGGAAGCTGAGGCAGCATAATGTGTAACCAAAGGAACGGTAACATTGAGAGGCCAGTGCTCTGGAAGCAGTGTTTTCAGATTAGGGCTGCCCAGCACTGGCTGCAGACTACACAGGAGACCACTGTTGAGTTAGGGGATCACCACAGAGACAAGAAACTGGAGGAAGAAAAATTGTGTCAGTCTCACACTGTCAGGCTTGCCAAACCCCAAGCTGTCAGGTTTTGCTTTCCAGTCTCTGGCTTGCAAAGGGTACTTGGTCTTAGCTCGTGGCTTCAGCTTGGCAGAACAGGTCCACGAAAGCTGTGACCTCATTAACTCATAATGCCTCCACTTGTGACAACTTTCAGCCATGTACTGACTTAGCTGTTCTTGGCTAGAATGTAACACTAATTTGTTTTCTGTTTAATCCAGGTTTGTGACACTTGGGTTGTGATCCTCTAGCCATCCTGACTCATGATTTGCTACTGGGTGGAGAACTCATTCTCTCTTAGAGGTCCTGCATGCACAAGCCTTCTGTATATAACTAATTTTATACTGAAATTCAAATACCTCTGTTCTTGGTGTTCTGATTCAGGGCAAAAGAAAAGAGAAGCTCGAACATTCTTGGTGATAAAATCAATTTTATTGTCCATCTTATACAAAAATCTACAGATCACAGATTTGTACAGGAAAAAACCAAATGAATAGTAAATGGAAGCATAACAGCAATAAAGTGTTAAACTTGCTTTTTCCTCCCATGATATTAGGATGACAGCCATTTGAAAGCATAACTCTGATGTCTAGGTAGCTTTTGTTTACTGGCCAAGCTTGCCATTTAAATTAAGGCCTCCAGTCTCTGTCATTTCTACTGGCTCTTGACAAAGCTTTTGAGGTCCTCCAGAAAGGTGATGTATTCTTGGTGCTCTAGGGCTGTACTGAGCTCCACCAACTCATCGGCAAAAGTGTTGTCCACCCCTCGGTCGGCAAGAAAATCCATGAGGTGGTCATACAAGGCCTGGGGAGAAGAGTATTTACTTGCTGGAAGAACAGTGAACTGAAAACGGGCTGCAAGAGCCGCTGACCTTCCCACACGGGCCACTACATGTGTGCCCACTCTCTCCCTCCCGAATTGCTACTTTCCATTCCTTCAACTAGGACCCTTCTCTGCCAACGCCAAGCATCCTCTATTGCAGCCAGCACTCACCCAGTCCAGGGAATCCGTGTTGAGTGTGTAGTTAGTGTCCCTCCATTCGGAGTCACCAGTGGACTGAAAGCTAACTTCCTTGATAGAGAAAATATCACCCTCGGCCTCTTCTTCTTGTCCGATCTGAGAGACAGTAGAGGGGAGCAGCTGAAGTCCAGAGACAGGCCCTGCAGCCCTAGCCACGTTCCAGCCCCACTCTCGCCCGCCTTCCCCTCCCGTCCTGGTCTACATTACCAGGTCTTTCCTGTATATACTACAAGAGTCGGAGACAGCCCACCCCACCAACCTCATCCTCAGGATAGTGACAGTCCAGTACGAGGGTCTTCTTGCCATCACTCTTTGTAACTTCAACCACAAAATTGGGAGTTGATGTCAGTTCCGGCTGGAGAAACAAAACAAGTCAGCATATGCCAGTGGCACACACATCTGGACCAACGGCCTCCAGAGTTCAGAGGAGAGGTCTAACAATCACTGCCATTAGCATCTTATTAGCCAGCCTTTAGCCTTAGGTGGGATAAGGCACACAAATCTTCCAACAGCACTAAATGGTTCATCAATCACACGGGCTTAGAATGATGCCTCAAGGCCAGGTCCAGCTATTCGGCAGGTACTGACAGCTCGGAACCAGCCCTCCAGGGCTGCTTCTGCTCCTACGCACTGCAGTGATGGCTGAAGCACAGACCTGGGGCGCTAGCTAAGTGGCCACCTTAACTGGAAATGCGGCACTTCCTTTAACTCAGCTTTTCACACTTGTCTATAAACAGTCCTGACATCTGTTTATTCAAGTGGCCAAATGTGAAAATCGCTAAGGCTCTGCTGGCAATGCTGCCCACACTGGATAACATCAGTTCAATCCCATTCCTACATGGCAGAAGGACAGAACCAACTCACACAAGTTGCTTTTGCTGCCTACAAATGCACCATGGCCCTCAACACACTAACAAACGGATAAACAAACACAATTTAAAAAAAAATTCGTAGGCTCCCCAGCCCTCCTATTTTGGACAAACGACTGGCGCTGCCTACCGAATTGCCAAGCACATCTTTCATCTGAAACGCTGCAGCCGGTATTGTCTTGATAGTACCCACCCCCAACACAGGCATAAACCCCGCAACACTCGAGGAACAGGGTCTGAAATGCCAGCTAAGTCACTCCAAACTATTGCTCTTTCATCTCCTAGTATGAGAGAATTTTAAAGATAGTCCTTCTTGCCTTTTAGGACAGAAAAGAGGCTGGCTGTGGCGTCACCGGCTTACCTCCTGCTCCTCTGCCTTCTGCCCGTGTGGGGGGTCCTCCTCACCGTCAAACGTTGGGGGGATGCTGTTGTTGATGTTGAAGGTGACAGTGATCCTAAAAGGCCAGCGGATACACAGGTCAATACTAACAGAGGCCGCCTGCCAGTCAGGCCAGTGCGAAGGCATGCTCAAAACACCCTATTCCTACCCCATTTCCCGCTGGCTGCACTGGGACATAGAAGCCTCAGCCAGCACATTAAACATCTTCTGAAGTGAACCTACAGTGTGCCAGCGGCTACATGCCAAGTATCACAGCTGTGGCTGTAGTTGCCAGGCTGGCACTCAGGGAAGCCGATAGTGGCACGCAACATCTGCCCCAGAAGCAAGCCTCACGAAACACTGTAGAGCAGATTCAATTTGCACACCACAAACTGGGAACGGAAACACCTAGTGACTTTTAGTTTTCTTTTTGGGGGTTCTGGAGCTCTCTGTATGCAAATGTGAACATTTGCACTCTGGCCCTCTTGACTGTAAGAATCCTGTGGCAGCGCATGTCTGTCATGACATCTGTAAGCAGCAGAGCCAGCCCATGGAAGAGCCCAGCTGGCCAATGCCTCGCTGTCAGGCCACTGTGCCACAGCAAGAACCGCAGATGAACCAAATGACACGCAGACCCCAGACTAAGCTGAAAAACCCTAGCGTGACTTAGATGAAGTTACAAATGACTTATGTGGGAGGAAGACCACCACACACCTTATAGACCGAGATCACAGAACCCCAGAAAACCCAGGCTCAATGATTTCTGCAGTCCCTGGCTCAGCACGGTTTCTTAGGATTAACACTAAAGTATGAGCGTGTGAGTGTGCACACTGAACCCAGAAGCTCACAGGATCTGGCAAGCATTCATGTACAGCACACACCACACCACACACCATGTATTTCTACAGTTTGAATCTGGAGTACACTCTCCCCACATACGCAGAGACCTAATTCCCAATGTCAGTAAGAGGGTGCGACATCTCCCCAACCCTTGGTGCTAGGGACGCTGATGAGTCCAGGGTCTCATCAGTGTTTATCAGAGATGTGACACCCCCTAGTCCAGGTGAAAATGTCACCTGTGGTGTTAGAAGTGGGCCTTGGCTGGGTGTGTTCAAGCCGTATGGGCCACACCACCCCAAGCGCAGACATCTTCTCCAGTGGGGGCTCAACAGGAGCCACTCACACTCCAGGCTAGGTCCTAGGCAGGCACAGCCAAAGCACAATATACAATCATATTTCTGTAGACATCTTATGTCACTTTGGACATTTTGTCTAATGGGTCTTTTGGTTTCGAATTTGTGTGTGTGTGACTTGGGTTTTTAATTCCTGTTTGTTTTGAGATACGATTTTTCTGTAGCATTGGCTATCCTGGAACTCTATAAAAACCAGGCTAGCCCTGACTTTAGAGACTTCTGCCCCTTGAATTTTGAGTTTTAAGGTGTGTCTGGCACAGTGTGTCTTCCTTCCTTCCTTCCTTCTTTCTCTCTCTTTCTTTAAAGAGGCAGAAAGAAAGTGTGTGGAGCTGGGTGGGTAGGGAGGATCTGGGAGGGATATTTCCTAAGACTGAAGTCGGGTGGCTTTATACAGAGACAGAAACCAGAACCGTATCACCGCAGGCCCCTGCCAGAAGCCCAGTACCAGATGCACCTCAGGCCTCAGAATCAGCAAGCCTCCCGGCCTTGAACTTTCTCACTTTGTCTTTCCAGCTAAATGCTCTGCCCCACCCCCTCCTCAGGTTTTCAAGACATGGCTTCTCTGCGTAGCCTTGGCTGTGCTGCTATTTGCTGGGTAGACCAGGCTGGCCTTGAATTCACAGAAATCTGGCTGCCTCTGCCAGATTAAAGGTGATGGGATTAAAGGCGTGCCCCTCCCACCGCCCACCGTGGCCCCCCCTGGTATACCTGGGATTGATCCTGGGGCCTCCAAACATGCCAGAGAAGCACTTAGAGCCCAAGGAGACTTCTCTAGGGAAGACTGGGTGAATGTGCAACACAAAATAGCACAAACAAGGGTTTCACAGTTTTAGGGGTGTCAGGTGTGGAAGCAGAGGACCAAGAGTCTGAGACCAGTCTGTGCTGTACAGCTAGAGACCTGTCTCCAAACAAACAAACAAACAAACAAACAAACAAACAAACAACAAAAAACCCAGAGCAAGTCTTTAGGAGAAGGAGGGCTGAGAAAGGTGTGGTCTTTCTGCACTCTACCTTCATTCTGTGTCTTAAGAATCACATATCCTGGCAGGGTTCTGTGGTGCAAGCCTTTAAACCCAGCACTTGAGAGGCAGAGGCAGGCGGATCCCTGTGAGTTCAAGGTTAGCCTGGTCTACAGTGAACTCTCAAGAAACACATTTACCAGCACTTCACGCATTCCTAAAATTCCGGTGCCCAAATTCAAAGACGCAGCACCTTCACCAATGACCCACGGAGTGTCTGCCACTCCAGGAGACTTCCCTGAACACTATGGAGTGCTGCCTGCCTCTGTAGCCAGGTCATGTCAAATTTGTGTTCACTCAGTCAGTGCACTCCCTGGAGCCTAGGAAAATTTCCGGTTAAATGCTTTCCCAAAAACCATTCTATCAAAGCCCGGGGCCAAAGCTCAGGACCCTCTGGGGATGGCCACGGCAGGGTGCCGCAGAGCCAGGACCTGGTCTTCTGCATCTCCTGGGTCAGTACTCACTTTTCTCCAGCAACTTTGCGCAATAGTTTAGCCTCCGTCCCATTCACTTCCAGCTCCCAATCTCCAGACATCTTGGGAAGGGACTTATGTTTCTGGATTTTCTTTTCTTCTTTAATTTCATCCGTCAAGAACTCAACAAAAGCTTTGTCTCCTAAAAGAAAAACCAAAAGACGTTGTGGTGGCTCATGCCTTTAACCCCAGTACTCCGAGGCAGAGGCAGGAGAATCGCTGTGAGTTTGAGGCCAGCCTGGTCTACAAATCGAGTCCACAACAGCCAAAGCTACACAGAGAAACCACGTCTTGAAAAACAAAAAATAAAAACCAAAACGATTCAAGAAGAGAAAAGCCTGTCGACATGGATTGTGTCTAATGTGTTCTTATTGCTGCTCTCAAACTCTGGCCCAAATCACACTGAGACGTCCGTTTCCCTGTAAACTTAACAAACAGCAGATCTATGTACCGAGCTGAACTAAGTTCTGCAAGTTACTTCTCATCACGGATTCACTACTCTCACTTTCTGTGTGAAAAAAGCATTCCCAGCTACCCGCTTTCACTCGCCGAAACCCATTAACAACACGCTTTCAAACCACGATCCTGGGGCTTCGCCAAGTCACGTCTGCAAGGCGGGAGGAGGGGGCTGTGACGAGGGCCCAGGCGGGCGCGCGAACCTCACCTTCGGTGTGCAGGGAGCCACAGCCGCACGCGCAAGGCACCGGGGGCTGCAGGAGGCCGGAGCGCCGCGCGGAGCCGGCTCGCACGCTGAGCAGACCGAAGGGCCGGAGGCACGGGCGGGGCGCGGGCTGCAGCAGCTGCCGGAGCGCCGGGCCCGGGGCGGCGGCGCGGAGGGCGGTGGCGGCGGCGCCCAGGGCGCGGGGCACGCAGCGCAGCAGCGGCAGCATCGCGGAGCACACACGTGCGGACGGGAGGACGAGCGGGCCCGGACCAGGGCGTGACCTCGCGCGCCGCCGGAAGCCCCGGCCTCGCCCCGGAAGCGCTTCCCCGCCGCAGGGCGCCGCGCGCGCGCCCCCTGCCGGCAGCCGCCGGTGCCGCCCCGAGGCCCTGCAGCCCGCCCCGGCGCTCCGCCTGGGCCCGCGCTGTGTCTGCGCAGCTCCACGCCACCTCTTCTCGGCCACACCGGGCTTTGTTGCTCCGCGGAGTGCGCTCAACTCGAGCGGAACCACACACTCCAAGATCACCTCACTGAAACGTCTTCTGCCACCGCCGAGCTCCAGAAGGCGCGGGCTGACCGGCCTCAGCACACGAGATCCGGAACCCCAAGGGCAGGAGGAACGATCCGCCCCCTAACAATTCACGCAGGTGTTGAAGGACCGTCCTCCCGGGAGCAGGAACTTAGGGCTTACTTCACATTTAGGTTAAGAAGCAAGGACAGTGGGCTGAAGAAGTCTCAGTAGTTAAGGGCATTTGCTGCTCTAGGACTAGACTTCTGTTTCCAGCACCGACTCACAACCATCAGACACTCTCTTCTGACTTCCATGAACACCAGGCACGAATGTGCTACACACACTCGAATACAAAAAAAAAAAAACAAAACCAAAACACAAACCCCAAACCACCTGCTCCTGCAGTATAGTCCCAGCGCTGGCAGGGAAGAGGCAAACAGCTCTGAGGTAAGGCCAGCTTGGTCTACACAGCGAGCTCCAGAACAACCAGAGCTACATAAAAAGGCCTTGTCTCAGAAAACCAAAACCAAAACACACCAAGTTTTACCAAATGAATGGCAGTAAGACTGTTTAATATTCGAATAGCATTCTATAAATAAGGGGAAGGAGGCCCCACAAAAGAGGCCACACATATCACATACAAGATTCATTTTGTATGGATTTGATAGTCAAAAGCAAATTTGGGCATTATATACAAGAACTGTTGTCATGTTTGAGAGCAGACAGAATCAGCACAAGTCCAAATCAACTTGTTACTTTTCTACATCACAGCAACCAATATAAAATTGTTTCCCCACGCGTAGGTCTAGCTTATGTGCTCAAGGAAAGGCAGCTTAGATGCATGGGCACAGTTCCAAATAGATCCTGGCAACTGGAGTACAAAGATCTGTGTCACAGTAAATGCTTTGTTTTGGACTCTTGTGACAACTGGCAGAGGTGCACAGGTTTTCAGGGACCAGTTCGTAACACTGTTGCGGGTGTTGCGGGTCGTGGTTACAAACCAGACAGCCCCACGCCCTGGAGCCAGCAGGTGCTGCTAACGTCCATCTGCTTGAGGCTGTGCTGTCCAGACTGGAGTCTACGTTGGAGTCTGACAACTGGAAAAGTAGCTCGGCTTATACTGCAGAAAAACCATGAGACACTCCACTTTCCTAAGAGAGCTTAAAGAACACTGTCCCTGCAGCCCAGTAACTTCTTTGCAGTAATATGTGGAGTCAGAGTGAGGTTTCCATCTGCTTTAATCCCTGAGCAGCTTTGCTGAAAAGCATTTTTTTTAAAACCCAATAAAAAACTAAATAGTCTATTAAAATTCTACCATAATGTTAAAGTGACAAACATATTTCCATACAGAAACATTAAAGCTAACTTAGAAAGCGCCACCGTCAGTCCTTTTCTGTGAAGTTTCCCGCTTTGCAGTCTCTCCAGGTCAACCTCCCAGTCCTCACTCACTCAGCCACGGCAAGCTAAGCTTCCTGTGACCCAGAAAACAATGTGCTGGTTTCCCGGGGAACAGAGTGTTCACTGCTGAGGAATACACTGCCTCCTTGCTGATCCCTTTAGCCAGCACACAAATGCCCTATTAAAAATACGAAAGCCCTTCTTACCAAGCAAGGCTAAATAAACCTTGCATAGATAGAAAAAATACACTTAAAAAGAGAACCCTTTCTGGAGAGCTTTTCAGAAAGTTGGTAGTGTAACCATTTTATCAAAGAGACAGTCCCAAGTACCCTGACAACTCTAAGCGCCGGCTAAAAGCCTGATTGCCCGCGGCTTGGGCTATATTAAAGCCTAGACCAGATTCAGCAGACACAGCTGTGGACCAATGAGACCCTGGCAATGAAGTGCCCAATCAGGCTATGCCCTCTGGAAAGAGCTTGCTGGACTCAGAGTGAAGAAACTGCCCACTGCCTTTCAACTACCTTGTAGGCAGTCTGGCCTCTTGCTTATAAGCAATACAACTCACTGTATAAAGGACAGAATCTTAGTAGTACAGCTGTGTTTGGATCAATTAAGCACAAGAAAACAGCTAAATTTGGTCTTTTCCTAGGTTCAAACATCCTCTGGGAAAGTGTGCTTTTCTTCTTCCACCTAGATGCAAGGTCCAGTCCCCAGGCTGGCCTAGAACCGGAAGCCTCCCAGCTGGCACTGATAAGATGGGTGTACTACCACACCAGGGACTGTCAGCCCCTGCAATCCTAAGAGGGATCTTTTCTAAACAGGAATGGGATGTAGAGGCTTCTCTGAAAAATTCCCTCAGGCGAGGGAGGTTTGAGAGGGGCACCTGGTCAGGAAGTAGCAAGGCTAACCGTCCCCAGGCCCCACCAAGAACACTGAAAAATCAGTGAGATAAAAAATACAAAGACTGGCTGGGTGGTGGCACACACCTTTAATCCCAGCACTTGGGAGGCAGAGGCAGGAGGATCTCTGTGAGGTCAAGGCCAGCCTGGTCTATAGAGTGAGTTCCAGGACAGCCAGGGCTATACAGAGAAACCCTGCCTCCAACTGCCCCCAAGAAAAAACAAGCAAGCAAGCAAACAGAAAAACCCAAAACAAAGACTGGGTGTTGCAGAAAAGACAAACTGACACCCTGGCTTCTGAGCCATTAACCACTTGGCCCGGCTCCTTCCCACGAGCAGCTCTGACCTGGGGCCCCACCTCAGCAGACAGCTGAACTGGGTGAGGCCTCCCTTGTGTGCACACAGTGTGCCCAGTTAAAGAGAACATTACCACCGGGCTTCAGAAGGCCGCTGCATTGAAAAGCTGGCTCCTGATTTCAGGAAACCAACATGTCTCATGAAAGCATTGCTGGGGACACGAAACCACAGAGGTACCAAGGAACTCCTCTGCTGGTCTCTGCGTGGAGAGACTGGAGAGCATGTGACACCCTGAGCTGTGAGGGTCAACAGGTCAGAATCTACCTTGCTCTGGAAATGCCCGTGGGAGCCAGTTGCTCCCATTTTCTAACAGACACACAGGTAGACACTGAAGGTGAGGCTGAGGACTGGCTCAGTGGCAGAGTCTGCATAGCATGTCTTAGCCCTGGGGTCCATGGGGAGGGTGTGGAAGGAGGAACACAGAGGGCAAGAGACTGGGCCTGCGGTTTCTTGTGGCTCCTCCTCCTCCCCACCCAAGGCCAACAGACTTCCTAAGTCTGTGGCTTCCTAAGGCAACTCCTCCGAGACCCAAGGGCTCCAGGGGCCGTGTCGTACCTAGTTAGAATCACAACTCACAATGGCTTACAAGTCCCCGATTCTCTTATCTTCTGTCAGGCAACTCTGTTCGTAACCTTCTATTCATTTTTTTCTAAACTTCATTACTCTGAACTCCAAGTCTTACCCCTTTCTGGCAGATAAGGACACTGAGGCTCAGAAGTTAATTCAGTCACCCCAAACGGCCTAGCCAAACCCCAAGTACAAACAAGTTTCAGCCTCTTGTGGTCTAAGTATGAACGTGTCTGCACGGTTGGGTCTGAGGAGGTTGTCAACGCTTTCAAGCTCTTGCAGTCTGAAAATCGGCTGCATTGCACTGTGCTGTTTCTCTAGCTTCTGGGCGGGTCTGGAAGATGGCTGTAGTCCAGGCGCTGGCCTTGCTGTGCTCAGTTCCTGGCAGTTCTCAGCTTCCTCCTGAAGTAGTCAGGGGCGGCCTCGTACAGCCACTCGGCATCCACAACGCAGAGGTCTCGCATGTAGCACTTGCTGGTGTAGAGCAGAGCCGTGTATACCACGCAGGCAGGTTTGCAGTGGAAGAGGACAGACGACGGGTGGATGGCCACTGGCTGATGTGTGTCCGTGGTGGCGTAGGTGCCGTCTGGCTGGAGCTCGGCAGTACTCATAAAGAGGCTGTGAGCCAGGCAGCGGCGAACACTCTCCATGTCCCCTCGAGATGACATGATGGGCATCGACATCTGTGTCAGAAGAGACAGAAAAGACTCAAACGTTACTGCTCCCCAATGCTGCACAGTGCAAGGGAGCAACAGGACGAAGTGCGGCTGACACAGTGAGATTCTGATATCAAAGGAGCTGCTTCAAATGCAGCAGCTCAGGTGGAGGGTGCAGGCACAGTTAAGGAAGGGTAGACGGAAAGAACAGAACAGAACCAAACAGGAAAACGGCATTCCAGCAGACCTGAGAGAGACACATCAGTACACGCTACACACAGGCGAGGCGTGCCGGGTAGCCATTTCCGAGATCAAACCATCCAGCACGGAGAGAAGCTCCTTAAGATACAGGACGGAAGTGCATGCCTTTACTCCCAGCACTCAGGAGCAGAGGCCAGCCTGGTCTACAGAGTGAGTACAGGGCAGCCAGGGCTACACAGAGAACCCTGCCTTGAAACAAACAAATGAAGATACAGGATGGGGGAAGGAATGCCTTCCTCTAAGCTCTCTGGGTACAAGGCAGTATAGGACACACGGGTACATGAAAGCAAGAATTATACACAATACACAGTGTTCTAAAGGGGGCTCACTAGGCAAACAACTCAAGGGCTTCAGGAGTCCCTGAAACATCAGCTTGTCCTCAGCACGTGTAAGCTGTAAGGACTGCTGACACTCTCAAGACTGAGCTGCCTAGAAGTGGCTCAAAACAGCTGAGCGAAGGGACAGCAGCACACAGCCTAGTCAGACTGTGAAGAAGCAGAGCTTCCTGGGAGAGGCACAGACCTCCAGCCTGTTGGTCAGCCTGGAGGTTTACAGCCAACTTCAGCAGCTGTCACCATGCTGGGGTGGGCTTTGGTGACGCGCATCTCACTGGTTCACCTCATTGGACTGGTGTCTGTAGTTTGGTTTGTTGTCAGTTCTCCGTCTGGGCTGAGCAGACGCCTGATTTCCATCTCTCCAGGTACAGCGCCACACAAAGGGTAGCCCGGGAGAGCAGCATGCTTGCCCCATCAGTCCCCTCAGGGTCCTCTCGGCCTGTGGCCACCTGCCCCTCCTGCAGTGCCACATGGTTCTCGCTTCCCCTTCTCCAGGCGGTCAGTTTCCCCGCTCCCGACAGAACAATGGCAGCCTCTCACAGGGAAGCCCTGGCTGAGCCACGAGCCAGCCCGCCTGGCCTGGCCTTTTCTAAGCCCCTTTCTGCAGGGACCCTACGGCCCTCTATAACCAAACACTCATCTTTCACAGACCTGTGAAGCAGTTCCCCTCTCCAGGCCTCTGCATATGCTACTCCTAGCAGCCACCCTCACCTCTGCAGCCAGCGCCCTTCTACACAACAGCTGACCGGGGTCATGGAAGCCTCCATTGCTGGATCTGCGAAGCCTCTGAAATGGGACCTCTAAGCACTCTCTGCTGAGGCCCTGAGTGAGGGGCTCTTACTTGCAGGCGGAGGCAGAAGGCGAGAAGAGAAAAGGAAGTATGTGGAGAGGGGCAAGGACAAGAGGATCAGTGAGTCCAGAGAGTGAAAGCAGCTGCACCCCACACGCCTTCTTTCAGAGCTTGTGGGGTCGTGCCTCTGTTTTTGTGTATGGGTTCTAAGAAACATCACTCTGTCTTTTGGAAAACTCATTTACTTTACAGTGGCCGTTCTGTGCTTTAAGCTCATCTATCAGATGAGAACAGAGAGAAGGCTTGGTTGTTAAGGCACCTGTTTGCCCCTGCAGAGGGAACTGACTCCCAGGACACGGTGGCTCACAACCAGCCACGATTATAGCTCCAGGGGACCTCTTCTGAGATGCCCTCTTCTGAGTGCCACGAGCACCAAGCATGCATGTGGTGCACACACAGACATACAAGCATGGAAAAGGAACTCTCACATCTCTCCAAGATGACCCAGTGAGCTGTCATCTTGGAGGCTTACTGCCTCCTTCTGCTAACCCAGTCCTGGAAGCTTCTAGCCTCTGTACAATCTGACCCAGGGCTACAATGTGTTCAGTCTCGGAGACTGACTGCTGAATGAGCTCACCCTTGCTAGTTCTTTCTGAACTCTTGCTGGCTGGTTCAACTCAGCTGTTCTGGCTTAAACTCCTCTCCAAGCTGAGTGATTCAAACTGGCTTCTCTCACAGCTTCTGACTGGATTGCTCTATTTGGCCTCAAACTAACTTTGGCAATATGTTCTAATCATCTGGCTCCTTCTCATTCTCTGGCTTGTTCTGTCTTTACCTGTGTCTCACTTATTCTCTCTACAACCTGTCTGTAAAATTCTCTGAAAATCCACAAACTGAACTGCCACAAACTCAATGCCACTTTACTGCCTCTAAGCTCACTGCCTCAGCTCACTGCCTCAGGAGAACTGGCTGAACAGCCCTGACTAGAACTCAGAGATCTGCAAGCCTCTGTCTCCTGAATGCTGGGATTAAAGGCCTGTACCACCACGACTGGACCTCAGCTTTTCTTTACCTGAAACTTGCTCTGTACCAGGTTGGCCTTGAACTCAGAGATCTGCTCGCCTCTGTCTCCAGGAATAAAGGCGTATCTGTATTCCAGCCATATCATATAGATCTAGAAGGTCTTTGGGTGTGATCTCTTGTCAGAGCAGTCATGTTCTGAATTAACATTCCTCTACACAAACAAAACACACATAAAATAATCTAAAAATAACAAATCTAAAAAACAAAAAACTAAAGACATTGCTCAACGGCCTAGAGTGTATCCAGTGATACAACCCTTGCCACATGGCCCTGGGCTCCACAGCTGCAGAGGAGGAAGCTCAGTTGTGTCTGTGTCCAAGCTGAAGTCAGCCCAGCCCCAGGGGTAGACAGCTGAGGAGGTACAGAGCTGAGATAGCTTTGGAGTGTGACATCCTAAGCATGAGGCCACTGGGTGGACCAGCCCGCGAGTCACAGCCTGCCGTGGCTCACTGACAGACTCCGGGGTGCCAAGTCTCTTCCACACCCCCCTCCCCTGGCAGCTTGGTGGGATTTGAAAGCAGAGACTGGGTCTCCTGGAGACCTCAGTGCTGAGCTTGCCTCCACCCAACCCCTCTCCCCCCACAGACAAAGTTGTAGCTAGAAAGGCAGCCGCCCCGCCTGTCACCGGGGAGTCTCTGGAGGATGGAGAAACTGCAAAGCCTGTGAGGCTTACAGAAGGGGAGCCACCACCAGAAGACAGCTTCAGCAGACACCGAAGCTTGTTCCGTTCAGGCTCAGCACCAGCTAAACCACAGGAAGCACAAAGCAGCGGCAGAGGCAGACTCCACCCTCCTGACCCCACACACTGGCGGCCTCCAAGGTTCAAGCCCCAACAGTCATTGCATATATGAGCAAGACCCTGGTTTAAAAACATCTTTTTGCCTCCCTGGTGTTTTCCAATTTTTCTTTTTTATTTTAAGTACTGTTTTTTGTTGTTTTGTTTTTTGTTTCCAAGACAGGGTTTCACTGTGTAGCCCTGGGTGCCCTAGAACTAGCTTGGTAGACCATACTGGCCTGGAACTTGAAGAGATATGCCTGCCTGTCTCCCAAATGCTGGTGTTAAAGGCAGGCGCCTCGCAAACATTTTTTTCCTTGAACCAGAAAACAGTCACAAAGTTTCTAACTCATGTGAGGTCCAGGGTTCCATACCAAGCAGCCCCACTCAAAAGAATCTAAGTCATAGATGTAATGTAACTACGTGCAAGCTGAGCTCAGCATTGCCTCCTGAGTTCAACCTCCAGACATAGTGTGGACTGGGGGTTGGTGGAGGGGAGAGAAAAGAAAACCCGAATCACCATGGATTCCTAGGAATAAACCATAATAGCAGAGAGAGTAGAATTACGGGTAACTTTCATTTTCTTGTGTACGTAAATTTTTTCTACTATTAGAATTCCTTTCATACCTCTGACAATAAGCAATTCAAGACCCCCATAAGAAAATAAAACCTTTTCCTGGAAAGGGAGGTATTACCTTTAAGCAGATTTCCCTCAGCTGTGCTCTGACTTCAGCTACTAGCAGCATATTCTTACTGTTGACAAAGTTCTCTTTGCACCAGTCCTGAATACAAGAAAGAGAGAAAGCTCAATCCTCTCATTTCTATGCAGAGGAAACATGCACCTTACAAGACCTTGACGGCACAGTTGAATTCAGAGGGGTCTTCAGGTACCAAAAGGAATACAGGAAAGTACCTTTACACTAAAAACTATGAAGTAGGAAAAAAAAAAATGAATATTTAAACTTAAATAAAACTTAAATATTCCCACCCCAGGGTCATCATGAGAACAGTTACAGACTGGAATGCATGCATCGCCATCCCTATTACGGACATGTACCTCTAGAATATTATTAAAACCAGTGAGAAAAAGACCAAGAAACTGGAGAAAAATGGACAAAAGACATAGAATGCTCAATAAACCTAGGTAAGGGTGCTTGTTTCCTGAGGGTGGAGGCAATGAGGTTTAGAACATGGAGACAGATACCCAGTGATTTCATTTGACAGCTGGAAGGACAGTGGAGATGGGAATTCTACTATTCTGTCCAGGTCCAGGAGGCACTAACGGTCTGGCCTGCTAGCAGGGTGAAGCAGAGCCACAAGACCCCAGCCCAACAAGCCTATGCTCACTTGTTGGCCTCACAGAATTCTCCTGAGCACAGAGACCTGAGCAAGATGACACTGCAGTCATGGAAACGGAAGCAGATGAAAGGCCAGAATGTGGATGGATAGGAAGCAAACGCTTCCTTTCCTAGTTTTGATACAGTCTTAATATGTAGCCAACCAAACAGCTAACTAAGCCTATTGAAAGCATGTCCTTAGAGCTGAGTGTGTGGCACAAACCTGTGGTCCAGCACTCGGAGGCTGCAGATCACAAGTCTGAGGTCAACCTGGGTTACACACATAAAGACAAACAAATGGGCGGGCACGTTCTTGCTGGAACACACCAAGGGCAGAACAGTCTTCAGCAAGGAAGCCCAGCACTCTGTACTGCATCAAACCCGTTTTGTTTGTCTACATATAAACTGAGGGCCAGCGAGACGGTTTAGCCGGTCAAGGCGCTTGCTGCCAAATCTGAGTACATGAATTAAACTCCATGTACCCATACCATGAAAGAACAGAACCAACTCCTATAAGCTGTCCTCTGGCCTCTACAGGTGCCTGGATATTTGTGTGCATACACCCATGTACATGTGAACACACACACATACAGACACAGAGAGAAAAAATAAGCTAAAGTAAACCTAGCCAAGTTAACAAGTGCTAAAGCTGCAGGGCAGCATCTGTTTTAAACAATGCACCAAGGCACAATCACGCGTCTGTAAGACAGAGAATACACTGCCGCTTCCCATCTTAGTATAAGGCACTGAGATGTCTTATTAAAAAACAGTCTAAAAGGGAGCTGGAGAGATGGCTCAGAGGTTAAGAATATTGGCTATACTTCCAAAGGTCTTGAGTTCAATTCCCAGCAACCACATGGTGGCTCATAACCATCTAAGATGAGATCTGGTGCCCTCTTCTGGCCTGCAGGCATATATGCAGGTCAAATACTATATAAATAATAAACAAATAAAATATTAAAAACAAACAAACAAACAAACAAACAAACAAACCAGTATAAGAGCTGAGCAGATAAACAAGAAAACACCTTGTGTGGTTTGAATATTCTCAAAAGCTTCAGTGAATCCCTATTGGGAGACGTAAGTGAAAACTTAATTCATTTATGGTATCTGTGGGCCAGTAAGATGGCTGTGAGTAAGGTGCTTGCCACTAAGCCAGTGACCTGCTTGCTTGCCTGACCACCCAAGGTGGGGCCTTGGCACACACACAGTGGAAGGACAGCACAGTAAGCTCTCCCCTGACCACACAAGCTCCCTCCCTCCTACACACACACACACACACAATTAGTACACACCCAGTCTATTTAAAAAATATATGTGTATATATATATATATATATTATATGTATAGATAAAATGTATTATATATGTATATATAAAATAGGTATATATATGTATATGTAAAATATATATTTTGAGACAGGGTTTCTCCATGTAGCCCTGGCTGTCCTGGACTTACTTTGTAGACCAGGCTGGCCCTGACCTCATCAAGATCTACTTGCCTGTCTCTGCGTCCTGAGTGCTGGGATTAAAGACATGCACCACGACAGCCCTTCTTAAAATAAATCTAAAAATTTTATCTTTAATCTTAGCACTTCAGGCAGATCTCTTCAGTTTGAGGCCAGCCTGATCTACACAGTGTATTCAGGTCAGCCTGAGCCACAGTAAGACTCGTCTCAACAAAGCAAAACAAAATCCCTTCAAGAAACATGTGGCATAGTAGCACCTGGCAGGAGGCGGCAGGCAGGTCTGAGTTTGAGGTCAGCCTGCATAGGGGATTCCAGGCCTTGAGGTTATACAATGAGAACCAGTTTCAAAAGTAAACCAACCAACCAACCAAAAACCAAAACAAAACAAAAGAAATTTTAAAAACTTAGGGGCTGGAGAGGGTTAACACTGCCTGCTCTTCCAGAGGACCAGGGCTACTTTCCGGCCTGGCTTACAACCATTCCTGGGAAGCTGAAGTCCTCTGCCCTCTACTGGCCTCCACAACAATAGCAAGCATGTGATACCTAGATGAGGAAGGTATCATCAAGCCTCATCAAGATGAGGCAAACACACAGGCTCACAGCACGCTCACAGGAATGCACGCATGCACCCCAATTTAAAAATTACGGTGTTTCTAAAAGCAGGAGGACATCTGGAAAATGACCGAATCCACACTGGTTCCTATTGTAGAAGAGGAAGAGGCCACATAGACACGCACTGCCTTCTTCTTGCTGTGTGTGCTCTTCTACTGTGAAGCAACAGATAAGGCCTCTAAGGCTTACCAGTCAAGAATAGGAGAATAAATCTCTTTTCTTTATAAAATGACCTATTTCAAGTATTTCTTTACAGTAACGAAAAAATGAGCATAGTGGTACACCACTTTCAGTGCTAGAAAGGCAGAGGCAGGCAGATCTCTGTGTTCAAGGCTAGGCTGGTCTACAGGGAACCCACCCTCCAAAAGTGAGGCATAACTGTGCTGGCTAAGATACACGTAACTAACTTGTCTGCAGTCTATGTAAAAGCAGCAGCACAAACACCTAAATAACACTTTCCTGGTGATGTCCCAGCACACACACATTTCTGAGATGACATCTGGCCTTTTGTTTGTTTTTCAAAACGTGATTTCTTAGTGTAGTCCTGGCTGTCCTGGTTCTTGCTTTATAGACCAGGCTGGCCTTGAACTCACAGAGGTCCTCTTGTCTCTGCCTCGCAAGTGCTGCAATTAAAGACACGCGCCACCAGGCTGGAGAAGTGTTTGCCAAAAGAGGGTATATGTAAGAACACATGCCTGCAGGCATGAACCAGGCTCACCTTGTTCCCACCTGTGTTCTTGAAGGTCCGGTAGAGATTGAGCAGAGTGACATGGTCCCCCTCACTGGAGATGAACTTCTTCCGGACACTCTGCACTTCCTCTCTGCGGGCAGGGGGGTTGTACAGGACGCTGTCCACGGACAGCAGGGAGACGATGGTGAGGATCTCTTCAGTACAGTGGAATTTGGAGGACAGGAGGATAGTCTGGAAAGTCCATTTACAGTGAGAGTCAGGCTTCCTGGCTTCTGAACAGTGTTTCTGTGCGCCTCTTGCACTCCCTTTAAGGAGTGTGGTGGCCTTAGGACCATAGCGCTGTGACAATGCCATTCACTTCTTTGTGACAGAAAGATGCCATCCCCGTGGGGTTCCAAACCTTTGTGGGCAGGCCTCTGAATCCCACACACAACATAAATCAGCATTGCACACAAAGTAAGGGCGATAGGCCGTGTTTAGGAGAGCAAATGAGGTTAGTCCAGAAGCACTGGGCTTGGGCATTTCCTAACCTGTAATGCAGAGAGGGGAATGGGGAAGAGGAGTCATTTACTTTGGCAAATTTGGGCTCTAAAGGAAATGCTGCCATCTTTCTTCCAATTGGAGTCAGGGCAAGCTGGTCATCCTTATGTTCAAGAGCACCTAACAGGTCCAGCTGGGCAATGGCCGCCTGAATGTGATCTATAGAGACGGAGACATAAAAAGGAGCCGGAAGTCCAGAACAGGAAGAAGATGCAGCTAGCTGAGTGCTTCTGGGGGCTTCTAACTCTACAAACCGCCAAGGCCACCCGCCACTGTCCTCACATTTCTCGAAGCCTGAATGATACCACTAAATCACAAGGGAGTCTAACGCAGTCATGGGAGAACTGTTACCCAGAGGAATGGGGGAGGCAAACGGTGAGGCAGGGGTCCAAGAGCCTGGCTTCCATGACATGGGCAGCATTACACTGGCGTTGGCTGCATTACCCCTATACTCTGTATTTATGGAATACTGTGCCCTCTGTGCTATTTGTGTTTTTAGAGACTAACACATTCCCACATGCACAGACTTTTGTGTAGAACACAGCCAGAAAATCTCTCTTCGAGAGAACTGACTGGGGTTCGGGGTGAGGACACCTCTTGACAGTTCACTTTCTCTTGTACCAACTACATTTCCTTAAAGAAAAAGAAAATGGCCTGGTGATAAGGGCCCAGGTACCAAAGCTGCCACCATTTAGTGTCAGTTCTTAAAAGTTCTTCCTCCAGGAAGGGCCGGGACTGATCACGCCCTGGGTTACCACAGAGATCAGACCTCTCCGGCCTTTGGCTGGGCACTGCAGGGGCAGCTCATGGATGCCTATGACTTTCCTGTCTCCCTGCACAGCGGTGCTGCTACCAGAACCTCCCACTGCACGACCAATGACACCAAGCCAGCAGAACAGGGTCAGAATGTTTCTTTTCTTGCTCCAAGTGCTTCTCCTGGGGAAGAGCTCCTCTGCTAGTGTCCGTCTGTCTAACTAACTTCCAGCTTACCTGGAGATGGCTTAGACACGAAGTCAAAGGTGAGCACATTTGGGACTTTCATTGCCAGGAGCTGAAGTATCACGCTTGCCAGGTTACACCTGTGAGGGAAGCAAGGGTCCTTCAGCTGTTCTTAACCCCACTGAGTTCACACTGTTCCCCAGCAAGCAATGGTGAGAGCTGCAGCCTGAGAACAGGAGCAGGCGAGGAGGAGGCCAGGAGGACTGCACCCACCTCTGGATCTCCGGCACTGTCATCTTCTCAAACTTTTCAAACTCGTCCTCAGTGTAGAGCCGGTAGCAGATGCCACTGCCCTCGCGGCCGGCCCTGCCTGTGCGCTGCCAGGCCTGGGTCTTTGACACTCGCTGCACAGCTAGTACCTCGAGACCACTGTCTGCAGGGAGAGGGGGCCATGAATGCTTTGCATCATCACACAAGCACACTGTTTCTAGAATGCTGGCAAAAAGAAACGATGCTGAGTACCGCTGAGTGTTTCTGCAACACAAGGGTCAAGGAAAACTGAAGGCTAAACAAGAAAGCACAAATCCAGGTGCTCAGCGCTTTAAACCTCTCAGTGAAACTGAGCCTAGCAATGAGTCATGTGTGAAATGTTAAAATCCCATCACAACACCCTCTGCAAGCAAGGCGGCAGGAGAATGGCTTCGGAAGTTTGAGCTCACACCACAGGACAGCCAACCATCCCTGCTGCCTGGCCCTGAGGCTTCTTGGGATTTTGGTGCTGAGACAGTTTCTAGCTAACTGAAAGGATGGTTATACATCAACCAATGATAACACGTCCTTTGTTCTCCCTCCCAGTTCTATAAAATGGCTCATGTGACATTGATTTCCCGGAAGAAGAAGACACCAGTTCTCTCAAGTACAGGATTATTCTGTGCCTGGAACTAGAGACCCACGCTTGTCAGCAGGAGGTACATGAGTGAAGTGTTTAGTGGAACATGCCAACTAAACCCGGGGCGGGGGGGGGGGGCAATAACCGCAGCAGCCTCTGTGGAATAAGGCAAAGCAAAAATCAGAACTGTGCAAAGCTGACTTCAAGCCAGCGTGGCCTTGAAGGAGACAGTCAACCCTTCCCCTCCATGCACACCTGCCCCCTTCCTGGGAAACGTGGCGTCTACCCCAGCCACATTCCGGCAGCCCTTCTAGAGCCTGTGACTGGTACCAGGCTGCCCCTGGCCTTCCTGCCACCATTCTCACCCAGCTTTTAACTGGTTGTCAGGGCCCAGCAGAGGCCCTGGTTGTTCTTCCCTGTCTTCCTGCCACTCAGATCTCAGCTCCTAACAAACATGAGGTGTTTACTTGGGAGGAAATGGCGGGTTACAGTTTTAACCACTGCTCGCCGCACAGGAGACATTCATGAGCTACAGTTTCTCACCAGGGTTATACTTCTTTGCTTTAACCATGCCCGTGTCAACTACATATTTTATTCCTGTAATGGTTATGGAGGTTTCAGCGATGTTGGTTGAAATGATGACTTTGCGATAGCCCTAAAAGGAGGAAGAAAATCAAAAAGCTGTGTGACACACACGGTTCAGAAGTCGAAAACATTCTCACCATGCATTTCCACAACTTGCTGGTCGGGAAAAGGTGATTTCACTGTTAGCAGTAGTCACAGCCATCTCGGCCCTCACACTTGGTAAGGGGCAAAGGGAGAGCACTGGTCCTGTCACGGAGATCTGAAGGCTAATCTGAGGCGGTGAGATGCAGTGGAACAAGATAAAGGCCTGAGCAGGTAGACAGATGGGAGTTGGAATCCTGGCCCTGCCAGGGTGTACCTGGGTGCCATAAGTAGTTCCCACCCCCTTCTTGGAGTCCACAGCATCCATCACGGCATTCCATGAGAATGAGAGATGGTCTTATGTGCGTGTCGGACTGTGCCTGGCTCACAACAGACGGTTCTGTGGGCAATGCAGTTCGCACCAGCCCTTAACCACTCAGCCTGTACACTTCCGTGCCCACCCTCGTCCAGACGATTCTCGCTCTCCTCACAGGACAGCGCCCTGCAGCTGTGCATTCCACACCTGTTCTCTCCCAGCCGACCTAGGACCTGAATAGCCCCCTTCCACCTTCTCTGGATCCTGGTGGCCGGGGCACAGGCCCCACTGGTGGATCTGACCTGATGTCCAGTGATGCAGAGGGCAGAAAGGTGGCACACCCACCTTTGGGGCCCCTTGGAAGACTCGGAGCTGCTGTGAGTAGGGTAGGGAGGCGTACAGAGGGAGGACAAGCATTGGAGGGCAGCCATCTGGAAGGCGCTTGGCAATGTCTCGGCAGGTCTTGCTCATTGCTTCGATCTCCTCCTGCCCAGTGAGGAACACCAGGATGTCCTGAGAAGGGGGCGCTTCCTGCAGAGACAGAGAGTATTGATGATGGTAATGTTGCCACGAGGGTTTCAATTCTGTTTCACTTTTTAATTATGAAGATGAAATAAGTCTAACAGTGGTGTCTCCCAGGGATCCATATAAGGTGTGAATACAGAACCAACTCCGTGAAGTTGCCCTTTGACCTCTACATGTGCTCTGCCCCTCCCCCAGCACACATGTGCACACGCACACCCCCCCAATAAAATTTCAAAAATCTTAAAAAAAAAAAAAAAAAAAAAAAAAAGTTGGCCTTTGGCAGTTCAGAGGCAGACTACTAGCCTTTCCTTCTCCTACAAACATTATGAAACTGACAGTAAAAGTCACTGTCTCTGTCCCCTAGAAGGAAAAAAAAAAAATCACTGCCCCAAAACGATGAAGACAATGGGAGACAAGAAGGCAGGCAGCTGGTTAGGGGACACCTTCTAAGTAGAACAGGGACAAGAAGTGCAGATGGAGGATAGATACAGCTCGGTGCTGGAGTGCTGGCCTAGCTGGGGCAGGAGGACACTTGGCAAAGCAGCCTGCTCCAACCGGATGGCAGCATTAATGACCCAGAGAGAGAGAGAGAGAGAGAGAGAGAGAGAGAGAGAGAGAGAGAAGGAGATGGAGAACACACACAGCACTTCATGACTGCCATCAGACACAGTGTAAAATGTATCACACTGCAGGCCTACTCAAATTTTTCAGACCAGGACAGGGACAGAGGTAACAATGAGGCTCCTGATACTGTAATTACTGAGGCTGGATTTAAAGACGCTCATGATAACAGCTACGTTGAAAGGCTCAAATTGTTCACATCGATCTGCTTGACATGTGACACGCCTGGCTCAACTGCTGTTTTTAGTTGAGATGGTGAGATCTGTTCGGAGCCTAGTTCTCCAGAGCTCAGACTCAACTCCAGCTCACTATGCAGGAAGGATGGTCCTGGACTCTTGGCCACTCTGCCTTTGGCTGGTACAGGGCTGCTGCACCAGCTGTCTGAAGAGCTCAGGATAAAACTCAGGGCTCATACATGCTGGGCCACCCTTCTACAGACGAGCTACAATTCCAGACCAAATGTTTGAACTACACAAGCAATACTTAGCTTAAAATAAAAACTGTTTGACTCTAGATTTTTCAGGAAATTAATATAGAGACTAAAACGTCTATATACATCAAACCAAAACAACAGGACTTAATCCCTCAAAATCTTTTTCATACACGTGTTCATGTGTGTGGCACAGAGAAGCCAGAGCTCAAAGCTTCATCTAACTCTCCACCTTGTTCTTGAGCGAGGCTCTCTCACTGAACATGAAGCTAGCTGTGCATCCACCATGTCCATCCCCCTCCCTGCAACTACTGGGCCTCCAGACCCACAGTGCCAGGCGGCTCTCCTGTAAGGGCTGGGGTCTGGACTCAGGGCTGGCACAGTTCCAGGCGGGTCTCCTGAGTGCTGGGGTCTGGCCTCAGGCTGCACAGTTGCAGGCGGCTCTCCTGTAAGGGCTGGGGTCTGGATTCAGGGCTGGCACAGTTCCAGGCGGCTCTCCTGAGTGCTGGGGTCTGGACTCAGGGCTGGCACAGTGCCAGGCGGCTCTCCTGTAAGGGCTGGGGTCTGGACTCAGGGCTGGCACAGTTCCAGGCGGGTCTCCTGAGTGCTGGGGTCTGGCCTCAGGCTGCACAGTTCCAGGCGGCTCTTCTGTAAGGGCTGGGGTCTGGACTCAGGGCTGGCACAGTTGCAGGCGGCTCTCCTGTAAGGGCTGGGGTCTGGCCTCAGGGCTGGCACAGTTGCAGGCGGCTCTCCTGAGGGCTGGGGTCTGGCCTCAGGCTGCACAGTTCCAGGCGGCTCTTCTGTAAGGGCTGGGGTCTGGCCTCAGGCTGCACACTATCTTGGCAAGCTGCCCTTGGCCCACTGACCCATTCCCAGCCTTTAACCACACACATGGGAATGTAAATGTTTGATGAAATAAAAGAGTATTTTGTAATATCTAAGTCTTAAAATACCTCAGGACATCTGTGTGGTGCATACCTATCATTCTAGCACTCAGGAAACCTAGGCAGCAAGACAGCAGCTGGAAGCCGGCCTGGGTTACGTGGTGAGACTAGACACACTGTATAGCATCCTGCGTTGCAATATAAAATAATAAAGAAAAGCACACAAGCCACTCCTTTAACATATGAGAGTTTTCTGGCTCATAGGATGTCAGACAGCTGCTGATTATACAGGTGAATTATTTTTCTTTTCAGAGAAAATAAGAACTATAAAACAGGCAAAAGCAGATGTAGAAGATAAACTTTTTAAAAAGGATCATTTTATTATATTTGCGTGCATGTGTGGCACATGTGTGGAGCCATTCAGTGGCTTTTATTTCAGAGGCGAACTATTAAGTGTAAGGCAGCACAGAATTTGTCACAGATTTTCACCCCATTCCATACCTGGTGGATCTGGAAGACTGAAACGAGAGCCGCGTGCAGGTAGTCCTGCTGAGGCTGTTTGGTGTAGAAGGTCTGGATGGGGTGCTGCCGACCCTCAAGGTAGAGGACAGGGGCTCCATCGAAATACTGAGAGAACAGGTCGACATCCATAGTAGCTGACATCACAATCACCTGAGGAAAGAATAAGGGCTGGGAAATAACACCGGAAGGCATTTCCATAAAGCTGATGGTTGAGGCCCATGCCGGCCCAACACAGCTAACTCTCTCCCGTGTGCCTGAATGGGCAGGACAACCGTCCTGGGAAAGAAAGGGCCAGTCTTTGAGCACATCCCACATACTTTGAGCGGCAGTTTCCCTAGCTCCTTTCGCCTCTTCTGTGCAGCCTTCACCACTCCGAAGAGCACGTCTGTATGGATGGTCCGCTCATGGGCCTCGTCCAAAATGACACAGCTGTACTTCCGAAGCAAGGAGTCTGAAATTGCTTCCCGCAGAAGCATGCCATCCGTCAGGAACTTGATCCTGGTGTCTTCTGAAGTGACGTCCTCAAAGCGCACTGTATAGCCAACCTGTGAGGAAGGAGGACTCCTTCTTTCACTAACCCTTCAGCACTAATCCAGCACTGCCTCAGCACAGCGGATCACAGCGAATGAGACCGACTCTGCCGCACCCCCTCAGCAGCGAGGCCTGCCTGGAGAGAGAAACACCAGGCTCTTCCCTTCAACTGCGATGCAACATCACAAAGAATTAAAATGTAAGGAAGCAAGACGCAGCAGTGGATATGATACTGGCTTTGCAGGTCTGACCATCTAAATTCAATCCCTAGAGCCCAGAGATCTGACTTCCAAATTGTCCTCTGACCTCCCTATGTGACACACACTAAAAAGGAAAAACAAACAAAAAACTGTAACCTCATACCTCAAGCTGCCTCCGTACAGGCATGAAAAGAGGCCCAAAATATTTTGACTTGTAACACACATACACAATACAGATATGAATGTTTCCTATATAGTTCCAACACTCATTCTATATACCCATGTATAGTTAAGAGCGGTTTCGTATTTTATAGAAATATATATGTTTAATATAGATAAATTACATACATACATACATGTAATAGATGTAAAAGAGGACAGACATGACACTGCATGCCTGCAAGCCCAGCACTCTGTAGGCAGGGACAGGAAGATTGCCTAAGTTCAAGGCCACCCTGGTCTATGGTCTCTATAGTAAGTTCCATGCTAGCGAGGGCTACAAGTGAGACCCTATCTCAAAAAACTCAAATCAAACCAACAAAAAATTGAGATGTCTAAAGTCTTAAACACATAAACTAGGGGTTAAGGGTCCAGCTCAGGGGTAGCACTTGTCTAGTATGTGAGAGGCCCTGAGTTCAACCTCCAATGCCATTCAAGTGTTGTAACACACTCACCCCATCCCCCAAATACCTAAACAAGAAACACCTAATTTACCTAACTTGCCAGAAGCTATGAAATCAAAGCTGACGGGACTAAGAGTCACTGATCTCTCTGGAACTGAGAAAACCCTGAGATTAGCCTACAGAGCAGTACAAGAAAGAAGCACGCTGTTCAGCTGGGTGTTGTGGCACACGCCTGTACTCCCAGCACACAGGGGGCGAAGGCAGAAGGATCGGAGATTCAGGGTACCAGGCCACTATATGCTACATGTTGGAGACCCCGAGTCAACACTACAACATGGATGGGAGGGAGGAGCACAGCGGGTCCTAGTCAATGAAAGCACAGTCACAGAAAGTAACTGCGTACCAGCTTCCCGAGTTCAGTCCTCTTCTCATCTGAGACTCTCGTAGCAAGAGAGATGGCGGCCACTCGCCGGGGCTGGGTCACCGCAATGACGCCCTGGCGACTAATTCCCCCTTCATAGAGGTACTGTGGGATCTGAGTTGTCTTCCCAGAGCCAGTTTCCCCTAGGAAAGAAAAGGAATTCTCATTCAAATGACACTAAGGTAAATCCGCCAAATAAACAGCTCAAAGTCAGGAGAAACCAAACCAAACACACCAGGAAATACTGAGTTGTTGAGCCTCGGGTGAACAGGCAGGCACCCAGGCAGACTGCTGGAGAACAGCCATTGCTACTGTTTTCCAGGAGGCCCAATTACATTTCAAAAACCATTCTAAAGGTTTTTGAAATGTAACGGTGACACATACCTTTGCACCCAGGCAGACTGCTGGAGAACAGCCATTGCTACTGTTTTCCAGGAGGCCCAATTACATTTCAAAAACCATTCTAAAGGTTTTTGAAATGTAACGGTGACACATACCTTTACTCGAAGCAGGCAAAGGCAGGCGGATTGGTTTGAATTCTCGCCCAGTTTGGTCTACACAGTCAGTTCTAGGACAGCCAGAGCTTTACAATAGAGACTGTGAAACAAATAAGCAAACAACAAAAACACCCTAAACTTTTAGGATGTTTATATGGTTTGGCTCATAATTCCACTTGCAAAAACTGACAAAGATGTTTTATTCAATTTGCCCCATGATGGCAAAAACAAAAACAAAAAACTGGAAACGCATACAATAGTGTGTAACTGGTATAGTCCCAACATAAGATGAAATATGACAGTCACATAAGTTGGTATATGCTGATATGAAGACATGTCCATTCATATATTGTTTGCCTTTCTCTGGCTGCTGCTTGCTGCTCTCTTCAAACCTGCCTTTGCCTACGCGATTACGGGTACAATACCTACCTGCCCTTAACCTCAGTCAGAACAAAAAGTCTCACCCGAGGCTGTACTAGTGGCCCCAATCTCTGGAGTCCTCTGTGTCTGTTAATCTCTCTTCTAGCATGAAACATTCCAAACAGCCAGAAGGATTTAAACGCTTCTGCCCTCTCCTAATACCAGTGGGCACAGGTCTCTTCACAGGCTTGAGCACAGAGCAAGTACCCTATGAAGGCTATTTCCTACCTCTGTGGGCACCTCTAACAGCACCCGATTAGAGGAACTCAGAAAATTTGCACATCCTTCTTTGCTACTGCTTATCTTCTTTAACTGAAGTCCCCAAGCCCCACAAGTCTTGCATTTTTTCCCAGCCTGCCTCTGAATGCTCACCTTTCCTGACTTACCCAAGAATCCCAGGCTAAGAATCTGATTATCCTGCAGTTTCCTGCTGAATGCACAATGACCTCAGACTTGGATCCATGTCTCTTGTGCGTCTTTCCTATTCCTATTCCAAGGCAACTGACTATTGCTAAAATAAAATATGCCAACCATGCAGGCATAGGACCAAGATGCTCCTGGGCATCGGCTCTACCATTCATCTTGTTTCTGTTTTTGCAGCCTGTCTTCAGTCTCCATCTCCCCAAGGGCTACTTGAGGCTCTGGGACTTTTGTTCCCAGAACTCTTGCATGTCTCTCACATAAAGCCCCAAACATGACTTCCCTCTGCTTTTGCAACACCCTTGCCTCCCTGGGATGGCTTTTCTCTTGTGCCAGGTGAGCTCTCTGTAACCTTTGATGCCAGGGCCCCCTTCCCTTACACCTCCTGATCTTTGCTCCATTAGCTCTATTCTATCTTCCAGCTCCTCTCTGCTCAGTGGGCCAAATCTGTAAATATTTGCAAGCTCCTCAGCTTCCCTCATTTGGCCAGAGCAGAAACCTGTTTCCACTGCCTTCATTCTTCAGCCTATTTACTCAGGCCAGTGCCGGCGCTGTTCTTAAGTTCTCTTGAAACACTTCTTAGCAGAAGCTGTAATCGATACTACACACCCAGATCCAACGCGAACTTCTCCCCTTGCGTCTACAGATCAGGGTGGAACTTCACTGTCGCATCTGTGACTCCCTCCTTAGACTCTACTCCACTCCCTGCCGGCACCATCCGGTCTTCTCTCTCGCTCCTGCCATTCCTTCAGGAGCGCCTCTATCTTAAACGCTGTGTGTCGGAGCCAACTGCCCTCGAACTCTGCCAAGCTCTTCTCGTACACAAGACACTGGTTCTCGTTAACTGAATTCTTCCTGGCCGCCATCTCTCCACCGCTGCATAGAGTGACGGTCCCCGGGGACCCGCTCCGCAGCTGCCTCCTCAAAGCCCCCACACCCCGTCACGGAAGGTGAGTCTTTCCCCCGCACACACCGGCCACTCAGGGCAGTCAGTGCCAGCGGGATAACTCTGTCCGCCCCTTTCCCGAGGTCCCTGCCTACGCCTGGCACAGAAAAGCTTCCAAGTTTGTTGAAACCAACGCAAAGGGAGTAAGAAGCACCTAAGAACAACTGCCCTCGCAAAGCCAGGAATCTAGAGCAAGGAAAATCCACCGAAGCAGCCACTCACCGATGAGGACAGCGCTGTCCAGGTTTCGGAGCTGAGCCAACAGCTGGCCCCGCGCCCGGAAGATGGGCAGACTCCGGCGCTGCAGCTCCAGGGCCTCGCGGTAGGGGCTGGCCGAGGGCTGGGCCAGCGGCGGCGTGTGCCTGCGGCCTCCTCCCGCTCCGCCGCCGCCAGCCGCCAACAGCATCTCCACTCGCCTCCCGGGAGGGCAGGAGCCCGGCCGGAATCTCTTGGCCGGCGGGAGGCTCGCCTCCTCCGGCATGTCGGGAGGACCGCGGCAGGAGGCGCGGGCGCAGGCAGCTCCGCTCCTCAGTGGACCGCTAGCGCGCAAACCCCGCTCTCTCCACGTGCACGAGGGTCGGGCGACCACCGATGACCTCACAGCCGCCTCCAGCCTGGAGGAAGGGAACTGCAATTCCCAGCATGCAGTGAGGGTTTGGGCAGCATCCTGTGAGAGCAAGGCCGGGAGTGTGACTTAAAAAACGGCCCGAGTGACAACAGGGAACGGTAGCTGTGCGGTTCCGTAGGACCTCATTGGATAATGACGTTGTCTTACTGGATCCTTTTGTTATACCAAGGCTATTTCTTTCCAGTAAAAACGAGTGTCCCGCCGCGGCTTCCAACGTAGTCATGTTTCTCTGTGTAGCCCTGGCTGTCGTAGACTCACTTTGTAGACCAGGCTGGCCTCGAACTCACAAGAGATTCGCCTGCCTTTTCCTTCCCTAGTGCTGGGATATATACGCGTGCGCCACCACACCCGGCTAAATTCTCATTCTTTACACAGCTTTTCAGCCCTCTTGTATGCGCTTTAATCAACGGATGATTCAGTATTCCCGCAGAAAACCTGCATACAACTAGTTCTTCCTTCCCATTCAAAATACAAGCTCTTAGATGCTTTGCTAATTCACTGGCAAGCAATGAATGGTTAACTTTGCTTTTTTAATTTTTGGAGGGTGTGGGTGTTTTACTCCTGTATATATTTATGCTCTGCTTGCATGCAATGCTCACAGAGGCCAGAAGAGGGTGTTGGATCCCTAACAACTGGAGCTGCAGCCAGTTGTGAGGGCTTGGAACGCGGGTGCCTCGGAATAAGAGGACCGGGTTAGGTCCTCTTACCTGCTGAGGCAGTTCTCTGGCGTGGTTTGGTTTGATTATAGGGAATGTGGTCTCCAGTGAATAATCTACAACTCTTAACTCATATAAAGGCTATAAATTTAGTAAGGGGACCTGCTTTTTAGAACTCCACGATCTGGACCTTTCCCAGTCTGGTGTGGCCTCGCTCCTGCTGTAATGTTCAAAGCTTTAAGAAGGTCTGGGCCCCCATGAAGCCGCACTACACCCAAGTTTACCAGGAAATTCGGGTAGGGATGGGGTTAATAGCCCTTACCCTTGGCAAAATCAGGAGTACCAATAAAAGTAAAGCTTTGAAAGGCTCCAGCCCTGCACCTGCCCATGGCCATCGGCAGCGGCTCTGAGTCCTCCAGATGAATCGTTTGGCTAAACTTAAACAAGCTGTTAGATGGAAACTTGGAACATTCACTGTATACTTACCTAAACACCATTTACAATGTGGCCTTAAAGAATGTATCTGAGAAGCAAAACCAACCAAACAAAAGCCAAACAAACCCCAGCTGCATTTATTTAACTTTTGACAGTATAAACAGGGGTTTCTAAAAAAAAAAAAAAAAGTTCTTGTTGAACATGTTTAGGTTGCATGTTAGGAATGTAGACTTGGGTTGGAGGCAGCGATCGGGGTTAGGGATGCATACTGCTCCTTCAGAGAACCCAACTTTGTTTCTTAACACCATGTCTGGCACAATTGCCTGTAACCCTAGCTCCAGGAGATCCTGCACCTCTAGCTCCCCAGGGCACCCAAACTTATGTGCACACCCCTATTCAAAGACACATGTAAGTACATACAATTTTAAATTATAAATCTTAGAAAAAAGAATAAGGTGACTGCCCCCCCCCCCGTGTTGATTTAGGAAGACAATCAATCCCCTACAAAAAAGAAAAATAACTAATGTACCTTGAATAAATAATAGGCAATTGCCAGTTTTTTCTTGAATGTGGGGTCTTATATTCCTAAATGTCAAGAGTCCAAATAGGTCATATAAATGAGTGAAATCACCTCTTGGTAAGTAAAAAACTTCTTAAAAGTACATTTATTGATTGGTTGATTTGGCATACGTGAGAGAGGGGGAAGGGAGAACATGGAGGTCAGAGGAGAGCTTATGACAGTTGCTTCCACCATGTGGTAGCCTGGGTATTGAACTCCGGTCTTTAGACTTGGTGATATGTGGCCTTATCTATGGAGCTGTCCTGTCAGCCGCAGCACACAGGCACACACCCTCCCCACCCCTTCTCCAGAGCCACTAACCACAGGCGGCGGCCTCACGCAAGCTATTAAGACAAGAAAAGCAAAACAAAAATTTTTGTTATGTTCTTAAAATATTGGCTCAGTTCTTTTCAATGAAGGCAAACCTTCTATAAGGGACTAATCTTAGCAATCCAAATATTCAGCAGCCTCAGTGATGAAACAACCAAATCACGCTGCCCACATGTCCTTCAGTGGCAGTCTGACATCTGCTGCCCCTCCAAAAGAAAAGTCTCTTGTGGTTCAGTGGCTAGAATACCCTGATTCTTTGTCCGGAAGATGATCCGTTAGACACATTTCATTCTTGTCTGAGTGGTTAAGTCTGTGCACTTAACTCCCAGGTCTGACCATGGCTATACCAGCTCACACTCACCTTGAATTGCACACCTACCAAACCATTGCCCTCAGTCAAGTCCAGCTTTGCTCCATCCTGTTTCCAGAAGCAATATTTACTCTCAGTTGCTAGGTACGAATTTGCAAACATACACATCAATACTTTCACAATTAAAAATACAAGATAATAGTTTGCTGATCAATAAACGAAGTGTTTATTCAGCACCGTGTGCCAAGCACTGTGCTGGGCACTGTGGTGGATACAAAAGTTAAGACACAGTCCCTGCCCTTGAGGAGCTTACATTCTAAGAGGAAACAAAACTAACATACATGGAGCAGCTCGGAACAGTACACGGCAATATAGGATTTGGTATAAGATTTTTTAGTACAGATTTGAAGCTTCGTAAGAATTTAAAGAAGACAATGAAATAGACCTTTGTATTAAGATTTTAGTGTCAGGGTCTTGAAAGACTCAAGAAATTTAAGTTGAGGTCCCTGCTAGGTAGAAGCGGGAGCAGTGTTCAGAGGAAGACAGAAAGTAAAGTATGCATCTGATAAGGGTGAGAAGTGACTGCAGACTGAGTGCCTAACCATCCAAGCAGGGGTCAAGAGCTTTAATGCAAACTCAGCATACTAAGTCGCTTAGTCATCCTGAGTAGGACAGAAGGGCAGGGTCCTGGCTAACCTGACCGACCTCACATGTTAAAGGTGAACTAAAGAGTGGCCAAAGGCATGACAATTCCAGGGAGCATGTTTCACCACATGCTATTTGCTCCAGTGTTCTCCAATTCCCAGAGGACCCAGAGACAGAGTTATGGTTCCAGTTCAAGGTCCAGGATGTGGACACTTTGTCTCATGGAAGTACAAACGAAATATAAAAGACAGGAGGACACAGAAGGAATGACAGTAAAAGAAGTGGAAGAAACAAGTAAAAATTCACAGTGAAAAAACCACATCAAAGAATATAAACTGTATCTCCAAGGGAGATGCCATTGGTAGGTCCATTCATTCTTAAATGGACATTTACTGTTTTTCTATAACAAACTCCCTATGCTTTAGGTGTGCTTTAAGTTACTTCTGCTACAATCAACCCAGAAATGTCTCAAACTATATTCATGTCGGCTTAAGTGGCCACAGAATGCCATAATCCAATCTCACTTTTCTGGTGACTTGCGTCATGAAAAGGGCGTGTTTTGCTGGGGAGGCGGGGACTCTCCCTGGTGCACAGGGACTCGCTAACCAAGCAAACCAAGCGGGACTGGCTGAAGTACTCAGAGGCCAAGTGACTGAAGTCAGCACTCCCAGGACTGTGTGGAGCGTTGCATGGCATTCTGCCACTAGAAATTCATATCCTAAAAATCAAAAACTGCTGTAAACTACACATCCAAAACGCATTCCCCGTCTTCCAGTCATTACTGTGTAGAGGTGTTCACTATTTAAAATGAACAGCTGGTGAAAAATTTTGGAATTTTGCCACAATAACTCCATTAATTAGCTAAATCTAAAATTAACTCACAGAAAATAAACAAAACCTAAAGAAACCCATATCTGGCTGAAAAGCAAGCAATAATAATAAAAACAAATTCCTGAAAGTTAGTGAAGAGTAATAATTAAGCTTAAGAATCCCACCATGACCATACAATCTAAGACTGTCATCAAACTTTAAAGACTTGAACAAAAGCAGTCCCATTGAGCCACGCCCATAAAATCACAACCTTCTTCAGTTATTTACTAGCAAAGCACACTCACACCGTTCGTTCCTTATTGTATACTCCACTTAGTCATTGAAATACTTTTCACTTCAAAGACAATCGGAAATTTCTTGCCTAGAATGCTTACTATAGCGTATTTAAGCCTAAACTCTCACCTGGAAAGCAACTCAGCCAAAATAGGATGATCCCGTGTGTGAGGTCCTGTGCCCACGTTTATGAAAACTACCTGAGGTCGCCTTTCTAGGTCTGCTAAGCAGCATGAATGAAAAGCTGCTGGGTTGTCAGGGGGTGATGCCTTCACCAGCACTCACCAGTGTGGCTGCTTCCAAAGACCCTCATCGCTACCAGCTGGGCAGATGAGCCGGGCACTTGGCCCTGAAAAGGTCTGAGCTTCTCTTGAAATGCATACGGAAAGGAACATGTGCCTGGCTGCCCATTCTTAGTCCTGTGTTTGACAAAGGGTGGACCTCACTTATCTGGGTATTTCTTAGCAGAGAAATTCCAGGTAAAACAGATGCCAAGTTGCTTTTTGTTTAGAGCTGGCTTTCTCCAGCCAGATTCCTCTCCCACGAGAGTCAGCCTCCCTTCTCTGTCCTCCTGTGGTCTAACAACTTGAAGCTTCGCAGTTTTTAGACAGAACTATCTGAAGGGCAGAAATCAGCACCATCTTCTTTCCACTGAGGCTAGCACTGTGAACTAGTCAGCTGTACAGACTGCTATGTATTTCCACTCTTGAAAGGAAATCCAGTGGAAAGCCGTGGAGACACGGGGGCAGGCGTGGAAACTGCTGCGTTCAGACCTACACAGGAGACCTACAACACATTACCATGATTTAAAAGATCACACGAAAGCTTAAAAACAGTGTGAGAGAGATGGAATTCAGTTTTATTTTGTCCTCTCTGAAACTCTCGTTTACACCACGGCCTTGTCTGTCAAAGAGGAGAGGAAAGCCCCGCCTGTTGCCACAGAGCGCAAGTACCCGTGTACTTGTCAGAGGCGGCAGGATATGCTTCTCCAGTTTTTGGCTCCAAGAGGTTATACTTTCAGTACCAGCATAGTGAGGAACCCCTGGCAAACTGCTGGAAACGTCTTCTGTGTTAGTCAGTGTACCATTCCGTAAAGTGCTTCTGGAGTTAAAATCTGTCACGCTGTCCACACTTTTGCAACAAGGGATAAAAGGATCCCAATGGGCATTTCACTGAGTCTTTCTCAGATGGCTCTCATAATTGGCACAGCTGCTTTACCCTCCAAGGCGCTGGCCTTCACCCCAAGCAAAGCCTCCTGGCCGCTCTTCAGGTAGTGGGTTGTAGTTGGGATCCTCATCTGGCGTATCAAAAATAGTCCTCCTGAAATACAGAGACCATTTAGTGCCAGAGCCATCTTCGATCGTAAGTCTCAGAAAGCAGTTCATTCCCACAGACAGCGTCATCCCTGCCTGCCCGTTAGAGCCGCTCCGTTCCTATCTAACCTCACATTAACTTTTACCTCCTTCATCTATGTTATGTTACTATAGAAGCGACAAACACTGATGAAGTCCCTGGCATAGTCAGATCCACAGGCACATAAAAAGAATGGCGGTTGCTGGGTGATAGGGATGTACGGAGTTACTTAAGGGCAGAGCTTTAGGGTGACAGAGAAACACACTCTAAGCATAGTGGCCGTAGCAGCACAACACAAACACCCTCACCACTGAGCTGCTCATTTACACATGGTTACGATGGTGAAGTCCATGCTGGAGTGCGTGGACTGTGACGTGGACATCCACTACTCCAATTACAGAAGGGAAAGCAGTGACTAATGGCAATGTTGTCTTGTAGAGGAGCCACATTTGGTGCCCAGCGCCCACACCAGGGGGATTACAACCACCTGTAGCTCAAGATTCAGGGGATACACTGTCCTGTGGCCTCTGAAAGCATACACACCCATGTATTCTGTGCACATAAAATGCAGGCACACAGTGTAGCGAACACATTTATAAATGTTAAAAAATTTAAAATGATACAGCTATAAAAAACAAGTGTATACAGTTATCCAATTCCCAAGTAGCCAGCTCTAAACATTCACATACAAGCAACACTAGATGGATTAAAGGGGTAAATAGATCTGGTATCCATCTGTACACTAATAGTTAATGAGGAGGTCGTGACCTGAGTAGGAATGGGGGAGACATAGGAGGAGGAAGAGGAGAGAAGGACAAGTACATACAGCAATCATGTAGGAAATTATCAAAATGATACACAGGGAGTTAAGATGCCAGGCTGCTCATCAAGAAGCCAGTCCAGGGATGCTGCTGTGTGTAAAATTACAGGTTTTATTTCCTTCCTTCTGTTTTGTTGTTGTTGTTGCTGCTGCCACTGCTGTTAATGAAAAAATTATCTTTTCCTCTTGAGATGGACTCTTGGTGTGTCACCTAGGCTCGCATCAAACTTTGGACTCACCTGCCTCAGCTTCAGAGCAGATAGGACAACAGGCACATCTTGCTAGCTAGTTCGTTCTTCTCTTACTTTTACTTTTCATTTTAGTTCTTTTTTTAAAGGTTTATTTATTTGTGTATTTTACATATATGGGTATTTTGTTTGCAAAAGAACAAGCTCCCTGGGTCTACAGTTACAGACAGTTAGCAGACAATGGGTGCTGGGAATTGAACCTGGGTCTTCTGGAGAAGCACCAGTCCTGTTAGCCAATGAACCATTTCGTTCTTTTTAGCTTGACTATTCTACCGAGAACGTGTCAGGAAGCTGCAGCCCCACCACCTGCTTCCCTGCTCAGATGCCGTCAGCCAGGTCCTCTGAACGGCCCTGTTCACCGTGCGGCTCACTTCCCACAACTGCACAGCCGCTTCCAAACCTGCAGGCTCCTCCCGGGGACACAGTGGTCACTCAAACAACTGCAAGGTCACCCCATGTTGTCAGAGCCCAGTGGTCACACCCCTGGCCCAATCTGCTTCTGGCAAATCCCAAAGCTCCCCACTGCAGACAAGCTGCTCAGTCTGCAAACACTGATACGAGCCTCATGAACTGGGCACCGAGGGAGCCCAAACTAAACCGTGATTGTGGTGTGTCTGTGCGGACGTGGAACAGGGAGTTAAATACTCACAAAATAGACGGTGTTTTCAGAATTCTTATTCCACCAGGCTGATTGGGAAATATATCTTCCAAGAAAAAATATATGTGCCCAACTGCAATACCTATAATGAACCAGAAATAAAAGATAAATAGGGAGATTAAAACTCCAATTTTGTTCCCTGCTAACATACACTTTATTTAGGATTAATTATTAAAAACAAAACAAAACAAATCTTTCAGATATAATTATTAAACAGTCTTGCAATAGCTATTTATGAAGACTAAACAGAATAAACATGAATGACAGTGACAAAATAAATTTTCAGGTAAAAAGGAGAAAAAGTAATTTTAAGACTTACCCAAAAGGTCCACAATAATCGAGTTCCCCAACAACAAAGAAAAGCCCATGAGCACCCAGGGCAGAAAGGGGGCCTGGAAGTTCAGAAGACCAAAGAAGTTCATGCGGACATACGGGTTCCTCCGGCTCCACACATAGACCAGCATTATTGTAAAGGCCTGGCCTAAAAACACTAAGCTCACAAACAAACCAAAAAGCTACCAAAGGACATTAAGGAAAGTATCAACCGGAAGTTTACTAGGGAAGGCTAAGCAAAAGACTAAAAGTTGCCCTTTAGCTAAGACCTGAGTGAGAAGAGCCGAGTGGTGACATTTTTAAACTATAAGAAAAGCCTGAAATTAAGAACCCAAGGAAATTAGGTGGAAACTGGCTTGGGCTGGGTTATAGCTACTTCAAACTAAGATTCTGCTTTTGTGACGCTCTTGTCTTTTGCTTGGACAGTAAGAACAGGGAAGCTGGTTCAGCATGGACCCTGTCACAGGTGCCGAGGCACGCAGCTGAACAAAGAAGGCTTCCCGGCAGGCGGCAGGACATCGGAGGCGCCACACAGCAAAATGCTCTTCTTGTTAAAGACAGTCTTGACAGTGATTTAGCACACCTCTTCTTAATCGAGTTTAAAGGTGAAGTCACCCACACCGTGAAGTAATGGAGGTGCTTCACCATAACCCACCTCGGCTGGGGGTTCTTGCCCAGCGCAGCCTCCTGCCCAACCTCAAGGCCGGCTGTGAAATAAATGGTAGCACCCCGAGGCTACAATCTGTAGATCAACTCTTTTTGTTTGTTCAAAGTAGTGAATCACTGGAGACAGATGAAAAGCTTGAGGAACATACAGCCTGCTCTTTAGTAGTTTCCTGTAATCCACTTGTTGAAGGATACAGTCATTAAAAATCCACCAAAAAGGAACATAAATACAAAGTCTGCCGTCCGACCTCGGAAAGAGCCTTCTTCTAGCATTCGGCAGTAACGATATCTTAATTGTCAAGTTAAGAAAGTATCAGGCGCACACACGAGGATAAGCTGTAACAAACCACTGAAACACACCTGGGCTTCGAGAACCTCTGAGCAATAAACTGGTCTCCTTTCTTCCTCAGGGGTTTTAGGCCATGTCAAAACTAGCACCGTGTTTGACAAAGCCCATCCTTACTGGAGTCACTTCAAATACTGCATCAACACGCTTCTCCTCGCCTTCACATCTCTGCTAGTTTGTAGTGTTGTCTTTCCCACGCTCACCTACATGTAATTTGCACTGTCCTTGGTTTGCTGGCTTGGGAAAATCCCTTCAAAGAAGCCTTGTGTGGTAAGTACTTTTTCAGGCCAAGCAGGCTAAGCATTTCTATTCCAGTCAATAAAAACTGTAATGAAAAACCGTTTATTAGAAACTTGTCAGAATGGTATCCGCGGGAAACACAAGGATCCATTCTAAGACTTAAGTCCCGTCACCCCCAAAGGCCCTGCCCCCTTCGTCTGAGCTGAGCACTGGGTGAAGGAGGAATGCCTAGCTCAGCACGCCCAATCACCATTTGCTTCTTCAGTGACCACGGCTCTTCCTGCCTTTCAGTGGACCTAACTAAACATGTCACGCCCAGCAGATATTCTGACACTCTTTGTTTTGTAGCCTTGCAATCATGGCCCCTTCCCACAAACCCATCCCAAACCCGGGGAATTCTGTTGAGTTACCAGTGTTTCCACCTCTTTACTACTACACCAGCTGATGCTCACGTGACAAACACGCCCACAGTGACATACAACTTAAGGACAGTATCTTTTAACAGTTGGAACCTCCCAGGTGAACAAGGACTTAGAAACAGCTTCAAACGTTATGATCTGATTACAAAGTACAGACTCAGAAGTCATAACTAAATGGTATAAAAACAAACCAACAAGAATTGTTTCAACCTACAGTAAATACGAAGTTAATATATATATATTATATTATAGTATATATATATATACACTATAGTAGATACATATTACATAATCTAAGGTTTTGACGTTGACTCCACTCAATAAAGGATACAGAAATATCATGTTAAACAAAAAATTGAATCCAACTGGACCAAAAAATAAGAAATTGGTGATTAGCCTCCATATCTGCCGGGGTGGACGGGGAATAAAAAGAAAGACTCATTAAGAATACATGACCAGGGAACATTTCCATACTAAGATAAAAACAACATTCTGTGATTCTGAGACTCTGAATAGACAGGGCCCACTTAAACAGGCACACAATCTAATTCTAGATTGGTTCTCTCTTCGAGAGCGTGCGTGCATATGCGTATGTATGTGTGTATGTGTGTGTGTGTGTGTGTTGCTTCTAGTTAAAAGACTGAATGATACTAATTGAAGTCTGAAATATATATGGATGATGGGACAAAAAGGTCAAATATCATGGTTATCTTTTCTGAAACAGCTCGGCAAGCCCACACTCTGCGGCTAAGCACAGTATGCGGAAACCGTCTGCGCAAAAGCTAGGTTAGTTTGCAGAACAGAGCACTCTTACATGTAGACATCATAATCTGAATGAGGGGCTTACAGGGACTAAAAACTTCAGCGATCCAGTATATAAAGCTGCCAAGAATGTCTCTATATTGGTACAACATCCTGATGAAAGTTTCTAAGGCACAGAGCCAGGCCCTGGTTTGAAGTCAACTTCCTGCAAGTCAGAATTAATGCTGTAAGACAAGGAAAGCTACAAGAGCAGTCTTGCCTCCTCACCTACAACTACTCAAAAAGCTTTATACAACTTACTATCACATGTGATCTCAGCACCCGGTGAGAGAAGCAAGTGGTGTAACTATCCTCACTTCAGATAAGGAATCTTAAGACTTATGGCTTAGGCTAGTAGTGGTGGCACATTCCTTTAATTCGAGCACTCGGCAGGCAGGGGCAGCTGGATCTTTGTGAGTTCCAGGTCAGCCAAGGCTACCCAGAAAAACAAACAAAAACTTTTGTCTTGCCCAAGGACATGCAGCTGAGTGAAGACTCTGATAGCAAATCTAGAACTGCTAATTCCAAACTTTAATGTAAGAGTTTAACCCTGCCTAGGCATGGTTGCTCCTGTATAATCCTAGCACTAAGGAGTCCAGGCAAGAAGACCACAGAGGATTACTGTAAAGTTCAAGAGTCACCCAGGCTACATAAGAGACCCTGTCTTAAAAAAAAAAAGTATGGCGATCCTAGAAGGCTGAGACAGGAGGATACCACGAGGGCCATGCCAGCCATAGCTACAAAACAAATTATCTCAAAAACAAAGAACTTAACCCTAGAGTCAAGCCAAACAAACCTGTAGGAAGCGTTTGCTGGGGCAAACACCACAGGAATACCAACTTGGCAAAGACAAGATATCAAAGGACCAACTGCTTCATACACCATTAACCCTCTGACCACCGGTAACTTGTGATAATTAATACTGACAGAGGTAGAGTCCCCTAAGACAAATTCACGCATGTCTGGACTCAGTCACTCAAGGTTCACAAACGCTGGCCTTGAAAGGCCAGCTAGAGCTCAAGGGTACAAAGGGAGTGTGACACATCTAGGACAGACAAAGCATCATAAAGCAGAGTTACAGCTACTGAAATCTCGTCTCCACTTCACCTAGACTGCAAATGACCATCCTAGCCAGAAAACACACTTCTCTTTAGCATTTCAATCGCTGGAAAATGACTTCTTCAAACTATAATCTAACTAGCCAACACTGTTTTAGATAATGGCCCCTCAGCCCTGTTAGTATGATGTGACTTGTGGAAGGCAGACCGGCGTCAAAGCTCTACCAGAGCTGAGTTTGTGAACTAGACCCTGAGGATGAGCAACAGCGGCAGCTGTGTCTGGGTTGTGAACATAAAGCTGTCCTGGGAGACTCCCTGGGCAGACAGCTGTCAGTCTATTCTTGAGCCACATTACTGTTGTTGTTACTTTGTTCTGTCTTGAGAGAATGACCTGATGTGTGGCTTGCCCTGGCCTCCCCTTCCTGACTACAGGACTAAGGCCATGATAATTCTTAACTAGTACTCAAATACAGGAACTCAATACATTAAAACATACTGAAAACAGAAGATATGTTCCAAATTCCCACCCTTTTCAATTTTCTCAAGACAAGTGCCTCTCTAGACAGCCTAAGCTTATCCATCAGGGGCCATTCTTCTTACTTTGCCTGCGCCTGGGATTAGAGGCATTGGCCACTGTACTGGGCTCCACTCTGGCAATTCTAGTTTGGTATATGACGAAGAGCTCAGAAATACCGAGCAGCTCTTAAATGATTCTGGAGCCCAAGGAGACATAAGGATTCCCTCTTTACATCTCAACAAGACTTAAAGTAAGAGTTTCTCCCCATGAGACTATTTTCTGAGACTGTATCAGACAGGACTTACTACTTAATAAACAATAAAGAAAAAAGACAATGGAAACATTAGTCATAGTTGCTGTAAACCACTTACTTGAAAGTGTTTAAAAATTAACTCAGGATTGAAGTATAACTGAAAAGGTGTGATCAATTCCAATTGCTGAAATGGAAAAAGAGCTTCTTAAAGCAGATAAATTGTAAAACAAAATTTCAGCATTAACAACAAGGGATCAGTAGCTCTAACAATGTCTCTCACTGGGGGTAGATTTCTCTGTCTTGCTTGTGACCGCCGGTAAGGAATTCTTTAGAATTCGCACAACTGTTTTGTATCCTCCACACACAGTGCAAGTCTTATGTTGCAATATCTGCTATGAGACAGGTAGGTGGGGATATTTTAGAGACAAGACAACAGCATCTTTTAAGACTCTGAGCAGCCCTGGTCACCACCTCAAACAGCTGGGTGCGACAACTCGGAATAAGAGATTTGAGGCCCGATGCCATTAGGACTAGGCACAGGCGGCCAGTTGCTTACATCCCCAGGCCGACTTTTCAAAGACGTTTCCAGACAATTCGAGATTTCTGCCCTCAATACATTAGTCTGTGAACCTAGCGGACCTTACTCCCACTAGCCGCCTGGCCATAGCTAGAGCTCGCAGACACTGTTTTGGGTGGGCGGCTCCCGCATTTTTGACTCGCTCCAGGTCTGGATTTCATCTCACGGAAACTGACCTGCCCCTTTATGGAGGAGCACATCCTTCTCGGGTCACCGGCTTGGCACCCTTGGTACCATCCCGAACCCTAAAGTCAGGTCGGATGTCTCCACCCACCCCTGGGGACAGACCCACTGGGCTTCTCCGCGGCCCAAACCCGTTTTCCGAAGACCCAGTCATAGCTAGCCTGGACGAGGAGGACGCGGCGTCACAGCTGCTCACCACGGCCGTGGTGGTGAGGACGCAGGCGGTAGTGTAGGCGCGGCTGACCGGCGGGATCTGCAGATACTCCAGCCGGAGGCTCTGGTACGCCATCTTCCCCACCGCGCCTGCCCCCCTTCCCCTTCCGCCAGGATGCCAGGCGGCGGGGCGGACTCAAGGCCGGCCTTCAGCCTCCCCGCCACTGTCCAATCAGCGCTGCGCGCTCGGCCAGCGACCAATCGCCGGAGCCCCGGGGGCCGCCCATCCGCCAATCACGAGTTGTGCCTCCGCGTCGGCCCACCCTTCCTTCTCCGCCTACCAGCGCAGAGAGCCAGCGCCAGTTCCTCCCGCCAATCCCCGCAGGCCACAGCTGGCTTCCCCGCCTTGCCCCCCTCCGTTCACCAATCCGAGCGCGCCCTTTCGACCCTCGGCCAGCCAATCAGGAGTGCGATCCATCCCGCCTTTGCGTTCGTTCGCGGGGCACGTTCCGGCCGCCTCCGAGGAGAAGGCGCGGCCGCCTTCTTCAGCGGCTCGGGGCGGTTTGAAGGCGGTGGCGGGAAGCCGGTGCGTGGCGGACTCCATCACCCCGTGACCCTCCGGTAGGGGCCGTGGGCTCTCTGAGGAGGAGCGGGAAGTGGGGCTGGAGGAATGGCGTCGGGGCGCCGGAGCCTTCCGCAGGGTCCCCTCAGACCGGCCCCGCCGGGCCGGGAGACCAGGGTTCCCGGCGGGCATCGCGGCCGCGGGGTGGGACGGGAGCGGGAGCCGCCGGAAGAGCCTCCCGCTCCGCGGTGGCCCGGCTCGTCCGCGGGCCCGTTGGCTCCGAAGGCCGTGGTCGAGGTGGTGTGGGAGCCGCCCTGTTTAGCCGGGAAGAGACTGTGGATGTCTTAGCGCTGAGGGGAAAGCGGAAGAGGTAGCGGCCGGCTCTTGGGGGCTGCGCGCCCAGGGCGCGCTTACGGCAAGGAGAGAACACAGAATTGGGTTGGGTTGCCGCAGAGACTGTCCAGGTCGTAGCAGACGTATTCGGTAAGTTATAAAGAAGCCTTAAAAAAATTGTGGGGCAAAATGTGACTGTCAGGTCTGGCAGGAACCAAGTAGAAGGTTGGAGAGGATGACATTCAGAAATAAGCCGCTAAGGCAGAATGCAGTGGCGCGGTGCCTGTGTCTCCTGGCCGCTCTGGAGGCTGAAGCCAGAGGGTTTGTTGAATCCTGAAGTTGGAGGCCATTGGACAAAACACAGGAGATTGGGGACAAACACGAGAGCCGTGGTCTCGCTGCTAAAACTGTAGCTTTATGGCTACTGCCTCATCATAGCACTGGTAGTGTCTAAGAGAAAAGGCAAAATTGGAACTTTTCTCAGAACTGCGAATTCGGATGTAGGGATTTGGTTAGAATTGGTCATATATCGTGCATCAGGCCAGGATTGTTGAGAACTTTGAGGCGAGGTTCGGTTGCAAACTTGGAGAATTACAGGGTGCAAATCGTCGGTAGATTGACCCATGCTAGAACCGAGAAAAGAACTGGTCAGAGCCCGTCAGGTAAACGAGTGCAATTATCTGGATTGGGACATTAAAGTGGGCGCCTGAGTTCATGAGACTGTGTCTGTAGGGACTGGAAGGTGGCGATAGTTAGGAGCGTTTGTTTGCAGAGGACCTGAGTTGGATTCCCAGCACTCACATCTGTCGAATTGCAGCTCCAGGGGACCCAGCACCTTCTGGTTTTTGTGGGCATCTTCATGTATGTGTGGATGGATACACAGGTGGATACGTGCACACACACAGGTTAGCCAGAGCTACCTGTCTAAGAATAACAACACACATACACACATTTTAAAGAGTGTTGCCTTAGTATCCTGCTCCTTGGAAGGCGAAGGTGGAAAAATGGAAAATTTGAGGCCGTCCTAAGCAACATAATGATGTCCTATCTCAACAAAACAAAACCGTGGTAGGAACGTGGTTTCCTAGGAGGGAATCTGAGAAGTGTTCAGAAAGTAAAACTCCTTACAGTCTAGAGATAATCTGTGAATGATACTGCAAAACAAATCCTATTTATATAGCCCTATCATTATCACCACTCTGTCTTAAACCATTACATATATACATTTTCAAGGGTAGTTGTATTCTGCTTTCTCATAGGATTGCCCACACCTCTGGATACACTTTCTTTTAAAATTAAGTCTTTAAAAAAATTTATCTGATAGTTGAAGTGGCAGTTTGTAGATTACATTGAGTGCCCTTTCCTTATTTCTATAACAAGCATATAGCTACAAAAACGCCAAGGTTCAGCAATAAGGAAATGCGATGACATGTTTGTAGGTCTTACACTGGAAAGAAATGCCTCTTGGGTCCTTGAAACAAGTCAGGATAAAGGCGGGGTCATTTAGTTAGATTTTTATCCGATGGCTAAGGTGGAAGATGGAATAGAGGACATTTATAATGAGGTAATTAAAATGATAGAACATGGGCCTAAAAGGAATGGGGAAAGAAGTTAAATAGATGGACTGGGAGCAAGAAAGCAAAGGTCAGGGACTGAGGTACATTGTGAATGACAATTAGGCTAGCATGGGAGAGGGTTCAAGAATTAGGTAAGTTAATAGAGTGCTCTGTGGGCCCCGGGTTTTTAACTCCAGCACCACATAAAAAGTTGGGCATGTTCAAGGTATACTTCTAGGATCTTAGCACTTTGGTGTACAGGAAGAAGGATCAGAAGTTCGTGATCATCCTCAGCTACATCCCAAGATTGAAGCCAACTTCGGCCACATGAGGTCCTGTCACAAACGAAAGAAAGAGTTTGAGGCCAACCCATAGGCTGCACAGCAAGACATTGTCTTGAAAGGTCAGGGGTGGGGATGTGTAGATCATTGACATTCAGAAAACTTTCTTCCTAGGGCACTGAGGCTGTCTGCTTAAACCGTTAAAGTTGACAAGGGAACAGAACTGAGAAGGTTGGGCTGTGCCTCAGTCCTTAGCAATAGTAACTAAGGGAAATGAATAGTAAAGAGGGTATCGCTCTACTCTACTTGGCTCAGAGAGGCAAGGGCTTCTGGCTTCTGTTGACAGTTGAGGCTGGAAGAAACTTAAGGTATCAAAGGAGCGCCAATTCCTTAGTTTTATTTGTGTCCTTTGTTTATTTGCTTATCAATAACAGCATTTGTTACTTTTCTCTGGTGACTTTATCAGAATGAAATGCTTTTCCTTTTGTACTTGCAGGTTTTTCCAGTTGAGGGCAGCAAAGTGCAGCAGGATGTCTGTGGATCCGATGGCCTACGAGGCCCAGTTCTTTGGTTTCACGCCACAGACGTGCCTGCTGAGGATCTATATAGCATTTCAAGACCACCTGTTTGAAGTGATGCAGGCTGTGGAGCAGGTTATCCTGAGGAAGCTGGAAGGCACTCCAGGCTGTGAGATTAGCCCTGTACAGATTCGTAAATGCACAGAGACGTTTCTTTGCTTCATGAAGGGACGTTTTGATAACCTTTTTGGCAAAATGGAGCACCTGATTTTGCAATCGATTTTGTGTATTCCTCCAAACATCCTGCTTCCTGAAGATAAGTGTCAGGAGACTCATCCTTTCAGTGAAGAAAAATTCCAGCTTCTCAAACAGGAAATCGAAGAGTTACAGGAGAAGTATAAAGTTGAATTACGTACTGAGCAGGCCCTTCTTGCAGAATTAGAGGAGCAAAAAATTGTTCAAGCCAAACTCAGAGAGACCTTAACTTTCTTTGATGAGCTTGAGAACATTGGCAGAGACCACGGAACTAGTAACTTTAGGGAGAGTTTGGTGTCCCTTGTCCAGAACTGCAGAAAACTCCAGAACATTAGAGACAGTGTGGAAAAGGAAAGCAGAAGACTGGAGATGCGGTGATTTCTCTAGTGAAGAGAGGCCGTGTAAAGAGGTGGCTTTCCTTTGTCTGCTCTTATGTTTAGGTCTTCAGCAGCCACTTCCCCCCTTTGCTAGGTTACACAAGGCAAATCGCAGGTCATCTGAATTGCGGGCTTCAGTTGGGACTTTTAAAGTGAGGCTTGTGTTCGCCTGCTTTCCCATTCTGAAGCTCGCGTGCCCTCAGGTCTGGTCATGTCTCCAGTTCTTTGGGATTGTAACCCCTCTGCTCCTAGGGATGTGCTAGTGTGATTTCAGGAGGGAATGGAATCCTTGAGTGACTGGGTGCTTCTGTTCATCACTTCTGGGTACCTGTGTGTTCGCTCATTGAGCGTTGGAGTGCAGCCATGAGTTACATCAGGGACTGACAGAAAAGCTGGCCTGGGGACATAGCTCAGTGGTAGAGTGTACTCAGAGTGGATGTCTCACGGTCTGACACGCCACATGAGAGAAGCAGAAGGCGAAGGGGGAGGAAGGAAAAAACAAAGGGAAACGGTACGTCAGAGGGGGTCAGGGCTATGACATGAGGTATATTACAATATTAGAAGGGGCATATCTGTCTGATAATGTAAGATTCAGGGGAGGCTTAAAAGAGAAGGCATTGGCCATGTTCCTGTGGGCTCATCCTGGACAAAGAAAAGAGCAGAGACCCTGTAAGGTAGAGCATATTAAGGAGTTTGCACAGCTGACACAGATGTGGGTCGTGTGGGAAGCAGGGTCACACTTCTCACTGGCCATTCTGGTTCATGAGACAAGCAGAGGCTGATGAGAGGGTCATCAGGCAAAAGTACTTGCAGTACAAGCCTGTGACCTGAGTCAAATCCCTGGAACCCACTTTAAAAGATGGGGAAAAAAGATTTACAAAATTGACTTCTAAGTGTACATGGGGCATTGGAGCCCCACCTCCACATTGCACGCATCACACATACATACACACATATATATTGAAAATTTAAGAGACAAGTAAAACCCCTGTGTATGTGTGAGTTTGTACCATTAAAAACTGACTCCTAGCCAGGCAAGGTGGAACATGCCTTTAATCCCAGTACTTGGGAGGCAGAGGCAGGCTGATATCTGAGTTTGAGGCCAGCCTGGTCTATAAAATGAGTCCAGAACAGCCAAGGGTCTGTCAGACAGGGAAGCCCTGTATCAAAAACCAAAATATAGAACAAGACCAAAAAAACCCGTCTGACTCCTAACTGGGCATCGCGCACACTGTTGATCCCAGCGCTCTGGAAGCAGAGGCGGTGGATCGCTTGTGAGTTCAGCCTGCTTTCATAGAGTTCCAGGGCAACCAGGGCTACACAGACCCTGTCTCAAAAAGAAAAGCAAAACAACAGAACTCAGATCTGACTGATGACACTTGTCATGTTGGTAAAGCAGACTGTTCAGGACCTTCGAGTAGATATCGGGACCACTGCAGCAAGATTTTGCATTGAGGCAGAGAGATTAGATTTTGAATTAAAAAAAAAAAAAAAGTTGGATGGGCAGCTAAGGGACAGAATGGGACTTGTAGGGGACAGAGGGGCTATCACCGGATAGAAATTTACTAAAGAGTCAGTGTTAGGGTGTGAATGTGTCTCACAAAATTCATGTGTTAAAACTCTTGACTTCTTAGGGATACAGTGTTGAATGTTTATACTTTGGTTAATGGAAATTCTGTGGAAGTGGAGTGTTTTTAGGGAGTGGTTTCCAATAAAAACATGAGTTCAGGAAGCTGGAGAAATGGCGTAGAGGTTAAGAACACTCGCTGTTCTTCCAAAGGTCCTGAGTTCAATTCCCAGCAACCACATGGTGGCTCATTAACCATCTATAGTAAGATCTGGTATACAGGCAGAATGTTGTATAAATAATAAATCTTAAAAAAAAAAAAAAAAGAAATGTAAAACATGAGTTCGGGGCCTTCCTCTCTGGTGTGATCTCTCTAATGCTTCCTATAATTACCTTAACTTTGGATTTCCTAATCTCTAACCTGTAAATAAATATTTTCTTGAAGTATTCATGTCCTATATTACGGCTTAATACATGGGAAGAGCCTCTTAATTCAGCACTGGCCTTTTTTTGTGGGGGAGGGGATGCTTAAAGAAGCCAAAGAGAATTCTACTTTGGTCATGATCCCTTTGTGATCTCAATCCTTTAGACTGAAGACAATGTGAGATTAAATTAAAATGATTAACCGACAGTTCCTTTATTAACCAGTCATCTATCAGGGCCGTCTGATTCCGCACACCTTTATCTGTGACTTTGTACACATTGGGTTGGGATAAGGAAACAAAAATACAGCTCGTGGCTTTGGTATAGAACAAAGGTTGTTTCTGTTTGCAGAACAAACCCTTCCAGAGCAAGGTCCTAATAATGGTAAGCTGTTAGCCCCAGAGTCCATCAAGAGACCTTGGAGAAAATCTGATTCCCTTTATGGCATTTTGTTTTGTTTTAGTTTTTTTTTTTTCAGGCAAGATTTCATTTGCTCAGATTGGCCTCTGCCTCCAAAATGCTGGGATTGCCACACTTGTTTTACTGTGGCTTTTTATTTAAATGAGAACTTTCACTTAGCACAGGGGGAACCTAAGGTTGTTGAACAAGGACTCCTTAAAAGATCTATTTATGTTGTAATTTCTGGGACTGTAATTTCTGTTGCCTTTAAAGGAAGAGGGTCTTTGTAAAGATAATTGAGTTAAGTATGACGAGATCATCTTGAATTATCTAAGTGGCCCTAATCCAGTGGTGATAAATACACATCTAAAGAGAAAGCAGAGACGGGCTTGGGAGGGTGAGAAGAAGATTTGACATGAAACACATGTCTTGTGACCTAGACGGTTTGGAACACTGCGTCCACCAGGTGAGAGGTGGGGCACAGGTTCTCAGCCTCCAGAAGTGGCTCTGTGGACATGCAGATTTCTGGGCTCGCAGCTGTGACCATGTATTTCTAGAGTTTTGAGTCACTGAGGTTCTTTTTTTTAATTATTTTATAGCAGTCATGAACCTAGTGAAATCAGAATAAGGTAGCTCATAAGTTTGTAGGATACTTGTTAGGGAAATAAGATGCCCAGAGAGCAAAGTTCTGACATCCCCCTCATGCATAAAGATGTCCACTATGGCCACAAGTACTTATGTGACCCAGCTAAATCAGAATATAAAGACTCTTGTTTTTGGTATTAGGGATTGAACCTGGAGTGTGCACTAAGCTACATCACTGAACTACACTGTTACGTCCTAGAATTGAGCAACATAATAGGATGGATAGATTAGGTTTTTAGTTTATGTGTATGAGTGTTTTGTCTACAAGTTCATGGAGTGCCTGAAGGGACCAGAAGAGAGTGTCTGATCCCCAGAGCTGCTGGAGTTTCTTAAGGAAGCTTAAACCCTGTCTTCTGCAAGAGCCGTGAGTTCTCTTAACTCATTTCTCCAGCTCATGGGTAGTTAGTTTTAAGCAAACCCTAAAAGGCTGCTTATTAATAGGCAGGAAAGGGCTTGATAATTTGGCAACCTCAAAATTGGTATATTGTTGATGTTCAATATAGGGAAACAGTCACCTGCAGAATAAGTCAGTGGAGGGATGCATAATCCCTGGGGAACCTGAGCTGCCGAACAGGAGGGTAGGCCAGACGTGTGAGATACTAAAGCAACGTGGGTGATGGGAGAACAGTGGCTACAAAATACAGGCCACTCTACACTCCGGAGGCAGAGGCTGGCGGATCTAAGTTCAAGGCCAGCCTGGTCACAGAGAACCTTGTCCTGAAAAACCAAAAAGGAAACAAATAGAAACAGATGAAACATTGGAGTTCAATAGAACCATTGGAGTTCAAAGAGTGAGCAGGTGTGTGGAACACAGCCCCAAAAGAGACAGTATTGGAGTGTGGGAAGAAAAGTAACTGAATGTTGGGTCTGGGTGGGCTTGAGGAAGGCAATGATAGGAGGATGTTAAAGGCTGGAGTACAACAGGGAGACTGTATTGTGCGACAATAATACATGGAAATAAGGGACAATATAGCCCCCCCCTTTTTTGTGGTACTGTGTATTGAAGCTAGGGTTCATAACACTGAACTGCACCCCAGACTGGGGCTGGATATTTGAAGTTTTAAACAGTTTTTATTTGTGTCTCTGTGTGCCGTATGTTGCTGGGGCATACGGGGCATGCCTTTGAGCTGGGGTCAGTGGGTGATGGTGAGCTGACCACAGTAGGGTGCTGGGGACCCTCCAGTCCTCTGGAAGAACAGCACATTCTTTTGTTACTCATTTGGTTGGTTTGGGTTAGGGAGGGAAGGGTTTATTTCCTCCTATTTCAAGATAACAGTCCATTACTGAGGGAAGTCACGGCAGGGACTCATGCCAGGAACCAGAAACTGAAGCAGAGATCTCTCAAGGAGCTGCTTACTGTCCATGGCTTGCTTTTTTATTTTTAAAATTAAAATATAGTTATATAATTCCCCCCCTCCTCCTTCCAACCCTTCCCATGCCCCTCTTTTCAAATTCATGGTCCTTTTCTTAAATTGTTAATGTTTTGCGTGCTAATTCTGTTTAGTGTCGTTTGCATACATAAGCCTCACCCATCATACCTCGACAACATGGCTGCCTAAACGAGACCGGGACGGAGACAACACCGACACACGTGCTAATGTGAAGCAGTGGGCGGGGCATCTTACTGCAGGCAACTGAGGGATGCTGTGTGTGAGTGTGGGAGAGAGTACGAATACCATTTCCTCCGGGGATCAGCCCCTAACTGACTACGTACACCATGCCACAAGCATTCTAAACAGCTGAACCATCTCCAGCCTTGACACTGACATCAACGTTGAGATTGTGAGGCAATACGTTTAACTGGTGTAGTTGCTAGAACTAGCAACTACATTTGGGGTAGAAAATGAGAACTTGGGTATCAGGAAAGTATAACATGGAATAACATGTTGAGGAATGGGTAGCTGGGCTTGGGGTTGGGAGGAAGGGATCTGCTGTTGGGATTAGGTGGGAATGTGCTCTTGGAAAGCACTAGCCCGTAGGGATTCAGTGGGGAGCAGTACTAGACCCTGTATCCACGGGTAAAACCAGGAGCTGACTCCAAATCCCGTGGAGATGTGATTTGGGGGAACAGTGGGTGTCAGACTTGTGGCACTTAAAGTGCAGAGAAGCAAGATGACCAAGTCAAGCGGAGACGTGATTAGGGACGCCAGATTCATAAAAGCGCAAGCAGTGTCAGTCGTGGGCCAGATCCCTTCTCAGCTCTGCTGCTCCAGACGTCCCTTGATAGGCACGTGGGGACACAACGGAGGAGCAGTGGGCATTGGCACCTTGTAGCAAAGGCGGACTGTTGTTGGGGGTGACAGTGACGGGAGCTGCGGGGTGGGGGATGTACCCAGGAGTGCTGGGTAATCTAGGCAGCTTTAGAGGTGTGGCGGGGTGTTTTAGGAAGCGGGGCGTGGACTCGAGCAGAAGCCATCCTATGTTGGGAGTTAATGGACGGTTGAATGCAGAGGAGACAGAGAAGATGATTTATTCCATCAGACACACCACGGTTACAGACATTTCCATAGTACAGCAGTGTTGGCGCTCAGCAGCTGACATCCATGAGTGAACGGTGTGGAGGCGAATAACCTGCGAAGGTGAGGTCTGAGAGGACAGGTCCTGGCGGGACTCTTAGCGACAGTCCCCAATCCCAACCCCTTCATCTTGGGCCCACAGCTTCAGAGGGTCTCCAGGTACAACGAAGTTGCTGGAGAATTCTCTAGCATAGTCCTCCCGTGGACCCCAGCAAAGAAAGGCCCCCAGTCTCATCTCACGGAATCCACGAGTTTTAGGCCTCCGTCCCCGAAGGCTGTGGCTCCTGTTCCACACAGTCCAAAAACCCATCTTGAGCATTGGCTTTCTGGTGGTCTGCTACAGGCCTCGCATCCTCCTGGGAGCCACAAGACCTAAAGCACGGGGAAAATGCAGAGCCGTGTCAGCCCCAACTCTGAGGGACAGGACCACAGCTTGACCGACGCCACTCACCTCCTCCAGCATCTGGCCACACCCGCCGCTCTCCCAGGTCCACCAGCTCGGTGCGCAGTCTCGACCTAAAGAGGTCCTAGGCACAGCTGGCTCACCCTGGGATGACGCAGCAACGTGGGAGATGACACAGCTCCAACACTCCCAGCCCGGGCACCCGCTTTCCTCGTTCCCTCTGGGAGTCCGCAGGCTCGGGTCTAGCTCATCCTTTAAGCAACAGAAGGTTGGACTCGTTCTGCGCTGTACAAACAAAAATGCTGGGCCTTCACTTCACAGAGTGACAGGGTACAAAGACGATCGCAGTTACAGACACGGTTCAGTGCAGTCCAGGATCATAAACATAGACACTGATTGCGCTCGATGTGCGGGCGCAGGAGCACCGCATCCCATCGCCAGCAGACACTGGGCCATCTGACGAACAGTCAGACAAAGCGGCAACACAGAAAAGCAGGCAGCATCAGGAACGCCAGATGAAGCGGACGCAGCGCATGTCCAAACGAAAGGCCGCGCTTCTCTCTCCCCTCCCCTTCCCACCCTTCGAATCTGCGCCCACCCGGTCCCACCCCGTGTGCCCCTGGCCAGTTAGGCAAGCTGCAAATGGATATAGGTGAAGATGCATGAGGTGATGGAGAAGGCTATGGCCGCGTAGATGAAGATGGAGAGGTGCGGGAAGTGATCTAGATAGCAGCCCTCGTCCACCGGAGGCTCCTCTTCCTTGGGTCCCGAGCGCGCAGAGGCCTTTCGGGACAGCCCGGCGCGGGGTCCCGGAGCCCTACCGCCCGCGCGCCGAGCAGATTTCCTGCCAGCTGATGATGCGGACTTGGGTGCCCGCGCAGTGTGGCCCTCTTCCTGGGGCGGCTCATCGAACAGGCCCTCGGATTCAGGATCGGAGTCGAAATACATCTGCTCTGGACCCCAGGGCTTGCGTGGAAAGGGACCGTTAGCCATGGGTGCAGAGCACGGACAGGATAAGCTGCTGAGACAGAGACGAAGTCCCTGCTGGGTCGCAGTGCAGTGGGCGGCGGCCCGCACTGCAGCAGTATCTCTACTCCCTGGGTGGGTGGGTGGGGGCGGAGCAAGCGGAGCAGGGGGCCCCTGCGGTTCGGGGCCGCTCTGCCCAGGCGCCACTTTCTCTGGCTCCTCCTTTCCGCCCACAGCCTGTTGCAGAGGTTGGCCAGCCAGCTTCTAGCGCCTCTCAAGTCTTGGTGCAGCGAGGTCTGTCTCCATAGCAACGAGACTGGTGCGTGAGGGAGGAGGTGAGAGGCGTTGGGATCTCCTAGCTAATAAGGGGGACTTGGCACCCCGCCCCGGAAGCTGAAATGCAGCGCACAAAGCAACAAGCTGTGTGGGGAGTTTCCCCAGGGTTTTATTTCTCCTTTTCAAGGACAGGAATAATGGAAGGTCTTAAAAACTGATAAACAAAAACGCATTTAATGAGATGAGGCACAAAAGGCGCAGCTTTGTAACCAAAGGACGTTGCATTGTTGTCTGAGAGCCAGACACATGAAAATCAACGGAGAAAGGCCAGGTTAAGTGACCAGGGTAGCCACTTAACCTGGTCACTGTGTGTATTCACTCTCCCTCACTATCTTTATCCCTCCCCCTCTTCCCAGGCTGAATTCCTGATTCCCTTCTGGCTCCCTCAGAGGTGTGTGTGTGTGTGTGTGTGTGTGTGTGTGTGTGTGTGTGTAATGCATGAAAAATTAACATAATTATGAAAAAAGGGGGGGGGGAGTTTAATCGTGTCCGCACTCAGGAGACCGAGGCAGTTCAGCCTGGATGTATAATGAGGCTCTGACTCAAAAGACAAAAGCAAACAAAAGGATCTAACAAAAACAGTATCACAATAAAACTTCCACAAACGGGGTCCAGAAGTGACACAGGTGAAGACTTGCCTTCCCATCCCTCTTCCTCTTCTCTTTCTCCTCTCGCTGCTCTCTCTGCATCCTATTTCACATTCATCCACGTTCATCTACTTCCAGCCTTTGGGGCATTTCACATGTGATTTGAAACAAATCCTCCCAGAGAGCCAGAAAATTGGCTGAGTAGGTTAAAGGCACTTGTGACCAAGCTTGAGGACCTGGACTTGGTCCCCAAGAGCCACAAAATAGGAAAGAAATGACTCCAGCAGTTGTCCCCTGAACTTCACAGATGTGACATGATGGATGTACACACACACACACACACACACACACACACACACACACACTAAACATACATTCGCACACTAAATTTAGTGTTGAAAAAGAAAAAAGTCCTTTCAGAGACTTTCACGCCCTGAATCGTTTCTCACCTTGCTTTCCAGCCCTGGATGGTGCACTCCTCTCTCATGGCTGACCTCAGCCATGCTCCTGGGACTCTAGAAAGGTGAGGGACTTAGAAAATAGCCTGCCAGTTCTAGAAAAAGCATATACTTACGATGTAGCCCAGGGGGCTGGAGAGCTGGCTCAGCAGCTGAGCATGGCTGCTCTTCCAGAGGATCCATGTTCTATTCCCAGCGCCACATGGGGACCTTCAGCTGTCTGTAACTCCAGTTCCAGTGGATCCTCTTCTGACCTCCCTGCGTGCCAGGCATGCACACAGTATGCAGGAAAAACACCCATATGTATAAAATTGTTTTTAACAGTTAAAGGGGGTGGAGGACAGGACCTGAGTCTTACTCCCACCGTGTAGCAGACCTCCTGCTGCAGCCCTTTCCTTCTCGCTGCCCCGTTCCCAGGTGATCTTCCCAGAGCTCTTCTACAGCCTCTTCTCCCCACACTCCTTTGTCTCAGCTGCCAAACCGAGGAGGCAATCCTGGAAACAGGCTGGCCACGCCGGCCAAGGAATCACATCAGGGCCTTGCTCAGCCATCATTAAAGAAGCTTTCTCCTTCAGTAGATGGGAACAAATACAGAGACCCAGAGCCAGAAAGTGTGAAGAGAGTAAGAGGCCTTGGAACACGGTCTTAATAGGAGATATCTATTAATCTCTGCCCACAGGGCTCAGGGAACCCTGCAGAAGAAGAGACAGAAAGATGGCAAGACCTTGAGAGGATGGAGGACGCCAAGGAAACAAGGTCCTCTAAACACCACAGGGCCGACACAGACATGAGCTCACAGACTGTCAGCACGCACAGGGCTGCACGGGGCCGTGCTGGATGGGATCCCAGCACTGGGAGGAGACCTCTCTCATCTCTCTGTCTCTCTGCCTGTTTCTCTCTCTCTCTCTCTGTGTGTGTCTGTCTATCTCTGAGTCAGGATTTCTCTGTGTAGCCCATGATGGCCTCAGAATCAGAGATCCGCCTGCCTCTGCCCGGGTGCTGGGAGTCAGGTGTAGGTGCTGGGAGTCACACCTGGGCACTAGGAGTCAGACCTGGGTGCTCTGGGAGTCACACGTGGGCTCTGGGAGTCGGGCTCTGGGAGTTAGACCCGGGCGCTGGGAGTCAGGTGTAGGTACTGGGAATCACACCTGGGCTCTGGGTAGTGCTCCTCCTCAGGGCAGGGAACTGGAAACAAACTCATCTCCAGACCGAGAGGAGAATAGTTACTAAAGTGATGCTGCATTTGAGGCTGGGGGCCTGTGGTTTGGTGGCAGAGAGTTTTCATAGTGTGCACAGTGGCTGGGCGTGGATTAATTTGATCACCAGAGAGAATTATCCTGAAATTGAACAGGTGTTTGTGATCATCTAAGCCAGGATTAAATGGTTTAAGATCACACGTGCTAAAAGGATAAGAAAGGTCAGCTGCATTTCCACAGAAGAAGCCTGGGATGGAAAGAGTTCAGACAGGAATTTTCAGCTTGTTTGATGGTAGGATCACGTGATAGTGTCACTCTCTGTTTTCCAAATCTTGTGCGTCATCATCATGTTATTTTTGTGTGCGACAAAGCAATTAGGAGGTGAGAAAAAAAAAGTATCAGAGCTAGTGCCTGTTGTCAGGAGTAACAAGCCCTGTGATGCCCTGACCAGTGCCCACACACTAAAGTCTAGATGGCCCTGTATTGTCTAGCGACCACTTGCTCAATAACAGTTGCTAGGCAACCAGGGACAGGCTAGTCTTCTGAATAGCATCATAGCATCGATCTGCCTGCCTCTTTCCATCCACTTCTCTCCAGCTGTGTCATTTTCTTGTCTACCAGCCCCCGTCTCTCACTATCCTCCTCCCGTCTCCTTCTGCCTGGGGCTAACCTACCGACAGCTCCCCACCACTTTAGACCAGGGGACCCCCGCCACCGTAGAGCCCTTCACAGCACAGACAATCACGGGAGTCTGACGTGTTAGTCGGCACAGGCTGAGTTAATGCTGGGCGAGCCTGCTGTAGCATGAGCTGGCACAGGGACTGGACGAGTCACATCCCAGTGTGTAAGCCAAAGCGGGACAGAGAATGATGAGCTCCTCGAGGGCAAGACCCTAGCTTAAAATGTTCATACAGCGTTGGCATACTGTGTATGTATGTAAACTGAATGCTTTGGTACATAAAGTGGAGGAGCCGCAATTACAGCAATGACGATGTCCATATCCTGTCATCTGTCTTCATGCTCCTCTGCAGTCACTCCTTTTTATCCCTCCCCGCACGTTCTCTACTCGGCAGCCAGTAATAGTGCTTATGTTACTGTAGCTTTGTTCACATTGCCTGGAACTTTATTCACTGATTAAGAGGGGTCCCCTTCGGCTCTCCAGGCTGGCCTTGAACTCCAGCCCTCAAATGAGCCTCTTGCCTCAGTTTCCTAAGCAGCGTGGGTCACAGGCACGTGCCACTATGCCTTTTGTTATTTCACAAACTACGTGAGGGTGGGTGCTTCGATTTTAAAAGTTTGGCATATTGTTCTGGAGGCTAGCTAGGTGGTTTATCTGAAGATGGCTTCTGCTACGCCATTACAACACCACAGAGGGAGTCCTAACGAAGGCAGTGTGAGGGCTCATCACGGTTCACTCCCAGAAACTAACACTAAGAGGCCCCGGCTCCAGAGAAGTCTGTGGCCTAGGATTTTGTGTAACTGGAACCACACATTCTAGCACAGTTCGAGCATTTTAAATTTAATATTTCTTTTCAATTTTATTTGTTGTTCTTTTAGTATTTTCTTTCTTTCTTTCTAACATAGTATTTTTTATTAATTATTTGGGAATTCCACCCAATCACACTTGCTTCCCAGCCCGCACTCCACCCTGTGCCCCCAGTAGTTCACTTTTAACTGCTAATTGTAACATAATATTCTGCCATGAAGGGCCCACTGAGGTCAGAGGAGGGCACTGCGTGTCTTGGAGCTGGAGTTGGAGACAGCTGTGGGCTTCTGGGTGCTGGGAACTGAACTTGGGTCCTCTGGGTGAACGGCCAGTGCTCTTAACTGCTGAGCCGTCTCTCCGGCCTCATTCTTCTGCTTGTCTGTTAGTGGCTCGCTTGTCTCTAGGCGTTAGCTGTTAAGCGTTTAGCTTCTAGGACACTCATTCACAAGTCTTTGTATGGACGTGTGTGCTTGCTTTTCTCAGGTAGGCACCAAGTTACAGGATGGCTTGTGCTATCATGATGGCTTCCAGTGCCCTGAAAACCAAACAAAGGAGCTGCTTTGAATGTGTGTGTGTGTGTGTGTGTGTGTGTGTGTGTGAGTGTGTGTGTGACATTAGTCATTAATTAGGAGGATGCTGACTTTCATCGAGTGACACCCTCACTTCCCAAGCTAGAATTATCTGGGAAGAGGAACCTCACTGAGAAAAGGCTACAGACTGTGGGCAAAACCTTTATTATTATTGTTATTAATTAATGATTGCTGTGAGAGAATCTGGTTTACTGCCGGCAGTGTCACCCCTGGGCTGGTGGTCCTGGGCTGCATGAGGAAGTAGGATGAGCAATTCATAGAGTGACTCAGTAAACCTGGTTCCTCCATGGCCTCTGCTTCAGTTCCTGCACTGACTTCCCTTCATAAGGAACTGTGCTGTTGAAGCAGAGACTGAAGTAAATCCGGTCCTCCCCAAGCTGCCCTGGCTCTGGTGTTTCATCACAGCAAAAGGAACCCTTACTAAGGCCCATAATAATAATTTAAAATGGGCCATTTTATTGAGCCACCACCATGCATATATGAATATATATCATGCGTTGATCGCATGTGTTCTTTTTAACCTATTTCTCCTCCTCTTATTCCCTTCTGTTTTCTAATAATCATTCTATTACTTTTAAATCCTTTTTAAAGTTTTTTTTTCTCTGTTACTCAGATTGTTCTTAAACTCCAGAACTCTAGTAATTTTCTCACTTTGGCCTTCTGAGTAGGGGCATTACAAGCCTATGCCATCAAGTCCAGTAGGAATGTATATGAAAAATATTTTGAAAACAAGACAACACAAAACATTTCTTCCCCTGCTAATCTCTCCTCTGGTCCACTTGTGTCAACATTCTCTTCTCTGGTTCCCTGTATGTAGCTGCCCATTGCAAGTGCCATGCCCCACGGTAATTAGAGTAGACAGTGGCTGTCTTCTCTCCCAAGGTGTGTGGTCCTTAGGGCAGCAACTGACTTTTCTGTTCTGTGAGAGGCAGGCTTGCCATGAAGTCAGGGCTAAGTGAGTGTTTATGGAGTGGCTCAAGGGGACTCTGATAGTGTGTGACCTCTGTCACTGAGCAACCACTACAGCACAAGGCTCGGGCCCTGGGAAGGGATGTCTACCATCTACTAGGATTGGAGGGACAGGAACTATTTTAGGCTGAGGACTAAGAACTAAGAACTGTAACAGAAATACATACATATGCACTCTGAGGTGATGGGGAGAGACCCAGGTCCAAGGTCACCGTCATGGGGGTAGGGGAGAGTGCCTGCAGGAATGACAAGTTCCTCGGAGACAAAGCATGATAAGAGAAGGGGGAGAAGCTGTGGCCTCTGATGCTTGTGGAGGGTCAAGGCAGTGTGAAGGTCAGCGTAGCTATGGAAGCCTCTACAGCAGGGAAGTGGTTCCTCCCAGAGACAGAGGGAAAGGCAAGACCCCATCCTTTGGTCAGACATGATAGCTCTTAGGTGACTAGACACAGAGGGTCAGGTTCAGCAGTTAGGCGTCACTGGCGACCTGTACTCTGTGGCCTCTGGGACCAGCCAAGAGTGCTGCTGGCTTAGAGCACGTGGGCTCATGGGATCCATGGGGAAGCTGGAGAGAGGGCTGTGTCTGGACACCTACAGAACCAGCGTGGGACCCTCAGCCCTGATCCCTGCTGTCCACTCACATTCAGCCTCATCACATGATTCGAAAAGTGACCTCCAGGGCCTCCATGTCTGTGTGGACCACCGGGTGCTTCACATTTGTGTGGGACACTGGCTGAACCATACCTGTCTGTATATGACCCTTGTTCCCTGAAAACTGCGCACCGCCTGTGTCAGGAGCTCCTTGTCTTGAATCTCATACAGAGAGTGGAGCAATCCAAAAGAATATGAATGCTGGGGCTGGGCCTCCTCCAGGACTCTCTTTGGTAGCTTGCTCCTCCTCTTCCGAGGGAGCCAGCAGGTGAAGATCTTCTCCATCTCTTCCATCCCCTGTTCACTCACAAGGCCAGATAGGAAACGCTTGCTGGGTGCATCAAACAGCTCCCTCCTTCCATGTAATTTTAGCTGCTTTTCTACAATTTTGAAGTTTTCATGATTGTCCTTGTCCTCCTCATAACTCAAGACAGAGAACATCACTGCAAAGAACTCCTGGAGACACGGGTGAGCAAAGCTGTAGGTGGTGGAATTAGGCTGCTTCAGAAGGATACCCACATTCATGATAGTAGAGATGACAGATCCAGGTGTCTCTGTCTCCTGAGATCCCCTCACTGAACAGACTTCCTTCTGCAGACCCCTCTCAGCAGCCAGTGAGCAAAGCCCTCTGTGGTAGTTCCCCAGGGAACTGGGAGATCTGGGAAAGGTGGTGCAGATAGAGGGCTGTGGTGGTCTGTGAGGTCAGGGAGAGCTCGCCCCCATGTTCCATCTGCTGTGACAGGCAAGTGTAGACCAGCCAGCTCACCCAGGGAACCAGACACAGGGTGGAGAGCACTGGGTCTGATTCAGCAAAGCTAAAACTCTAATCGCATCTCTTTCCTCTGCAAACATTTGTAGAAATACTCCTCCATCCAAACTCAGAAAAGCCCATCCAATGCAGCCGCCCCAAAGTTTGGCTATGAGTCAGCATCTGCTTTGATACCCTGCTGGGTAGAGCCTTTCAGAGGCCCTCTGTGGTAGACTCCTGTTCTGTTGTCTGTTTTCTCCATCTTCCAAATTCTACCCCATTTATCCTTCTGAATGAGGATTGAGCATCTTACCAAGGTTCCTCTTTCTTGCTTAGCTTCTTTAGGTGTACAGATTTTAGTATGTTTATGCTATATTATATGCCTAATATCCACTTATAAGTGAGTAGATACCCTGTGTGTCTTTCTGCTTCTGGGATACCTCACTCAGGATGATCTTTTCTAGATCCCAACATTTGCCTGCAAATTTCATGATTTCCTCGTTTTCAATTGCTGAGTAATATTTTTTTGTGTAAATGTATCACAGTTTCTGTATCCATTTCTCAACTGAGGGACATCTGAGTTGTTTCCAGCTTCTGGCTTTTATGAATAAAGCTGCTGTGAACACGGTTGAGCAAATGTCCTTGTATACATGAGCATGTTTGGGATATATGCTGAGGAGTGGTATAGCTGGATCTTGAGGAAGTGCTATTCTTAATTGTCTGAGAAAGTGCCAGATTGATTTCCAAAGTGGTTGTTCAAGTTTACATTCCCACCAGCAGTGGAGGAGGGTTCCCCTTTCTCCACAACCTCTCCAGCATGTGTTGTCACTTGAGTTTTTGATCTTAGCCATTCTTATGGGTGTAAAGTGAAATCTCAGGGTCATATTGATTTGCATTTCTCTGATGACTAAGGATATTGAACATTTCTTTAAGTGTTTCTCTGCCATTCAATATTCCTCTATTGAGAATTCTGTTTGTCTCTGTACCCCATTTTTAATTGGATTACTTGATCTGTTGCTGATAAACACATTTTATTGACCGTAGACCACAGCTGGTAACTTGACACAAAACGGTCTTAATTAATGGGAATTTACAGAAAAAAGAAGCTTTTCCTCAGCAATTTTATTGTTATAATTTTTAAAATTATTATTCACACAAAAAGTGTAAACCTGACAATGTTTATTGTATAAAGTGTATCTCTCCCAAATCACTGGCTTGGGTTAAATGAATTTGCAAAGTCTCTATTTCTACATACTTATTGTCCCTATGGGATTCACTGAAAGATTTGAAACTTACTGCAGGTTCAGGAGTCTCTTGCTGGCTCCACACTTTGTGATGTATTAAAATGACAACAGCTGTGCAGGCTGCAGATTGCATCTTGAGACACCAAGCACGAAAAAAGAATAATAACATTTCTTGGAAGAAAAATTAATACTGAGATATTCTGTTAACTACATGTTTTCCCTGGGAATGTGCCATTATCTGACTCATTATCAGCAAACCTCTTGTCCACTCTGCAGGCGACTTGTCTGGAGGAGCCAAGTTCAGAACGTTGGCTACAGAGATGGTTTCAGTGCAGATTTGCTGTTGACACAGAAAGTCTGTCCTGTCATGGCTTGTTCTAGAACATCCCAACCACATCAGTTAAGGAGGCGCGGGCTACCTATAGACTCCAGGACCTTGCATTCCGGCAGGAGACAAGAAAGAAACGTGACCTTTATACGTGAAATCAAATTTAATAGACTCATATTCCCTTTTGTAGGCTTTAAGAAGCTCAGACCATCACGTGTGGAAGGAGCATTGCACATCAGGTTCCTGAGCTGGGACTCACACCTCCAAAGGGCAGATGCAGCTGAAGGTGTCAAGTCCCTGACAAGAACAAAGGTTGGTACAGGTGCAGCTGCTCAGGATCCCTTCACAGTGTGCACTAGTCTGCGGTGTTTGTGCTGTGAGCACCGTGTTGTGTCACGTGACTTCCTACACCTGTGTTGCTGAGCACCGAGTGTAAAGAGCCCCTTCCTTTCCCATTCCCAAGACAGTCACTTTCCAGGGAAAAGTAGCGTCTCTTTCTTCCCAGTCCTGCTTGTATCATGGTGGGTCAGGGTGGCTCGTGGCTGGCCACTCTGACCATAGAGCTGGACAAGGCCTGTATAGACTTGCAGGCTCCACTGGGTGTTTTCTGAGATGCTCAATCTGCATGAACATCTGGCTGGGGAAGGCCAAGAGGGGACCTCTGAGTCCCCAAGAGGTGTCCTGGATACAGTGCTGTCATAAAGACAACTCAGATGGCCAGTGGGTGTAGATGGAGAAACGGAGAGCCACAGGAGGGTCAGGGAGAGTCAGGACCCTAAGTAGAGTGCTGACCCCTCAGCCACTATAGATGTCAGGATCCCACAGAGACCCTGCCTGAGTTCTCAAAGAGGTCCATGATCAGGTAAGGATGGGTTTCCTTCAGAGCCTGGTAGAGTTGGTCTTTGCTGTCCCTGCTCCAGGAGCGGCTGAAGCTGAAGAGCTTCCGCATCTTGTCTGGCCTGGTGGCTTCAGCCCGCACGGCCTCATACTCCTCCTCACTCAGCACCAGACCATGCAGCTTGTCCAAGACAGGGTCCACTGATGTCACACGAGCCACCAGCTGCTCCCGATACTGGTCCACGAAGTGCAGCAAGACAGGAGCATCTAGGAGTGAAGATGAGGTTGGCAGTGAGCAAAGAAAATCTCCTTCAGGGGCTCCTACTGGCTGCTCACTTCTTGCTCTTTTCATCTGAAGCCCTGGCTGCCCTTTGCCTCTGGAAGGTCATTTCTTCCTCTTCTTCTTCTTTTTAAATGAAAACAGCTGTCAGAAATGTCTGTTATGAGCATTAGTCCAATTGGTTTTTGTCTGACACAGGATCTGACTGTGTGGTCCTTGGCTGGCCAAGAGCTCAGATCAGCCTGTTGTGCCTAGAGTGCTGGACTGAAGGCATATTGCCACCATGCCCATCTCCCAATCAGTTTTAAGTCAAGTTTAGAATTATGGGGTCATGTCCTGTAGCCTTCACAAATACAAGAAAATCTCAGGACTCAAATCCATGGTTGTAGCATTAGTCATTGGATGAAAGCACACTTTTCATGTCCACCTTCCAGAAAAGCTGAATACTAAACAAATTTAATGTCTCCATCATCACAGAAGAGTGCTAAAGGCGTGGCACAGCCTTGACCAACTCAGTTTTCCTGTCTCATCAGCAAATCAAAGATTTCCACTCCCAACTTCTAACTGCTTGCCGAGATCATTTAAATTAATCTGTCATGAAGAACTGTCACCAGCAAATACTTCTTTTTTTCTTTAAGAAATACGTTCTTACTATATGACCTTTCAAATTTTGAATATGAGGCATTGTTTCTTCAATGGTAAACACCTTGGGTGCTCTAAGACCTCAGTGTGTATGGCTTAGTTATTAGTTATTAAGGCAAGTTATTAGTCTGACATTTTGCCTGACCAGTGCATGGGGTCACAGTGGGTCCCTAAGGTTGGGAGTGGGTGGAGTTATTGTCACCATGGAAAGCAGAAAGGGACATGAGAGGAACTGTATTCTGGCTTTGCTCCTCTCCTACCTGTCCTGGTGAGGTCTGCAAAGTGAGGATTTCTCCTTTCTCACTGCCCTTCTCTCAAGATGATCTACCTGCAGAATACCATTGGCCTCTCTGGCCTCTTACAGTCTTTACTAACCTCTGGGGGCTGGAGCAGTCCTGGGCAGGGCAGGTCTGAGGTCCCCTGGAAGAAAGGAGACATAAAACCTCTGTCATGATGTACACACCCACACTCAGTGCACTCTGTGACAGTCCCACCCATGCTTGAGATCTTGAGAATGAACCACAGATTCTGATATTGTGTGGAAGGTGAGCATTTCCTCGGTTATACAGGGCATCTTAGTCCCTGAGCCTTAATCACAGAGAGAAAACATGTGAACGAGCAATACAGGATCACAACCTCAATTTTATCCTAGACTGAATTCCTCACAGTGAACGAACCAAGTCCCATGCCAGATGGATTAAATCAGTTGACATCTCATTCTGGGTAAAAAGCTACTTTCTTGTACTTGTTTGACTTTATATTTTCAGATGCCACAAATGTGAATTCTGGATTTGATGGCAGAATCAAGATGAATGAAGAGTGAGCAAATGGAAACAATGAGTTACTTTTAGCAACAATTAAGACAATTAGTAAACCTCAGCTTACAAATGAACCCCGGGGGTTTGAGGAGACTTTAAATTTATTGTGCTCTAACAGTTTAGGAGTCAGCCCAAGGACCCAGTTTGTAGTATTGGAAGCCTGGTTCCATCTGTATGAAGGAAGGATGGTACTGGTTCCAGTCCACACTTACTGGACCATCTTGGAGCATCGTGACTTGTAGATAAACTTAAGCATCTAATGAAGAAAGTAACTGAGTGTCCAGGAATTTTAGAACCAAGATATAAGATTGGGGGTACAAGTGGGCTGTGATTACAATCTTCCAATGCCTGAGTACTTTCCCACATGGAAAGGAATAGATCTTAGTGAGTTCCAAAGGACAGTGTTAAGAAAACAAATATGTGGAAGAGGTTGGCATAATATAAAGAAAAATAGCTACATTGCTCCCATCAGCTAAGCATTTATGAACAGCATTTCACTTTCCCAAACATCCTACCAGTTCCTCCCTCTTATCTTCAGTGTAGAGGTGAGGAAGGTCAGACTTGTCTGTTAAGTCATTTTCTAGGACTTCCTGATGAGTAAATGCTAGAGTGAGATTCTAACTTTGGCCTGATGCTGGAGCAGGTCAGTTCTCAGCCTGTGGATCATGCAGGTGCAGGCAGAGCAAAGACTATTCTCTGACATGTGTGTAGTCTGTTTGTAGCATCCCAGGAGCAGGAGCCACCACTGTGTGACACCTGACAAGGGTTGGGCATCCCCAGAGGTCTAATTAGAGGAACTTGCTTTTGGCATTGTGGGTGCTGGACTAGGACTGTACTGTTACTGAACTTAAAAATTTTCACTATTTTAACTATTTCCTCTTGTCTATGTCATCTTGAAAGAATGCATGAGTTAAAATAGTAAACAAACAAAACAAAACAAAATGGTTGGCAGAAAACATATCAATAGAAATGCAAAAACTCTACAACAAAGACTTTAAGACATACATTAAAGCAATAAATCAAGAAAGACCTCAGAAGATGACTCCCCATCCATGCTTGTTTAAAAGAATCAATACAGTGAAAATAGGCACTCTACACAGTCAGTGCAGTGCCAATCAGGAGTCCAGGGACATTCTTAACAAACAGTAGGAATAAATTGCAGAAACAAACATGGAGCCATAAGAGACACAGATAGCCAATGTAAACTTCAACAAAAACCCTGTTATGGGAAGCGTCAGCACACCTGACTTCAAATTAACGCTAAAGCCATAATAATTAAAGCAGCATGGTAAGGACAGACATAGACACCCAGGCCAATGGAGCAGAACAGATGATCTAGATAAAATTCACAGGACCACAGCTACCCTATCTTTGTCCAAGAAGTCAAAATATACTAGAGAAAAGACAGACCGTTTAACAAATGGAATTGGAAAACCTAGATGGGAACATGGTGAGGAATTCCAATCAATGCCTGAACATCACATTTAAAAACTCAACGCTGTGTAAGAACAAATACCTGAATCAGGCGGAGGAAAGGGGAGAACACTTCAACAGAGCAGCACAGGTAAGGACTGTCTGGACAAGACTCCGGTTCACAGGAAGCAGAAACAGTAGTAAATGTGTCAGATCTCGTGACACTGAAAAGTCCTGGATAGTAGAGGAGTAAAGATCCATGCAGGGATGGGACAAACTATTTCCTGGCTAACATCTGCCAGTAGAAGAGCAAGCAGAATATACACAGAACTCAAAATCCTAAATTCCAAGGAGATAACTCAGGGATAAGATGGGCCACAGTAGTAACCCGAGAATTCCCAAAGGAGGAAATGCACATGGCTAGGGAACAGTTAGCTATGAGGAAATTCAGGGTAAAATGACTTATGATTCCATCTTATCTCGTCCCTTGAGAATGTCCAATATCAAGGAAACATGATAACACACGCTGGAGTGGATGAGGGGAAAGAGGATCGCTCCCTCGCTGCAGTGAGTATCAACTAGTGCAGCCACTGGGAAATCAACCCACAGGCTTCTTAAGACCTAGAGCCACCATATAACCCAGCCGTTTACCTGTAATACATCCAACAAAATTTACATTCTACCATGGAGACATTTGCACAACCATGCTCCCTGAAGGTCTGTTCACAACAGCTAGGAAATGCAGCCAGCCTAGATGTCCACCAACACATGATTAGGGAACAAATTTGTGCCACATGTGTACCATGGAATTTGACTCAGGTGTGAAGATGACATTACGAAAGCTAGTGTACAGAGCAGGAAAAGTATCAAGCAACATAGTCCAGGTCCAGAAGGAAACACCACACCCCTCACGGGCAGTTTCTATCCTGGAGTCTTTAGCTTGTGGTGTTAACATGGAGTGCCCCGGAAACCTGAAAACTAGGTAGGGGTCAGGGCCTCAGGGGGGAAAGGTCGACAGCAGCATGGCGGTAAACTGAGGGAAGAGAGGAAACACTGGGGCAGAGATGTTTTAACTGGAAGAGTGTGGGGGATGGAGGAGGGAGGAGTAAGTGGGATGTTGTGTTAAAAATGAAGACAGTGTTTACAAGTCACAAGGAAGCTTATTTCTTGGCAACCCAATACAAAAACAGAAAGGAATTTGCATGCAAGACACCCTATGGGGCTTGAAAGGAAGGGTTTAGAAGTAGTGAGTTTCTAAAGAAAAACCCAGATCTGGGTGTGGGTACCGCCATAGGAGTTGTTGGGAAGGGAGGCTCTGGAGGTCCTTGAGACAATACAGGTTCATGTCTTTCTTCCTGGTTCCCCATCAGAACTAGAGGATAAGACTTTGTCCTGGACAAGGCGGTATAGAGAATCCAAACATCTTGGACATGTGGCATGGAGAATTCTAGGGGAACTGAGTTGGAAGCTTCCTTCCTGCTGCTGGGGTTTGATAGTGCTCTGACGGCTGCTGAGGAAGAAAAGGCATTGACCGCGGTCTAATGCGGTTGTGACCCTGTGATCCTATAAGCGTCCTGCCAGGACAGATGGTCCCACTGCTGCGATCATGGCACAGCTATGATGGGGGCAACCAGTGGGTCCCTGACGGCCCTTCAGGCTGCACAGGGTAGACTCTATCCCAAATATGGCAAGGCTGGGAAAAGAACAACAAAAGCAAAGAACCTCAGGTCTGAGGAGGGTGTAGGCCCTTGGGAGAAGCTGCTATTGCTGCTTAGCTAAATGGACACAGTACCAGTGTCCTTCTGTGTATCTATGTCTACGCCGCAGACAAAAGCATCTCTCAGCCTTCATCTTTTCACCTCTGCAGGGAATGGAGGTAACTGCAGATACTTATGGCTATTCGGGATGCTGAAAATGAAGTGTTTCTTTTTATAGTAATCGGGATGGAGCCTATCTTGTGGAGTGGGCCTGAAGTGTAATCACTGGTTGGTCCCATTATAATTGTAAATAAGACATTTATACCACCGCTTGAGACGTTTATACCACCCGCTTGAGCCTCAAGGATCATAGAGAAAGAGGAAAGAATATCTCAATAGAAGATAGAAAGAAGGCTTGTGAAGTGCTGTCTTGTAGCCTGGCATGACCGCGGCCATCATGAACTCATAACAGTGCACCTACTGTCTCTGGACCCACACTCGTGGGGCCTGACCATCTCTCAGCCACACATGGGGATGCACCTCACAGGGACAGGGCCTCTTACTGCTAAACCATTGGCAAATAATGAATTACTGTCTCTGGAGAGGTAAACATCCCTTCTGTAAACTGCTGGTGAGCTCACTGTGTTCTGCTGGATAGTTCAAAACCCAGGCAGAAGGTCCCAGGTCCCAAGCTTTGTGTGATGAAGGAAAACCTTTTGATCCTGGCAAAGAGAGTTCTAGAAAACAGGTGGGCTGGGAGGAGTAGGAGGGAGAGGAGAAGGTTTTTTCTTATTTTCTTTTTTTAATGTGGAGTGACTGGAATGTATTGTATGCATGTATAAAATGTTAAAAATAACATTTATCAATAGACATTATGGACGGATTGAAGAGCATATACCTCGCGTTGGAAAATCCTGTCAATTTAAAGCTGAGCTGTTACGTGAACTGGAGCCTGATGCTTTGTGCTTCTCAGCCTGTCACTTCCAGGGAGGTGGGGGCAGGAACCCGGATGCTGGACTGAGAAACTGGGGCTTAGAGTAGGGGTGCTTTGTATGTGATGTGTTCTGTGAGAAATGGTCATGTGTGCAAGGATTAGTCCTGCAGCAGTATCCTGAGGGACTGGTCCTGACGGCTGTGATTTTATGAGTGAACCATACACTAACGCTCTCATTGAGTGAATACTGAGAACAGAAACAGTCATGGAAAAGTGCACAGTGGAGGAAGCTAGCCGCTGGGGCATGGCCTGGAAGAGAAGATCTTGCCTGGACTGTCTCTCCTCGCCTCTCCTCTTCTCCACCTCCTCCTCAGCACTTCCCCTCTCCCTGCCTTGGAGCTGCCCTGTGAACAGCCTCCTCTCTCACAGGGAAGCCCCCACTTCCCTCATGTCCTGTTTCACCTCAGGCTCAGAGAGATGGAGGCAGCTGACCATGGGCTGAACCTTGCTCGAGGACCTGCATCTAAACACGCTTTTCTCTTTTGAAGGTGTCTGCATCATGTACTTTGTCACAATTGGGAGAAGCTGACTAGCCTAGCATCTCAGGCTACACTGTGCTCAGACCACAACCTACATAGCTGTTCCGGTCACTTCATGGCACCAGGAGTTAATGACACTACACCTCCCTCCCTCCCCCCTCCCTCCCTCCTTCAGCCTTTAGCGTCTCTGGCTTTCAACTCATTTACCTGGTTTCAGCAAGGCCTCCCACATGGGATTCATATGCTTCTTGTCTGCGATTTGTAGCTTAATCCCCGAATGCATGTGGCCAATGTAGATCTCAGAGAAGAGCTGGGATTCCCCAGGGCTCCGGTAGCACAGCTCCAGTTCCTGGAGAGAGAGAGAGACAGAGGGAGACAGAGAGGCAGAAAAAGACATAAAGAGACAGAGACAGAGAGAGTTGCTGTGTGAGAACTCACTACTCATTCTGTGAAGGAGGAATGTCTCCACTCCCAAACTCTCTTGACCTTGCTCACCATGTTAGACACTGGCTTCTTTGCACTGAGGTAACGCACAGCCTTTGAACACACATCTTACTCTGAAGGTTGCGGCTCTGGTGGAACCCCATCATGCTGTTTCTTTTCTCAAACTCTGACAAAACCCTGACAGGAAGCAACTTAAGGAAGGACTTTTATTGCTGTTTAGCTTCATGGGGGATGCAGGGAAGCTGGGGCTCCTTTCTTTGTGACACTGCTTATGGTTTGGTTTGTTATGTTCTCAGATTGAGCAGTCTGAGGTGGGGAGCAGGGCATGGCTGTAACCCTCAAGGCCTGCCACTGATTACCTGCTTCTTCTAGTCAGTCCTCACGTATTTGTTTACACAAATTCCCAAATACTACTACTGTCTGGGACCCAGTGTTTAAACATTTACACTGTCAGATGAGTGGAGCTCATCCTGAAAGCCCTGCTCACACATCCTCAGCCTGGGCTGGAACTCTCCATGTTACCTGGACCCTTCTCTATGCCAGAATGAATCTAATTCCTCAGGAACTGATCTGCATTCCTGTGTGGTCCCTTAAATCACCTAACTTTGATGTTTAGGTGTAAGTCTTGCTAATCCCATTCCAAGTCGCTTTCTCCCCATTCCCAGTTTTCTGCAAAGCCTTGTGACCTGCCCCACAGGCTTCCCAAGCCTGACAGCAGACTCTGATGAGCAGCAAACAGCTGGATGCTCACCTTTGGGATGATTTCCAGACCCTCAGACCCAGACACGATGTAGCGGGAGCCGATGTAGAAAGGGTCTACGGGGGGTGGCTTGTTTATTCGCACAAACTGGAACTTCATTTCTTCATCGTCAATGGCCTAGGGAACATTGCAGACAGAGATTTAGCTAGATTTCTGGTCCGGAACATCTGGTCTGACTAAGGTGAGGTGGTCGATTAGCACATTTTTGAGGGGCACCTGGGAGCCGTTCTATCTGTGTTTTGCCACACAGATTGTTTGAATTATTGGTCCCTGCCATGTTCATTTTGAGACTGGGGTCGCTGCCAGGGAAGGTGGGCCTGGCCACATGTTGACAGTGTTGCAATCCGTCCATCTGATAGGTGGAAGAGCCGTGTAGAGTTTTGCAAGGGGCCATTAAAGCAGTTGTAGGGCCTGTGGTGTGAGGGGCCACGAAGAAGGCAGAATCACACACCAAGGCTCCCTCATAGAACACATCCACAGTCCCAGGAAAGAATCTCTCCAAGGTGCTCACTAGCTATGACTCAAGTTTTCTGGCTCCCACCCAGGACCCACTTTTGTGGTTCTCAGTGTCACCTTCCGAATGGTGCAGTCATTGGGGATCAGGTAGAGGTGAAGTGTGACGTCCTCGAGATGGAGGTGATAGTAGATCAGTGTGATGGAAGTGATGGGGATGAAGTGCCCTACAGCAGGGATCATTCTCAGTAGAACTCCCATTGGGGAGAAGCTTGGGTTTTCCAGGACTGTGTAGTGCTGCTCCACTCTGGCTGGCGTTTCTAGGACCATCCCGTGTTCTTGAAAGTGGGCCACATGGAACAAGGAGATGTCCATCTGTCCCTCTGTGGAAGAACAGTCAAAGATGCAGATTTAGTGTTTCCATTGATCCATACTTGGATGGGAATTAGCACCCTGGACTTAGAGTGACTGTGGCATGAGAATGGCTCCTATAGCTCGTGGAACTGTTTGGGAAGGAGTAGGAGGTGTGGCTTTGTTGGATGAGGTGTTGCTGGGGTGGGCTTTGAGGTTTTAAAAGCTCTTTCTGTTTCCAGTTTCATTTCTCTGTGTCCTCCTTGCTGATAAGGAGGTAAGCTCTCAGATACTGCTCCAGTGCCATGCCTGCCTGCTTCTGCCATGCTCCTTGCCATGATGGTCAGACTCTACCTCCCTGAAACTGCAATTCTGTCTTCTATAACTTGCTTTGGTCAAGATGATTTTTTAAAAGATTTATTTATTTTTTGATGTCTGTGAGTAAAACTGTGACCAAAAAAAAGTTTTAAATATTATTAATCAATGCCCAGCTAAAATGCAGTGGGAACAATCAATCATTTCCTCACCATCTATTCAGCATGCCAGGGAGGGTGAATGTGACTGGCTTCCAGTGGTGATTCTTTCAGACTGCCTCTCATTGAGGCCCCTTGGCTTTGTCCCTGACTAGCTGCTGGGTGAGTATTCACAGTGGGTAGAGGTTCTTGATGGTCTCATCATGGGTGCTATAAAAAAAAACAGCCTCAGAGGCTATAGTTAGAAACTTGACAACTGGCAGGTTCTCTGAGGTGGTGCCGTCAACAACCTCAGTGTCTTGGGTTTTGGCAGTGTACTCTAAAGTCTTTATTGCAGAGTGGAGTTTGCTGTTATGAAGGAGAAGCTGGGGGAAGGTTTGTCCACTGAAGACAAAGCTGGGTGGATCCCTCCACGGTTAACTTTAGATGTGAACTCTGTAGAGTCTAGAACCACCTTGGGTGTGGGCCTCAGGGCATGCTAGGAGGAGATCATCTTGATGGGTAATTGGTTCGGGAAGGCCCAACCACTGTGGGTGGCTCCATTGCGTGAGCTAGGATGCAGGACCATAGGATGGAGAAGGTCACATGAGCACAGCCTCCACTGTTCTCTCTCCTGTCTGTGGATGTTTCCCAGGTGCTGCAGCTCCATGTTCTCAGACTGCCGTGTCATGATGAGCTGTTCTTTGAACTGTGAGGAAGATAACTCTTTCCTCTCTTGAGTTTCTTTGGTCAGGTATAAAGTTACCCGAATAGAAAATAACTGGTAACAATATTCAGGTAACAAGTAAAGTTCTCTGAATAGAAAATTTATACCAAGAGGGTGGATTGCTTTAAAACGAGCAAACAAAAAACCGGAAAACCCTGAACATGTTGTTCTTTGGCCTATGGAACGGCTTTCTGGCTGGAATGTGGAAGAGTTTGGTGTTTAGGACTAGGAAATAAGCCCATGCTGAGGGCAGAGCTTATGGGGGAGCTTCTGGTGGATGCAGGGAAGACCAGATGCTGAGCGCCAGTGGGGGCCAGATCATGGCAGTTTCAGAGAGTAGCAAGGTTTCTATTGGGAGCTGTAAAAGGATCCATTCATGTGACAGTTTGGTCAAGAATCTCGTTTCAGTGTGTACATGCCCTGATTATGAGTGAAGCTGAATTTAAAGATGAAGGACTAATGTCACAGGAGAAGTGTCAGGACAGAAACTGTCTGAATGGCTCTGCAGAAGCAGCTGCACTTGTTAAAGGGGTCAGCATCACTGAAGAGAAAGCTGTTGCAGATTCAGCTGTACTTGTCAAAGGGGTCAGCATCGCTGAAGAGAAAGCCTTTGCACTGTGGCAGCAGGAAAGCTGTCCTGAGGGCAGAGCCTCGCTCTTCATGGGCTTCATCTTGTGAGAATCCAAACTGCTTTGGAAGGTGAAGCCTTAAGTTTGGGTGTTCCCTGTTCCACATGTACGCAAGTGTTTCGCTATGGTCAGTCCATTACACAGCTGTTGGTGTGGCCACATCTCACAGTTGTTAACAGAGCTTGGCAGAGTCATCTGGTCCCTGTGCACATTTCAGAGAGCAGGGCAATGTGTCTGAGTCAAAGAAGCTGTGAGGAGGTCCTGCGAGGCCATCCTATGAAACTTTGGGAGGTAAGCCTAGGAGGGACTAGGAAGCCTGTGTAACAGAGATGCCAGAACTGTAATATTTTTTTCTGCCACATAGTTTTAGGCAAGGAGTAGAAACATGGTCTGAGAGAGAGGCTATGTGTGTTCCATGTGCTAGGACTGGAAGGTGGAGCTATCTGAGTGTAGTGAATGACATCAGGAGCTCCACAGCTGGACAGAAAGCATCAGAGGTTGGTGTTTGTGCTGATGGACTTTGTCTTACTGTGGTCTGATAATTTCTTGGCACTCCTTGGTTCTTCCTTTTTTGAAATGCAATATTTATTCTCTGCCATTGTATGTTGGAAGTATGTAACTTGATTTCTAATTTATAGGAGCTCATAGTTAAGTCATTTCCTTGAGTCTCAGGTAAGAGGTGGTCTTTGTGGACCTTTTTTGAGACCATGATTCTCTGTGTTGCCCAGGCTGTCTTGGAACTAGCTCTGCAGACCAGGCCGGTCTTGAACTCAGAGATCCTCCAGTCTCTGCCTTCTGAGTGTGGGAATTAAAGGTGTGTGCCATCACTGCCAGGCAGTTTAGGAACTTTTAAAGTGTTGGAATGATTAAGGACTGTGGTCCTTTAAAATTGGAGTGTAGTTTGCGATATGAGAGGAACTGAAGCTGTGGAGACAGGAGGTGGAAATGATTTAAGTGATGTGATTGTTGTCAAGTTGACAGTGGGTAGAATCATGATGATGGATGTCACTTGTCAGCTTGGTGTGATCCCGGCTAATGGGCACACCAGTCTGCACGTCACTGTTTTCCTGTCCTTTCAACACCAAGTGTCTTCCAGCTTTGCACCCTGACAAACAGTATTGCAGTGAATGTCTTGCCATCAGAGAGCACTTCTATTTCTCCTGGGTGATTCCCTGAGAATTAGTAACCACCAAGGAATGAGACAAGGAGATTGCTCCTCCAGGAAGTGGTACAGCTTGGAATTTCAATCAGTGATGCTAGTTCATGGTTTCCCATGAAACCTCTCATCACCTGTGTACCAATGTGGAGCTTTGAGAGCCTGGCTTTCCCCAAGTCCGCCTCATCTCCAGTGCCATCCAGGACTTACTCATTGTTTTTGCTGCACCAATTTTTACAGAACCCACAAGATGCTGTCCCTTCTTGCTAGTCTAAACACTAGGCATGTCCTCAGGGTGTGGGGGACCATGGAGAACTGGACTTCCATCGTTGATACCAGAAGTTTACTGAGGCGTCTATGATGGCTTGCTAAGTTCTTTCGTTTCTTTTCTCACTTAGGTTTTGGATACAATTCTCCTCCTTCAGCCTCTGGAAATCTGGCACCACAGGTATGTGCCACCAGGTGGTGCCTTGACTGTTCTTCTGTATAACTGTCTGTTCTGAGAGTGGGAGTAAGCAACAGGGAAGATGGCAGCCTTCAGGGAAGAAGCTTGGATGATGCCTGGGGCAAGTGCTGTTGGGGAGGCCAGGATCTCTGTGTGCAGCTGCTTGACTGCCTCATTAGACACACTAGGAAGCACCATCTTGGCAGCTCTGCCAGATATGTAGTTCAAGGCCTCATGTGTTTTCAGGTGTGATGATTGTTTTATAAGTGTGCTGAGATCTTTTTCAACTGAGTCCTGCTTATTTTCTTCATTTTTGCTTTTTTTTCTTCTTGTAGGCTTGCCATTAAATAAGAATATTTTAACCTGTGAGGTGCTTAGCTTGTTTTCTATTCAGTATTCTATTGGCTGGAGCACTCTGTGATTCTGTTTTCTTCTCATGACTTCTTTAGCTCTAAGGTCTCCCTTTTTTAACATCTGACTTTGGGAAGCTCATCCCCTTTACCGCCATGAACCAACTCCATCTTCCTCCACTGTTAGCTAGACTCCCCTGGTCTCTGTGGTGAGGCTACTGCTGTGCTCCTTGAAGAGGACAGGAAGCTGACCTCACCAGCCACTTGTACAATGTCTGGTTCCCTTGCTGTTGTTGCTTTTTCCTTTTTTGGTCAGTGTCTGGCTGTGTAGTGTAGGCTGCTATTGAATTCTAGTTTCTCTTGCCTCAGCCTCCAGAGAGCTGAGATCATCTAGTTTCTCCTGCCACAGCCTCCAGAGAGCTGTGATCAACACCTGTACTAACGACTTGCTTTATGAGATTGTTTGTTAGAAACCTTGTAATTACCAGACTATATTCCGAAGGAATCTTTGGAGATCATTGAGGTTGGGACACTTCACGAGCCCCCTGTCTTTTTTTTAGGATGCCCCAGTTTTGTGGCTCATGGAATGTGGTGATATCATTTTTCCCCTGCCTTTAGGAGTGTGTTGGCCTACAGTGTTGGAAAACCCTGGGTACCAAGTATTCCTTGTTAGTTTCTCCAGACTGAATTTTCAACAATATCTTCAAATTGGTTAATTATTCCCTGTTTTTTGTTGGTACCTTGAGGGACATAATGTGTAAAGAGCAATTAACAATCGCCAGTTAATATTGCTACTGAGGGCATCTCTTTCCACATAGGGCCTCCTTCAGGTAAAACAGAAAGATAGCTGTAGGCCTGGGGCACATGTGCTTCAAAGAAGATACATCAGGCAAGAGGGATGGAGGCAGCATCTGAGTTCCCATTTCGGTAACCTGCTCTGCCCTGCCAAGGAAGCCATGACACTTTGCTCTTCATCTGTGATTCTATCGTCTGCTGTGTGACAAGTCATCTCCCCATTATTACCACCCCCATCCTTATGCTTCCCTTGGTTACCTGGGAGAGCCACAAAATGAGGGAGGAACACAGCAGTCACAGCTCCCTGCTCAGCCTTGATGTCAAACAGAGGCCCGGCCACCATGTGACTGTGCTGCAAGGGAATCCTGTCCAGGAACTGGCTCCAGGCACAGAACGCAATCTCGATTGTCACTGCCCTTGTCACCACAAAGTGGAGTCCTGTGTTGGGACAGTGGTAGGCACCAGCCATGGGCAGTTGAACTCTAGAAGGGGGAGAGACAGACACCGAGTCAACCCCAGCACTGCTCATCTGCTGTGTGCACATGCATGCAGGGCTGGGTACAGAGCAGACTCAGAACGCTCCGGTTCCTCTGCTGTCTGCATGTGGAGCCCTGACTGAGTCATCCAACTCCCCACTTCTGTTTCCTCATCTGCAAATAGGGGTGATGACAGTCACTCACAGCTCACAGAACTATGGGTGATCTAATACAAACCACAGGCAACACACACCTGGGGACACTTAGACGTTCCTGTGATGGTGACCAGAGTGCTGACATTGACGTGTGTATGTGTGTGTGTGTGTGTGTGTGTGTGTGAATTAGGTTCTGTGGATCAGTCCATGACCTTGTGCAGGTAGGCACACTGACATACATCTTCACTTCTCAGTGATTGTAGCCTTAATCAATATATTTACAGATAATGTGAGTCTCCCTGCTTCTATTAGTGACAAATCCTTGACCTAGAGCAATGGTTTACCACGATGGTTAGTGATTTTCTCAAAGGCGTTTCTCTTTGATTGTTGAAGAGTGGACAAATGTCAGTTTTCGTGGGAGAACCTAGTTTCTCCAGCTGAGGCAGTGATGGTGGCAATGTTGGAGGAGGAAACAGGCAATGGCAGACACCATGACTGTGGAGAGAGCCACTCATTACCCACAGGACTCTGTCCTTGAAGAGCAGGGCTGCTGTGGTCACCCTCATGTCTTCAGTTTCTGATGGGTACATGTTACATAGTGGTGGTTAGTAAAGCAAGAATGCAGACACGACTGAGATTTAAGGGAAATCTAAGTGACAGGGAACCCAAATACCATAAGGGGAAGGGTACTATCAATATATTAATCATTACAAAGACCATACTTCACATAACTGAGAAAAGTGGAGCAAAGATGGTTTAGAAGAAACGAAGGACTCATGTCAGCTCTGTTGATATGGTCATGGTGTGCTGGTTATGGAAGATAAGGTCCTATCTTAATTATGGGGAGATTCATAGTAAAATATTTGGGATGAAACTACTTTATATCTTAGACTTAAAATACTGTGATAGTGATGACAGAGGAGGAATGTGAATAGTTGAATAAAATTTACAAAATGCTCACAGGAGCAGAGGAATTAGGCAGGAAAATTTGTGCTCTCGTTTAGTAAATGTTTGAAAAATTCATGACAAAGACCCCAGTCCATAACAGCCACCCTTCTTAGTCCAGCCCTGGCCTTGCCCCTGGGTAGGTGAGAGTAGGACACACAGTAGAGACTAGTGAGTGCTGTGTGGGGATCCCCTGTGGAAAGGGGCCTGGGGAAAGCCAGCATGTTCCAGGCAGAGCTCACTCACCGGTACAGGCCCCTCTCTCTGTCAACCACCTCAGTAGCCACGGGTCCTGCAGGGCCCCAGAAGTCATCATCAGTCCCCAGAGTCCCCGGTTTATCTCCCGGAGAGGAAGGAGGAGTTGAGCAGAAGAGCTCAAGGGGTGCAGGTTGGGAGGACCCCTCCTCTAAAAGAGGACAGACAGTGGTTACTCTGTGTTGTCCTGTGCAGTCTCCCCAGCACTGGACTATGGCTGAAGTATTTTTGGGTTGGCCAGCCTAAGTCTTAGCAGGAAGTGTGTCTGCAGTCTTTATGGATGTTGCTGGGCCACCTGCATGCTTTTTATTTATAGATTGTGTTTTCTTCCATTTCCCTGCTTGCCTTCTGAGCAACCCTGAATCCCAATTCACGCTCCCAACTCAGTCATTGTGTTTCTATTTCTGCTAGTCCAGAAATATTGATTTTCCAGACATGTCTCCACTGGGTTTGTTCAGAGAGAGAGAGAGAGAGAAAAAAAAAAGCCAATGTAAATTTGGATGAGCAGGGTTGGGAGGGTGATGCCCAGGCTGTAGCAGCTCAGAACAGGGATCCCTGGTACAGAGGTTAATTCAAGTCATAGACCTGAGAGAAGGGCAGCACCAGCCCCCAGGACGTGGGGAGGAGGAGCTAATATTTTGTAAGGGGCGGGGCCATTCTTCATTGAGAGAATACCCTGTAATGTTTCCTATTAGAGACCGAGGATAGAATGGTGACTGCTTCCCGACATCCGTGATCTGTTTTCCACATGTGAGAGGGAATTTGCCCCCATGAAATCTCGACAACAGTGCTGCCTCAGCAGGGGCTGCATGATGACAACAGCATGACATGCTGATGTGGTTGGGAAATCTCACAAAGCTCCTCCTCCAGATGAAGAGCTACAGGTGATTAAGAGCTGCTAAGAGAGGGATAAAATCAGTCTTTGGAAAGAGCTCCGTGATAGGTTTTCCAGTCTCAAGTGGTCAGCCCGGAACATGGCCAAGTGTAAGTGGACTCACCAGGTGCCTATATGTGTGTAAATATATACATATGTGTACATACGTGTATACACATATATCTGATAATAATATTTGTGAAGTGGTTAGGAATTTGAGAGTTTGTTGATGGAACACAGGAGAAGTTGGAGAGGTAGATGGAGGGGTAGAAATGATTTAAATATAGTATCTATGTATGAAATAAAAAAATTATAAAAAGAAAGACATGATGACTTCCTCCAACCTGTGCTCTTCCATCCTGTGCTCACAAGGCTCTGGGTTTGATCCCATCACATACCTGAGTGTGGTCTCTGCTGCTTGAATGAGGTCAGGGAACCACACACTTCTTCTCCATCAGTGTTCTTAGGGACCATCACGTGTGACTTCCTACACACAGACATTTTCTTTCCCTCAGATGTCAGGGGAAACCAGGGAGACCAGGGCTGTGCACACAATATCCCCCACATAAAATCCACATAAAATCAACCGAATTTGAACTCCATCTCATGCTTCCTCCCTGGGCCAGAACTCTATGAAGGCACCACATCCTCCTGGGCATCCATGGTGCCAAGAACAGAATAATCTCGACCCTTCCTTTGCTTTAATTGAAAGTATTCCTCAATGTTCACACAGTATAAAGTTATTCCCCAGTGCCACAGTCCTGGGAAGGTGAAGGGTAAGACACAATGATGTCATAAGGGCTCTGACTTTATAAAGGGGATAATGTCACCATCACAGGATTTCTTATCATGGTCCGTGATGTTTTCTGTGGCCCCTGTTCACCTCCGGCCTCCAAATGCTACCCTTTCCTGCTCACTGACCTCTAGACCAATGACCATCAAATCACTGTGCTCCAATGTCACCTGCATGGCCTGCTAAATCAGAATTCTCACTGAAGGAAGCTGTCCTACCTGATATTCCAAGTCAGTAAAGACAGAATGGGGTGGGGCCTGAGAACCTGCATTTCTGTGGATCTCCCAGGTGATTCTGGCAGAGCTGATGGTCTCCACACAGTTTCCTGTCCCTCAAAGGAGCTTCCCTTTCTGCTTCCTTGTAGCCTCTCCCTCTGCCTTGGCTCATTTTATGTTTCCCATCTTTGAGAGCCCACCGCACCTCATCTGAGCTGTGGAGGGGTTCAGACAGACAGCTCCTGCCCTCACAGCTCTCAGGTACAATTGTGTGGACTGTGGGAACAAGTACCCTCCTTGCTGGACCGAGACACTGAATGTTGGGCCATGTCTTCCTTCCTCACTGCTGTGCCCTCAGATGCCCAAATACTTTCGATGCATGGTAGGTGCGCCAGAATGTTGATCAATGGATGGCTGACCTGTAGGTCTACAGCGACCCCTAGATCTACCCCATCCCCCTTCATTTCTCATGTGGCACAGCAGGTAGGAACTTGAGGACAGATGTGTTCATGGTCATGAGTGGAAATGTCCAACACCAGGCTTTGCAGTCCTGAGGCGTCCCCTCAGTCCCAGAGTATAGTGTGTGTGTGTGTGTGTGTGTGTGTGTGTGTGTGTGTCCGCACTGAGGTCAGTACACTGATACACAAGGTGTTTTCCTCCCTTATGTGTCTTTCACCTGTGTGTCTTTCTTTCCCAGTGTGTTGAAGGCTTTCATTGTTTCCATAGTTTGGGTTTACTGGCGGCTACCACTGTCATTCTTGCTGTGCCCAGAGGACTCACCACTGACTCAGCCTTTCATACTCTTTAACTTTTCTTCTGATGGAAGGACTTAAGCAGGCATGTGATGTGATTCTATTTTTACTAAAAAGAGAAAAGTCATAATCAACCCCCCCCCCACACTTTACTTTGGAGCTCTGGTTTCCTGTTTTCTTCCTGGCTCTCTTCGTCTTTCCTCCCACCTCAGGACCATTTTCCACCTCTCAGCTCTAGAGCAGCCCCATAGGGCCTGTGTTGACCAGACAGAATTCTGTGTCCTTACTGTGTGCTGGAGATGAGCAGCTGTGGCTTCTCTGACTCCAGGGCCTTGAGCTCCATAATCACCTGGTCACTGAGAGAGGCCTGGTCCAGCCTGCAAACACAAGAGGGGGCTGTTTGTTCTGGGATCCCCACAGGATCTTGAGAGCTCTGGGCCCAAGATCATGGATTCTGTTGTCTGTGGATGATGCTAGTGAGGAGGCTTATTCAGGCTTATTCTTGATCAAAAATCAGGACAAAGGACAGACAGCAGCCTGAGCAGAAGGAGATGTGTCCATGAGACAGTGTCTGTGGGGCTTGGTCAGTGTGCAGAAGATCTGAATCCAGGGTGAGGACCTTTGGAACACTGCAGAGCTGATATGAGGGACTGGACCGTTAAAGCCCCTCCCACAGGCCAGTCACTGGAATCAGACTGTCCCAGGAGGTGAACATGGCCGTGGATGAGGGAACTCTTGTTGGCAAAGGGCACCCTGTAGCCATCAGCATTCCCAGTGGCTCGAGGTCATGGCCATAGCCCCAAAGGGATTCTGGGAAGCTCTTCAAAGTGAACACATGGTGCTGGGATGTGAGGCTTCATGGACAGTCACCTTGCAGGAAAGAGTCCTGATCCATTCTCTCCTCCCTTCCCATTTCCTTTAGTGCTAAGGAGGAAGCCTTGTCCTTGCCCGGGAGCCACTCCCTAACGGCCTCTGGTCCCATTCTTCTGACCCTCAATTCTGGGATTGCTGATGGTGTTAGGGTAGTGACTGCCTTCTCTGGGTTTCTGAGTCCTCAGGTCCTAAGCTCAGGTACATCACTCCTGCTCTGCCTGCTGTGAGGCACAGACAAGGCAGGAGGGGAAAGGCTCCTGCTCTGTGCACGGTCATACAATGTTGTCATCTGCTCTGTGGGATGCTCTCCCTGGGGAGGATGATGGAGACTTTGAGGTTCAGATTGTTCAGTCTCCAGGAGGGAAGGATGCAGCTAAGACTTCACATGGACTGAGATGTTTGGAAGAGAGATGTTAGCAAGAGAGGCTAGCTGCAGACTTGCTCTTCCATTTGTGGGGAACAGTAATGGCTGAGGAAAGCAGGCTGGGGAACAAAGGGGCCAGTTTCAGCTCCCAGAGGGGTGGAAACAAGAGTCTTCAGTGCCCAGCTGCTCCTGTGCATTTGAGGAGTGAAGAAGAGAGCTGGAGAGAGGGCTCAGTGGTTAAGAGCACATACTGTTCTTCCAGAGGACCTGAGTTCAATTCCCAGAAGCCACATCAGGTGGCTCATATCCACCTGAACCTCCAGTCCCAAGGGATTTTGACTCCTCTGGTCTCTGGGGGCATCTCCATTTACATATATCAGTAGTTCTCAACCTGTGAGTCGAGACCTCATTGAGGGTCAAATGACTCTTCTACAGAAGTAACCTAAGACCATTGGAAATATCAGACATTTGCATTACTTTTCATAACAGTAGCAAAATCACAGTTCAGAAGTATCAAATAAATCATATTTTGGTTGGGGTCACCAAAAAATGAGGAACCATATAGTGTCACCACATTAGGAGTTTGAGAACTACTGATACATACATACACATTACTAAAATAACAACAACAATTGAATTGAAGTTGGAGGCCTGATGGAAGAAAGTTTCTGGGCACAGTCTTGTGCAACTTTTCCTGTTGTCTGGGAGAACCAGAAGTCTCTGGGCTCAAGGGTCTGGAGCCTCTGTGGTTCTCCGAGTACCAGAAGGACACTGTCCAGCTACCTCTGGGAAATGTTACTCTAATAAATGGCTGTAGGACTCTGCTGGAAAGGTGGACAGACAGAAGAGTAAGCTTAGAGATGGCATGAAGTGAAAGGGTTAGACTAACTTTGTAACCTGTATGTCTTCTAAAGCCTATAGTTTTGAGTTTTAGGTTCAGGTTAAGATAAAGCCTCTTAGTACCTTTCCAGAGAATGGAAAAATGTGACCCTATCTATGAGGACAGATAAAAAAAAAGGGGGCAAGCAAGCAATGACCTTCACTCAGCAAAAAACAAAACAAAACAAAACAAAACAAAAAACCCCCCAAAAACCTCCTGTCTTTGAGATAGCATTTCTTAGCAACAAACCTAGACTTCTTCTGAGTAGTTTTTGACCTCCAGCCAAAAGTCTGTAGCCCCTAATCTTCAAGGATGAGCTAACCACCCCCACCTTCAATTGCAGCTGCATTCACACTTGGCAGGACTGGCCAAGCTTGAGCACCTAAGACTAACCAATTATCTTACGTTATAGCTTCCTCATCCAATCCTAAATTGCCAAGACTGCAACTTCAAATCTCCCGCAATTTTTCTTTTAAAAACCTAAAGGCCTTTGTCTCCCGGTGCCACTCTTTGCTGACCGGCAGGGGTGACCCCATTGCGCAATGGTTAATAAACCTCTTGCTTTTGCAACGAGTCTTGGTCTGGGGGAGTTTCTGGGAAGGGCGCGATCTTGAACTCCTGAGCTGTGAGACCCCAGGTCTTACAGAAGCAGCTTCTTGGAGAAGGACATGGGTCCCCAGGGCTATCGGTTAGAACTTCCCTACCTTGCATGAAACCCAAGGGCAGAGGGAATGGCACAATTTCTGGGACAGGGGACTATCTCAGGCCTGTTTACTGAAACCCTATGACTCCAATGCCTTTCTGTTCCAGAGCCTTTCTCAACTCTGCCTTTCCCTGGGCTTCTGGCCACAGGTTGTCCCAACCATGTCTTATTTCTCTTTCAGGCCCCAGAAAACCCTCCTGGGCCTCCTCACAGAAGATTACGCTTTCCAAGGGGAACCTCGGGGTCTTGCTTACCTCGGCAGGATTCCTGAGTGCCTTACACAGCAGCCTCACACCATCATTGCCCAGGTCATTCAGCTCCAGGTCTAGCTCAACCAGGCTGGAGCAGGCCCCAAGCACTGAGGCCAGGACTCTGCAGTCCCTGAATGTGAGGCAACAGTCGACCAGCCTGCATGGGATGATTTTTGAGAGAATGTCTTGTGTATTGTATGGATATATCACCTGTCAATCAAAAAACAAACAAACAAACAAACAAACAAACAAACCCATGGCCTATAGCTTAGGATGTGGGACATCTGGCAGGCAGAAAGGATTCTGGGAGAGAGTAAGGCATGGGAGATTCAGCTGAGAAGTTGTGAGGAGAATAGACACATGGTACCTGAGCACAGGTAACCAGCCACTGTAGTGGAAGATTTGGTTTCTTTAAAAACTAGGTTGTGTTATGAGAATTTGTTTTTTTTTTTAATGTATACACTTTATTCTTGTTCATTCAGATACTGACTTCTCCCCCCACCCCCACCCCAACACTCTGAATTCAGTCCGGATATTGCATTGTGATACTCATTCTAAGCATCCTGTCTCAACTCTTGATTAAACAGAACAAAATAAAAAGCAACTAGACACAATGTTGAGCAAGGAGGAGGCAGAGGACAGGAAAGAGGGGAAGACCCAGAAGGCAGGAAATGAGTGGAAAGAGAAGGGGTAGAGGAGAGCCAGGGGAGCAGAGCTGGAGGAGAGATCTTGGAGGATGTAACTATTGCCCAGCATTGTGTTCTAGGTTAACTAAAAATGCAGTCTCTGTCTGGTGATTTGGGTATACAGCTATTTAGGACTAACAGCAGCATTACTAAAAGATAATTATTAGTAAATATTAATCACCGCTTACAACAAATTGCGCCCAACTAATCTAAGTATCCACACCCTTTAAATCATACTTTATCATAATTTGAAGGGGGGGAATAAGCTCCCAGTGATAAAATCCAAACTTAAAACCTAAAAACTCCCAGGTCAATTACTGTCTCTTTAAGAGAGACTCCTAAACCTGCCCAGGAGCAAAAGACAGCCTCCTGTGGGCAGACCTGAGAGTTCCCTAACAAAACTGGCTGCTGCTGCAGTTTAAGGAGTAAACAAGCATGGCTCTTTTATACTGTGGCTGCATCAACTGGTTCAGCTCCACAGCCATGGCAGGAAAGAAAGGAACTGGAGGCAGACAAACCTCTAGACAGAGTTTGGCCTAAATTGCATGTAAAGTAAAAAATTGCCATGGCAGAGGGTGTTTTAATCCCTTTTGGCTTCATTTTGGCTGTCATATTCATGGATCTGGTAGCAATATGTTTAATGGTGTTGGTTCTTCTCCATGCCTTCTCCAAGAAATTTCAAGGAGAAAATGGGGAGAAAGCCAAGGATTGGGGTACTAAGTTACAGACAGTAGTACTCATCCAAATAATTAGGTTAATAATGGCTAAAATTCAAAGCTCTCTGGCTGCAAGATATTTGTCAGCTCTTTCTGGTAAGGGTCCACCAATTTATTAAAACATCGACTAAAATAACCAACTGGGCTTTGTTTGTTACAGCGTAAATTGGTACAACTGACCCCAAATTAAAATTTTATTGTCTCTTTGTGTGATTTTTATTTAAAGGCTTTGAGTTACATTGATGTTAATTTGAGAAAAAAATATTTAAACAAGTTGGTGAAGGCACATGCCTTTCTTCCCAACACAAAGTAAAAAGAAACAGGCAGATCTCTGAGTTCTGGGTCAAGCTTATTTACATAATAAAAGCCAGAATGACAACTCCTGCTGTTTAGCCATTTGCAGAGATACTCTAAGATTCAAAATGACAAAATTTTCTTTAAGGTTACCATGTAAATTCTTTTTTCTTAATAATAGATGTTATGTCCTTATTGCTCTAAAGTTGGATTCACATCATTTTTAGGTTTATGTAAAGAGAGATAATGTCACATTGCCTTATCCTTTTAAACATGAGGCATTTTCACTGGGGAATAATGTTGGTTGTGCCTATGTAAAAAAGACACAAGAGTCTTAAAAATGGCAAAGTACATGCCAACCTAGTTTAGTCCTAAAAACTCAAAAATTATATTCATATGTTTAAAAAACAAAACTGTTCATCCCACTTCAATAAAGGGCAAGCCAAAGAATAGCCAAAACCAATATAAAAATCCACGTTCAAGATGCCTAGGTTATACTTAACGCTAAGGGTAAGAGAGTTTATATGCTAATGCTAAGAGAGTTTAAATAAAGTTTGGCTATAAAGGCATAACTGCCCATCCTGTATAAATAAGGGACAAGACAAAAAATAGCCATTATCAATGTAAAGCCCAGTTACAAGATGCCTAGGGTATGCTTAAAAGCTAAAGGTAAGAGGGAGTTTAAATAAAGTTTGGCTATAAAGGCATAATTTCCCATTCTATATAAACAAGGGGATAGGACAAATAGCTAAAACATATATAAAAATCTAGGGCTAAACCTCAAAACAGGTACAAGATACCTATGGAATGCTTATATTCTAAATTAAAAAGGAGATTATATAAAGTTTCCTTAAAGCATGCCTTTTCTATTGCTGAAGGCCACCAGCTTGTCTCTCTAATGGGAGGCTTCTCTAGGGAAATAGGTAGCAGCTTGGCCTAATACAACAGGCACACAAGAGCCCAAAAAGATATTTTAATCTATCCAAACTTGTTTCGATGATAATGATTGTATGTTCAGTAATAATGGTAACTTATATTGCTAATCCCTTTTCATGGGAACAACTCTAAAACTGAGACATAAAAATGTGTCTCCAGCCAAAAACTTCAACAATACGTGGCCAATAAATCCTTGGCTATAATATCTTCAATATGTATTATGCTAACCTTTTAATTGATGTAGATTAAATTGGCTTACAGTTTAGTTTCATCCTGCACATCTCATACATTTATAATTTTAGAACTCTATAATGCTTGTGAGAAGTTATATGTTTGCAGAACAAAAGAACTGGACACCAGAGATGCTGGATCAAACCTAACAGAATCATTCTTCACCATGCTGGGACATTGACACATCTCTTCCAGCATCTTGCATGTTCCAGCATTCTTCTTGTTCCTGCCTCAACTGCTTCAATTGCTGTTTTCTCATCAAAGCCTGCTCCCAAAAGAACTTAGAAGGAAGCTACTAATTTTAATTGGTCCAACATTTTAGACTGTTTCAAAGAGGACTATTATTAAGCCTGAAATTTCTTAACATTCAAAGACTGGACCACAAATGTTATTGCTTGCTTAATTAACCATTTTTATTTGGGCCCCCTACAGGATTTCTACATGTCCAAAATGTCAGCTAGAAGAAATCCAAGAGAACAGCGTCCAATTTTTCTTAAAGGTGTTTGGGTATGATTTTGGTTGTTTGTTATGGCTACGAAATTTTATTGTCATTGGGAGATGTTTATTATTCATAGTCTTATTCAAAGTAAAAGAAGGAATATACAGGGATATTTTATAGAAATAGAAAAAAAAAGGTAGATTTTTATTTGTTATTCCCAAATAAGGTTAATTTTAACACTGCTATAAGATTTGCATATTGATGCAAAAATAAGTAATTTTAGTACATTGGTATAAGCTTTACTATATTGATAGAAAGTCAAGGTTACTTCCAATACTTTTAAACTACTATTAAAAGGTTGTTAGGATATTAAGTATGCAAGTTAATTGTTAGTTATTCAACTCATAGTCATGTCAGACACTAGTCTAATTTATCAGAGGAGTATACATCCTAGGTTTAACAGATAGATATGATTTTATATACAGATAGATTACATAAAGATAGGTAGTCTTCAAAAGCTTCAGAGACCTACAGAATATGGCATTTAAAATGTTCTTATTATTTTAAAGATTCTTTGACAATGAGACAAGTCATTTCCTGGCAGCACCCTGTCTATCTGAAAGAAGATAATGAGCATAGAAGAACCTCCATATGGAGATGGCTTCAAATGTGGCAAACAAGCCACTCAGGTTAAGAAAATACCCTCGCTTCAGGACAGACAAATTCTGCCTAAAATGGGCAAGCTTAAATGCAGGACAAGTCGACTGCCAAACTCTGCCAAGACTGGGTAAGCAAGTCCTAAATAGTTCCTGCTTCATGTATATGTCTGTCAAAATATTCTGAGCCAGAAGGCTGAAGATGATGCTCCAACGTTATAGAGACTTATGGGTGACTGTTCAGCAGCAAACTGTCTCTGTCAAATTTTTATTTTTTGGAAGCTGCTAACATGCACTTCCTATTTACTCTCATAACTAATTTTATTCCTTCTCAAGTCTCTGATGGGAATTGAAGACCAAATAGTTACAGTACCACATTTAAGCTTAAGTTGTTTAGAAGTTAAGAAATCTTTTCATATAGGTAATAACAATAAGGATAAAAGTTAGATATAGAACTTTAAACTTGTCAAGATAGATAGGATAATCAGATACTTTCTCCTAAGATACCCTCTCCATGTGCTAAATACACATGGACTAGACATTGCACAGGTAGATTTTACCTAACAGTTTTCATAATTATTATTGTATTGAAAGAAAAGGAGCCTTTTATTGGACTTAAAGGGGAAAATGTTGATATAATGTTTTTTTTTTTAATGTATACACCTTACCCTTGTTCATTCAAATGCTGATTCCCCCCACCCCCAACTCTCTGGTTTCAATCCCGATATTGCATTGTGATACTCATTCTAAGCATCCTGTCTCAACTCTTGAGTAAACAGAACAAAATAAAGCAACTAGACACAATATTGAGCAAGGAGGAGGCAGAGGACAGGAAAGAGGGGAAGAACCAGAAGGCAGGAAATGAGTGGGAGGAGAAGGGGTAGAGGAGAGCCAGGGGAGCAGAGCTGGAGGAGAGAGCTTGGAGGACATGGAGCATGAACCAGACCTAAGATTTCACAAAAAACAAGTATAATGTGGGAAATCTAAAGGTTAGGAAACTGAGGGCTTGGAGGTTTAGAAGGGAGTTAACTATTGCCCAGCATTGTGTTCTAAGTTAACTAAAAACCCAGTCTCTGTGTGATGATTTGGTTATACAGCTGTTTTAGGACTAATAGCAGCATTACCAGAAGATATATCATTAGTAAATATTAATCTCTGACTACAACAAAGGACATTTGCTCAACCATGTTTGTAGCAGCTTTATTCGTAATAGCAAGAAGCTGGAAACAACCCAGATGTCCCTCAACAGAGGAATGGATACAGAAATTGTGGTACTTTTACACAATGGAATACTACTCAACAATTAAAAACAAGGAAATCATGAAATTTGCAGGCAAATAGTTAGATCTAGAAAATATCATCCTGAGTGAAGTATCCCAGGAGCAGAAAGACACACGTGGTATATACTCACTTATATAGTCCTAAAAGATAGGATAAATATACTAAAATATGAGCAACTAAAGAAGATAAACAAGAAAGAGGACCTGGGGTAAGATGATCAGTCCTCACTTAGAAAGACAGATGGAATGGACATGGGAAGTAGGAGAAAACAAGAAACAGGACAGGAGCCTACCACAGAGGGCCTCTGAAAGACTCTACCTATCAGCATATCAAAGTAGATGCTGAGACTCATAACCAAACCTTTGGTAGAGTGCAGGGAATCATATGATAAAAAGGGGGAGTTAATATGACTGGGAGAGGACAGGTGCTTCACAAGGACAAAATATATCAGGGCATAGGGGTCTTCTATGAGATTGTTTCTCCAACAAAGGACCATGTATGGATGTAACCTAGAACCTCTACTTGGATGTAGCCCATGGTAGCTCAGTATCCAAGTGGGTACCCTAGTAAGGGGAACAGGAACTATTTCTGACATGAACTCAAGGACTGGCTCCTTTACCTCCCCCTGCCCCCAAGGGAGGAACAGCCCTGCAAGGCCACAGAGGAGGACTTTGCAACCAGTCCTGAAGATACCTGATAAACCACGGTGACATGAAAGGGGAAGAGGTCCACCCCTATCAGTGGACTTGGAAAGGGACAGGGAAGAGATGAGGGAGGTAGGGTGGAATTGGGAAGGAATCAGAGAGGGGGTTACAGTTGGGATACAAAGTAAATAACCTGTGATTAATATTAAAAAATAAAAAATAATAATTTTGCAATAAAGCTCGTTATAGTCTTGCAATAAAGCTTAAGCCTAAGTTATTTAGGATTTAAGAAGATGTTTAAGGTCTAAGAAGATACCTTGGGATTTGTAATACAAGTCATTATTGAAAACAATTTAGGTAGAGAAATCTGAACACACTAAGAATACTTTATCCTAAGTTGCCAAATGTATATGGGCTGGACATTGTAAATGTAAATCTTACCTAATAATTTCATAATTGTTGCAATTGTATATAGTTTATTATTGAAAGAAAAGGAGTTTTTATTGTACTTAACAGGGGAAATATTGAGGGAATGTCTTGTGTATTGATGCATCATCTGTCAATTAAAAAATCTATGGCCTATAGTTTAGGCAGGAAATGGACAGATGTATGGTACCTGAGCATAGGTAACCAGCCACATGGAGAACTTAGACTAGAATAACTGAGTTAATTAAGTCACAAGCTAATTAGAAAATGAGCCTAGCTGCATGGCATAGGTATTTGTAAATAGCACTTTTAGTATCATAAGTCTTTACTCCAGGAGCTTGGGGCTGGGGGGAAAAAAAACCCTCAATAGATGCCTGCCGTCAGCTTCTCCAGGGCTCACTGCTCTTAGGAACTGATCTCAGGCCTCCCTTTGTGAGTCCTGGCATGCTGAGCTGGCAGTGCTTAGCTCTCTTGTTGACTGTTATTGTCTGGGTGGATAGCTTCATTCTTCCCACAGCTGAGCTGCAGGGCCATGGAGTACACATTGCTGACCACTTCTCTGTTGCTGCTGCCCAGGGCAGAGTTCCATGAGGCCCAGGACAGCTCACTGGCCTACCTCGAGAACCATGTGATGTGTAACTCACCAGACATAGAATAGGACATGATCTCTCTCATTATGTGCAATCTGAATAAGGAAAAAGTCCATAGAAACAGAGTAGAAGTCTAGTTATGAGGACTGAGGGCAGGAGGAAATTTGGGAGATGCCATTCCCTGGACTTGAAGTTGTCTCTCCTCATGCCTTACTTTGCTTCTGTGTTCTTCAGCCCTCCTTCTAGCCACTTCCTCAGGAATTTTGTCTCATTGGAGTCCTCATAGGCTTATTATTATTATTATTATTATTATTATTATTATTATTAGCAATAGCTATTAGAGTCCCAGTCCCAGACTGCTAACCAGTCTCTTATGATCCCCCAAACAGAATCTCATTGGTTTATCATTGCATGTCTGGAATCTGTCACAGGCATAATCAAGAGGGTTCAGAGAATATTTGATGAATACCAGTCCTCACCCCAGACTCAGCTTCCCCCTTTAGTCTCCTGCCATCCATCCCTACTTTGGGGGAGAACCCAGCCCGAACTCACCACAAGGTGTGTAGTTGGCAATCAGGGTGTCTCAGGGTTCTACAAAGATGCTTCACTGCAGAGTGGCTCAGGGCATTTCCACTGAGGTCCAGCTCCTCCAGGTTTCTAGTGAATTTAAGATTGAAGAAGAGAATCTTCCAGCTGGCGTCAGTAATAGCAGTCCACTTGGATCTGATAGGGGAGAGAGAGAGAGAAAAAAAGAGAGAGAGAGAGAGGGAGAGAGAGAATCAGCATAGAATGGTAGTATATTCCTTTAATGCCAGCATACAAGCATAAAAAGGCAGGGGAGTCGTGAATCTAGGTGATTCTGAACTCCAAACCCAAAGTGACTGGGAGCACCTCCATGCCTGGCCTGTTAAACATCGGATACTCACACAACAGACAAAACAAAACGATAAACTTGCAAAAAAAAAAATACAAGCCAAAAACTCTCAAAACACAGATTAATAGTCACCCACTTTGACTGAAACAACAAGCATAGGATGTTTTTTTTTTTTATTTTTTTTTTTAGCATAAGATGTTTTATTCTAGTTTTGCAGAGTCAAAGTAATGTTAAGGAAACCAAATACTAAAGTTCAAAAGATGCTGTTTTTTTTTTTTTTTTAAAGCTTTATTTGTATTTTACTTTATGTGTATGATTGCATGCCTGCTTGTCTGTGTGTGCACTATTCGGATGTAGGGGCTGCAGAGGTTAGAAGCAGGGCCGGGGTCGCAGCAATTGTAGTTCAAGGTGGTGTGAGCCATCTGCTGTGGGTGCTGGGAACAAATCCACATTCTCTGCTAGAACATCAAGTGGTCTTAAACGTGAACCACTTTTCCAGCCCTCAAAGGATGGCAGTTCTGATTCATGGTTAATATTTTCATTCACAGAACGTGGAACTTCAGAAGATATTATTAAAAATGCTTGAGGTGCCATCAGGAGCCAGACACAGAAAAATTTCTCATTCATTATCTTTGAAAGCATAATTTTCTACACTTGTCCTTTTTCATCCCTTGGCTGTGGCTGACTCCACCTCTGAACTGTTTTCCTTGTGTGCAATCTATTTATCTCCCTACCTTTTCTGGCTGATTTTCCTCTCAACTTACTCTTCTCACTAGCAGCTGAAGCCTCTTATTTCCCCATGGGTTTATCCTTTGCAAGCAGGCTTGGTGTTCCTGGTTTCTCTTGACCCATTTGGCTTCTTTGTACCTATTTAGAATTCTTCTGAAGGTGACATCAGAGCACTTCTACTTGCAAGATCTGTATCAAGATCCTTCCAGGGTTACTTGTTTATAAATGTAGATACTTAGTAACAACTGTAATTGGCCAAGAACAGGAAAAACAAATGGTCCAACTGGCCAAGGTATTCTCCCTAGGTATTATCATAATGTTATTCAGAACCTCATTGTAACTAGATTCTTAATAACTACAGAATAGTCTTAATCCATTTAGAAAATAAATGGGTGTACAAGATAATAGATATAGTGTGGCTCAGTTGTACTATAAAAAGTATATAGAAAAAAGATTAATAGGTATTTCTAAATTGGAAATTTAGGAATCTACAATTCTCTAAATCATTCTGTGTACAAAATCTAGGGTCCTGTGCTCACTAGATGTGATGTTTTGAATGTGATATTCCCCAGAGTCATGGTCATTTGAATAGTTTGTTCAACTCATGGTACTCTTTGGGGTAGCCTTAGGAGGTGTGCCTTTGTTGGAGGAAAGTTGTCATTGGGAGCAGACTTGAAGATTTGAAAGCTTTGAGCATTCCCAGGATCCTCTCTACTTCCTGTTTATGGTTCAAGATATGAGCCTTCACCTGCTGCTCCAGTCACCATCCTTTCCCTTTGCCAGATGGACCCTGATCCCTCTGCAACCATAAGCCCCAATAAAATAAATATTTTTTGGATACAGAGTTTCTGTGTGTAGCTTTGGATGTGTTGGAAATTGCTCTGTAGACCAGGCTGGTCTCAGATTCAAAGATCCACTTGCTTCTGCCTCCAGAGTGCTTCCTCGCCCACATAAACTAAAAAGTTTTCATGGCCATGACCTTTTGTAATACCAATAGAAAATTAATACTAGGCAATCTCTCTATGAATAGATAACATCCTTAGCCCATGATGCTTTGAGACAGTGTCACACTATAGAGCCCAGGCTGGACTGGAACTTCTGATTGTCTTGCCTCAGTCTTTTAATTTTGTGATATCAGGCACGTATGACCAAGCTCAGCTCCCAAACCCTTAACGAGAAATGGAGTTCTGGTGGAAACTAAGTTTTATTGAGTTGATAAATGATATATCATCACTTTTCTACAAGCACATTTCAGCCCCACCTCCAACTCCTCTCCTCATCCCCTTCCTGTTCTCTAACAGTCACTCCACTACTTATGTTTTAGGTGGGCTTTGGCAGAGTTGCCCAGATTGCTGTGTAAGTCCTGAACGCAAGGAATCTCCCTGCTTTAGCCTCCTGAATGATGGATGAGATTTCAAGCTTATGCAGGAAGTCCAGCTCATCTTATCTGGAAAAGCTTCAATGTGTGAAAACAGAAGACTCAAAACCTTTTCCTCTGAGTCTACTCTGCATTCTCCAGAAGAGTGACCCTTCCTTCCCTGGCGCCTGGTGTTTGCATGATCATTTCATGTGTCACACCATGTGTGATTAGAGTTGTTGTCCATCTTCTCTACCATCTTGAGGTACTCAAGGCTGCAACTATATTTTCTCCTGTAATTGGTTGGTAGTTTTCCTGTAATAGGGCCTGCCATAAAGGAGTGCCTAACGAATACTGATGGAAGGAATCATCCGTAGAGGAGAGACCCGTCCTGGTACTGAGTGACCGTTACAGCACAGTGGGAGGGACCCCTGGAAGGAGAACTCTACTTGCTGCCAAGATTGCCTGGAAGTTGGGGAGCCATTAGGGTGAGTTCCATGGCCAGACTGCCTTCAGTGGCACATACAGGAAGTCATCTGGGCAGGGAAACTTAGGAACTCTGAGGTGATGGTGGAAACCCTCAGGGCCAAGGTCACTGTCATGAGAATAGGAGTTGGTGCCTGCAGTAGCTGAATGAGCAGTTTCTCAGAGAGAAAGCGTGTTAAGAGGGAGGATCAGTACCTATGGGGTGCTGGAACCTTGTGAAAATGATTTGAATGAGAGAAGGTGGGTGTCCCACCGAGGCACAGACAGAACTCCACAGCCCACCCCATGGTCAGGCACACAGAGGCAGCCAGAGAAGGGTGGTCAGATTCAGCAGCTGATGTCACTGATGACCTCTACCCTGATTTCTTGGAACCAGCTAAGCGTGCTTCCTGTGTTTAGAGCATGTGGGCTCGAGGGATCCACGGGGAAGCTGGAGAGAGGGCTGTGTCTGGATACTCACAGAACCATCCTGGGAACTGGCAGTGCTTGTGTCCTCGGTTCACCCTCATGGAGCTGAAGGCTTCTCACACAGCAGCAGAACCTAATGCAGAACGTGACCACCATGAGCTCCACATCTGACCTCACCACCAGATGTCCAATATTTGGCTGAAATACTGGTTCCTCCACCTCCATTAGGACTTGAGCAGTTCCGACTTCAAGATCATGCATCACCCTTTTCAGGAGTTCCTCCTCCCGATGCTCAAACAGACAGTGGAACAAACCCAGAGAATACAGTTGATGGGGTAGGGTTTTCCTGAGGATGTCAGACACAAGTGTCAACTTTGGCTTCCGGGGCAGCCTGCAGGCAAAGATCCTCTCCATTTCTCTCAGTCCTTCTTCACTCGAGAGTCCAAATAAGAACTGTGTAACGGGTGCCTCACACAGCTCATGCCTCTCATACTCTTGTTTCAGATTTTCCACAATTCTGTCCTTTTCTATATCACCACATCTCTCCTTCGTATCCCCCAAGACACAGACCATCGCTGCAAAGAACTCCTGGAGACACAAGTGGGCAAAGCTGCAGCTCAGAGAGCCGGGCTGCTGTTGAAGGACACCGATCTTCAGGAAAGTGGCCATGTCAGCCTGGGCTAACCCTTGCTTACGGAGGTCGCTTTCACTGAACAGGGTCCTTCTTCTGCAGATCCCCTCAGCAGCCACTGAGCAGAGAGCCCTGAGCTGGGTCTCCAGGTGCTGACCTTGGATTGACTGGGAAAGGTATTTCAGGCAGAGAGTGGTGGTGGTCTGTGAGGTCAGGGAGAGGTCTTCCCCGAGCTCCATCTGCTGTGACAGGCAAGTGCAGACCAGCCAGCTCACCCAGGGGACCTGACACAGGGTAGAGAGCACTGGGTCTGATTCAACTAAACTAAAAGCTTTGATTGCTTTTCTTTTCTCAGGAAAATAGTTGTAGAAATATTCCTTCCATCCTGTCTCAGAGAAGCCCAGGACTTCCACCCAACGCGGCCGCCTCAAGGAAGGAATGAGCCTCTGGAGAGCTGTGGTCCGAGCTGTGAGCAGGAAGGAAGCCCCCGGGAGGACAGATTTTCCCAGCAAACTGCCCAGCAGTGTGTGCACTGGCTGTGTCTGACTCCAGTGCAGACATGTCTCAGGATTCTGCCCCTCCAAGACCCATGCTGGCTCATCTATGCCATCCAAGATGAAGAGCAGCTTCTCAGGCTGAGCCAGGATCTGCCTGATGGGAGCTGTGGGCACAGTTTGGCCCTGTGCTATGAGTTCTGCCAGACTCAGCTGCTGGCACTGGGCCAGCTCCCTGCAGCTGAAGAAGAAGACTTCCTTGAAGCGATCCCTGTAGAGCCAGCCTTGTCCCCAGGCTCTGCTCACCTGCCTGGCCAGCGATGACTTCCCAGTCCCAGCAGCCCCATACAATATGATAAGCTGAGGCTCTTCCTGGTTACCCTGGCTTGGGGCAAATAAGTCTTGCATCTCAATCAGACGTCCTTTCTCCTCTACTCTATACTGATGCCTGCTTTTCCTGACCAAGGTCTCCCAGCCTCTCGGGCAAGAATTTTGTAGGAGTAGTAGCTGTGTGAAATTTTGGAAGAGATTCTTCCTTGTCAAGGCCTGTGTGGAGTGAAGAAGTTTTCCCTCCTCATATGTTTCTGGAATGGCTCCTAAAGAAGAGAGAGAGAGAGAGAGAGGGAGAGACTGAGCAGGGCTGTCCATATTACAGTTGTTTGTTCATTCAATCTTCCCTTCTTTCCACCGTTCCTCATTTGATCCTTCAACATCTGGATGACTTTAGGCATCTGTCTAAGCTGTACAACACACAGGCTATGGGTACCGGCATATGCTGAGCAGTGCAGTGCAAAGAATGCGAGCTTTAGAGTAGAAGATTCCAGGTCAAGTCATCATGTGACTAATTAAAATGCTGTCCACATTCATCCATCCTCAGACACTTATCAGCCTCTTACCCTGTGCCAGACCTGTACTTGGGGCTGAGATTAAAGGGTGAGTTCACAGACATAACTCTGTCCTGATTCAGTCTGTGGGCTGATCCAGGATCTCAGCTGAGCTCAGCTTTCCCATCTGTCATTTAGGGGCTGTGGTCTCTCCCTGTAGGAGGTCGTGGGGTCATGGGGAGACTGCAGACAGTGGAACAGATGTCTGCTCCAGACAGATCCCACTGTTCCCCAACATTGCTGCCCTGACAACCTCATTCTGTAAGTCCTGAGACTATGGGTCTGATGGGATGGTCTAAGAATGACATAGAGTTCATGTTTCAGGACTTAGACTTGATCCTGTCCACAGGCCTGGCAATCCCACTTTTATTTGTGTAGTCTTCCAGATATCTTTGGTAACAATGAGCCTCATTTGTGGCTACAGCTGGCATGTCTTTAGTCACCTCTGAAACTCATGCTGAAACTCAGTTGCCAACATAGCAGTAAGGGGATCAGGTCTAGAGTGAGTATTTGGAAACATGGGGGCAGGCTCCTTAATAATTGACCAATACTTTTCTTTTAGTAATGGGCAAGCTGTTGTGAGAAGGGGCGCCCTTTCCTGCAGGCAACTGCTTCTTTTGAGGCTGAGTAGTCACAGTTTGCAGTGTTGGACTTCCAGCCTACAAAACTATATTTAAAAAAGCATGTCAAACAAACACTGAGCATGATGGTGCAGCTTTTCCAGATAGTGAATTTGAAACCATCCTAAGCTACAATCCCTCACTCACACACTCACTCACTTATCTGTCAGTCAGTAACCAATCAACCAACCAAAACCCAAGAATAATGAAAGTTGCCCAGCCTCTGTTTTCTGTCCTTGCAGGGGAAAACATACTAAGGCATCTGCTCTTGAGGTAAACTGCTCCACAGCTTGCCGCTGGGAACTCTGCTCGGCTTCCCCTCTCCTGTCCCACTTCCTTTCCTGTTAACCAGTACATCTGAAGAGCCATCTCTCCAGTTTGGACCTGAAGGTCCTATCTCAGCTTTTCCTTTGGAAGGAACTCAAGACAAGGTACACAGGAGGACGCCACATGGACCAGAATCCAAGTTCATCCCCATTATCTGCCATTTTCCCAACGTAAAAGGCAGCTGGCCATCCTGCACGGACAAGGTGCTGGAGAGAGTTTGGGAGAACACTGAGTGCAGCATCAGTTCACACAATTAGCCCTGAGGACCTGGCTTCGGGGTCAATGTGTGCCTGAAGTCAGGATCCCTGGATCTGCTCTTCCTGCCTTCTGTAGGAAGACTTCTAACATCCACAGTGCAGCAGGCTGGCCACTCATGTCTGTGGCCAGGGTCTGCCTGGCTCAGGCCTTATCTGCGAAAGGTGCCAAGAGCGGGCTCAGCTCTCTCCAGACACCTCTCTCTAAGATCTTCCAGCTGGAATGTATCTGTCCTGCACATCTGAATCCTCTTCACTCTACAAAAGCGTCTGTGGCAGCGAGCTGGCTCTGCACCTCCAGAGCTTGCAGCAACAGCATGTGCACCAGGATTTGCATCAGGCACCATGCACACACAGCGTTTGCATCTGGCCCTTTGTAATTTCAGTCTCAGAGGCCTGGGACAGGGGATTCCTCAGGGGGAGGTGGCAGGACTTGCTCCATGGAAGGGCTCTGGGTGTAGACGGTGAGAGCTTCTGCTCCGAGAAGAGAGCAAGCAGATTCCCAGCACCAATTTAGTGCACTCACATGTATACACACACAGTTCAACTTCCACATATATGACCCCACACATGCAAACATA